CGGTGTGAAACTACTAAGCACGATGTCACAACTTTATATTGGCTCTGCCGCAAAACTACTATGCTTCTGTGTGAAAACTACTAAGGGGAATTTCAAACTTTGTATTGGCTCGGTGGCAAAACTACTAAGGAATTGTTCAATGGACAAAAAAGGAAACACTTTCTTCTATTTCTTTTCAATTGGCAGAATTCCTTAGTAGTTTTGCGTCCAAGCCATTGTGATTTCAATTTCACGGGTTAGTAGTTTTTCATGCGTGCATGAGCTGTGACTCTGCCGTGCCAATGCAAAGTCTGCGAAAATGGTTGGAAGTATCCTTAGTAGTTTTTTGGGGCCACAGCAAAAACAGGTGCCAAAGCACGCAAAAACGTGTTTTTGATGCCTTGGGAGACAGCAGTCGTTAGGTAACCTGCCGCGTGTGACTTCACCACATTCCTGTCTGACTCCTTTAGAGACAGCAGTCTCAAGTGCTTCAGTGAGACATATAGTTTTGAGGAAGCTGCTGCTGACTCCTCGGGAGACAGCAGTCACAAGTGCTTCAGTGAGACATATAGTTTTGAAGAAGCTGCTACTGCTGACGGGTCATTTTGAAGGCCAGGAGCCACGAGAGGTCTTGGGTGCTCAGTTTGCCCGCCGATTTCAGGACTCTGCGTCGTTTTTTCTCCCGGCGCAGAGCTGAAACAAAAAGATTGAAAGTACAAGTGGTGCGATGCAGGTGCAATGCAGCTTCACCAAAAAAAACCTGAGATGGGAAAGATGAAGGTGCAAGTGGCATGATGGAATGTCAATACAGCTTCACCAACACAAACATGGCACACAAGGATGAAATTGAACCAGCCTGGGCCTTGACTTCTCGACTGGTTTGCTGCAGCTGGCGTTTCAAGGCCTGCCTTTCAGCTTTCAAAGCAGCTATACGGTCATCCATCCCGGGCACATGGGCTACAGCAGCACCTTCCGCAGCATCCCTTTCCATACCAGCGGCGGCAGACGACATGGCTATAGATATAGTCAAATTGTGTTTTCTGCGACGAGCTGTGAGCCGTGCTAGCTGCAGAAGCCATGCCGTCTGGACAGCTTCCATGCCAATTTTCTCAAACTGCACAACTGGAAGATAGTGTGACAAAACATGGCCGGTGGGGGCCCAAAACTGGGGGCTTGAAAAGTGATGCCAAAGGGACTCCCGTACCATGTACCCCCATAGTATTATGGAAAAAAAATCTTTGTCCTATAGTGCCACCCACGTCTGCAAATCTGTTGGATCCACCCGGAGCGGCAGCATCAAAGAAAAAGAACCTTATACGCGTGCGCCATTTGGCGTCGCGCTGGCCAAACGCACTGCATCTGCTGGGGTGTCGGCCTGTCAGGCCCAGGCCAAGGCACCCCTGCACCCATCAAGTGTTGAAGCGCTTTGTGCACTTGACCTGGGCCATTGCAGCCCACTGCATCGAAGCTTTTCTGCCATTGCCGAGCTGCCCAAAATTCGTGAGGGGCTTGCATGCACTGCCATAGCCAGGCCAGAGGAGGCACTAAACCATGCTCTGAATATGAGCGCAACTCCTGGTGCTTCCTTTTCAAATATTGTTTAAAAGGGGAGAAGCCTTGCAGATCAAGCGGCTGTAGGTAATCCGTTGTCTGCGCTGGGATATATACAAGCTGCAGCTTGCACTTGCGTGCCATTGCCATGACCTGCCGTGGCAGGTGTGCCGGCGCACAATCAAGGAGTACAACGCCTTGTTTTGACGGAAAACTTTTCAGCACTTCTGCGATCTCTTTGAGAATTTGGGCACTGTTGGCAGCAGAGGTCCAAGCGGACTTTTGCCGCAAAACACGCAAACGAGTTTGTGGCAAAGCGCGCTGGGCGCGCAAGAGCTTCTTCGTGAGTTTCACCTGGGTGCCAATGAGAAAATGAGGAAACTTCCCTTGGATGTGCTTGCAGTTGCAAATCACGCTGACATAAGTCCACGCACCTCGAACATGTTGCTTCAGCACCTGTGCATGCGGCTGTTTGCCACCTGCTGTCCGTGGCTTTGCCACACATCCAATAGGCGGTGTCATGGTGTCAGATTTATAAAAAGCAGCTCCCTGTCTGCGAACCTGCTGTGGCAATAGCAGATGGTCCGCCAAAATGTCATGACCTGCTCGAGCGTTGCAGGAAGTGAAAGACAAAGCCTTATTATATATAGGGTCCCCAAATATAATTCCGAGGGAAGAAATTGATTGAAAATGGGGGCCTATTTTTGGTGCCAGATTCTGGCCCCAAAAATGGGACCGCCCAACCGGGATTAAGTAGGCTTATACAGGCATGAAACATGATGGGGACCCATTTTTGGGGCCACATTCCGGCCCCAAAAATGGAGCCACCCAACCCAAAAAAGAAGACAAAATGTTGTAAGTTGGCTGGCCCGCGCCTTGTCGCGCAGTACAGCGGGGTCTCTGCTAACAACTTGCTTCAGCACCTTCCGGCGGACGCCCCGCCGAGCCCGCCAGCGCTGCACCCACTTATTGACCATGCGTTTGTTTGGCACACCCATGTCCAGCTTCTGGCCATGGAAGGCCTCCTCCCACTTCAAAAACGTGTCCATCGCAGAAGGTGCTTGACAATGATTCGTATTGCACTCATAGACCCACTGCTCCGTGGCTGCTTCGGCCAGGAAGGCTTGCGCTTTGCGTGAAGCTGTGTCATCCAAAGCGGTCAAATCTGGCAGCGGCGTTGTCAGCAACATCTCTTGGATCAACGCTGCCGTGGGTACCCATTGCTGCCATGGGATATCGTTGTCAAAGCACAAGCCATGCGGAGAGTCAAATCCATGTTAAAATTCGACAGCATGTAAACAGCTACCACAGTTTTGCGGGCTGCCACTCCAAGGCCGGCACAGTGCAACCTTTTCCGGCATTCTGCCGATAAGCCGCTTTCAGTGCTTTGCCATTCTGCACCAAGGCTTCCTTCAAGTCTGACACCCTGGCATCAGATGTGCCTTCGGCCACACCACAGGGCGGCTGCATGACTGACCGCAGAAAAACTATCTGTCGGCAGACTCATTGAAAACATTCGTGTCATGTCAAACCAATGCTGTCTGATACAGCTGAATTCGAATGGAAGCAGGGAAGATGACCTAATGAGTGCGGCCAAAGCATGGCCTCGGCATTTCAAAGCATACAAATTCATGTCTGGCTCATGCAAAAAACAAAAACTATATTGCTGTTGCATGCAGTCAGCGCGGCAAGACTTGATTCATATGGCTGCGTCCAGGAAAAAACATCGAGGAGAGGCGACCTGTGAGGAGCAGGCAAGACCGAACAATGATGATGAGCCGTCCAATCATGTGGGTTTGTGTTATGACACTGTTATGGAAAAACACTGCTGGTTATCTCTCCACATCATGCAGGTTTGTGTTGTCACAAGGAGGGCCCTCAATGAAGAGGGCTGAAATCAGCGTCCGTTAGCGACCCCAAATTCAGACCTTTTGCACACACAGCACGAGGCCCCACGTATAGGGTCACAGCAGCGGCTCCCCCCCCGCACCCCCAGGATCAATGTTGTTTCCTGGTGTTAATCACTGCAGCAGCCATCTTCCAAAGCGTCAGGTCTTCACAGCAAGACATTTTCGTCAACCTTGATTCCGGGGGGTGCAGGGGGGGGCCAACATGTGGCCGGAAAGGCCCTTTGAATTAGGAAGAAACACATGTGCCGTCACGGCAGGTGGCACATCACAGCTGCAAGATGAAATGCTTCACTGGCCGTTGGCGATGTCAATCTTTGCATTGGCTCCACTGCAACACTAGCATGCTTCGGTGTGAAACTACTAAGCACGATGTCACAACTTTATATTGGCTCTGCCGCAAAACTACTATGCTTCTGTGTGAAAACTACTAAGGGGAATTTCAAACTTTGTATTGGCTCGGTGGCAAAACTACTAAGGAATTGTTCAATGGACAAAAAAGGAAACACTTTCTTCTATTTCTTTTCAATTGGCAGAATTCCTTAGTAGTTTTGCGTCCAAGCCATTGTGATTTCAATTTCACGGGTTAGTAGTTTTTCATGCGTGCATGAGCTGTGACTCTGCCGTGCCAATGCAAAGTCTGCGAAAATGGTTGGAAGTATCCTTAGTAGTTTTTTGGGGCCACAGCAAAAACAGGTGCCAAAGCACGCAAAAACGTGTTTTTGATGCCTTGGGAGACAGCAGTCGTTAGGTAACCTGCCGCGTGTGACTTCACCACATTCCTGTCTGACTCCTTTAGAGACAGCAGTCTCAAGTGCTTCAGTGAGACATATAGTTTTGAGGAAGCTGCTGCTGACTCCTCGGGAGACAGCAGTCACAAGTGCAGACATATAGTTTTGAAGAAGCTGCTGCTGCTGAGCCACGAGAGGTCTTGGGTGCTCAGTTTGCCCGCCGATTTCAGGACTCTGCGTCGTTTTTTCTCCTGGCGCAGAGCTGAAACAAAAAGATTGAAAGTACAAGTGGTGCGATGCAGGTGCAATGCAGCTTCACCAAAAAAAACCTGAGATGGGAAAGATGAAGGTGCAAGTGGCACGATGGAATGTCAATACAGCTTCACCAACACAAACATGGCACACAAGGATGAAATTGAACCAGCCTGGGCCTTGACTTCTCGACTGGTTTGCTGCAGCTGGCGTTTCAAGGCCTGCCTTTCAGCTTTCAAAGCAGCTATACGGTCATCCATCCCGGGCACATGGGCTACAGCAGCACCTTCCGCAGCATCCCTTTCCATACCAGCGGCGGCAGACGACATGGCTATAGATATAGTCAAATTGTGTTTTCTGCGACGAGCTGTGAGCCGTGCTAGCTGCAGAAGCCATGCCGTCTGGACAGCTTCCATGCCAATTTTGGAAGATAGTGTGACAAAACATGGCCGGTGGGGGCCCAAAACTGGGGGCTTGAAAAGTGATGCCAAAGGGACTCCCGTACCATGTACCCCCATAGTAAAGTAATTTTTTTTGCTGTTGATTGCCGGAACCTGCTTTTGACGTGCGGCAGTGTCAGGCCACCTTTGACCATGTGCTGTCGTATGCCTCGATCTACCACTTGGAGAAGGACGAGCAGTGCCACTTGGGGCAGCTATATTTGCCGGGGGCAGTGCCATTGCCGACAAAAACGGGAAAATTGAGGTCAAAGGCATAGCAACGCCAGCGCTTGATGCTGTTTGTGTTGGAAAGAGCCACCCGCGGGATTTCAATCAGCTCCGAACATGTCGTGCACCTTGCTAGTTGTTGTTTGCACGGCATAATTTCCATGTTCCTGCCTATGTAATGAATGGATATGAATGGAACGTTAATCACCAACAAATCGCGTAATAACATAATATATCCCTGCCATTAACCAGGAGGGTGATTTAGAGCGTGTGAAACCCACGCCCTGATCATCAAATCCATGCCGCGGAAGGCGTGGTTACACCCAGGCAGCGTTGGCATCCAGCTGGTGCGCAAGCTGAAGATCGGAGGTCGCGCCTTCCTGGGCTGGAACCATGGCCCAGTGACATGGCCCTAATGGGAAGGATGGCCATGTGATGGGTGAAAATGTTTTGTTCGTTTTCCCGTAGATTGAACCAACCCCCTGAAAACTGGGAATGGGGCATCTCATCTTACCAAGTTTGGATGCTTAAGTTGGTAGGTAGAGAAGTCTTCGTGGTGTGGCTTGGGCTGTGGAAATCGAAAGATTTTCGAAAGATTTCCAACTTAATGCGTGTTCTCTTGGGGCCATGGTTTTGCTAGGGTTTTTGAGAGGTACCTGACCGTGATACACGACCAACAGGCCAGGATGTTTTCTTGTAGCCTTGGTGTGCCAACCCATCACGCCATGGCTATTGGGCGGGACGGCTCAGGTAATGAGCAACTGGGAGTGGTTGATGTGCTTCGAAGATAGCATCAGCCTCAGCATGCTGAGCACATGGGTTTGCTAGAAGCTCCTACTTATGGCCACCCCAGCTGGCCGCATACTCAGAAGAAAATTGTGATAAACCATAGCGAAGCAACGGTTTTGAGGTAAGATATTCGCAGACATACCCATTGAAGTGGAGTAGAAATAAGTGAAGCAGTCAACCACACACAGTACCATTGCACAACCCACATGTAGCGACATGTGACAACCATCCACTCCTCCGCCAGACCAGACTTTTGGCACCTTTCAAATTTGCAATGTCCTCAGGCCAAAACATTGCCAAAACGAATGGCATCGCTGAAAGCGGCGTGAAAGTTGACTTTGACGCTGTTACTTGACTTGGGGATTTGGATGGTGCCACTGTTTTTGCTGGGCTTCTCTTGGCATCAATGAGTCTATGGGAAAACTCCACAGCAACTGCTACTGTACAACTGGACACTGGTGAGAGTTTTTGGGCTCAAGAAGATATGAATGAACAAATACATGGCCACATCTAATCTAACGCAGTCTTTTTTCAGATCTTTGCCGAACGCAGTGTTTACCAAGGTTGAAGATGGATACCTCTTTCCCCCACATACCAAGGTGCTGGAGGACCTTTTTGATGTCGGGTCTGTGATCCAATGTTCCTTTGATGTTCCCCACATGCCTTTCAGATTCTTCAGTCCATGGGTGCGATCGTTTGAGCTAGGTTTGTTGCCCATGTATGGTAGGAGGTGATCAAACCATAGCTGTAGTTACATCGCCAGCTTGATTTTTCTGAATAATTTCAGGAAATCTTGACACCAATGTGCCTGCTTGCAGGACAAGAGGTCGTTCCTGTACCAATACCCAGCCTATTCCATTTTCTTGACTCGGCTGGCGTGAGTCGTGGAATGTGACTTACACTGTATACATAGACCCTACTCAGGTGCGATGAGGATAGTGAGAACTCGCCACAGAACACTGTGGTTTGCCAAGCAATTTTGGAAGTGTGGGATGATGGACCAACTTCTTTATTTGAGTGTGCATCCCTCGGCATCTGGTCGGAAGATATTCGAACCAGTGGTTTGAACAGATGCAAAAACACTAGGGTGCAGGTTATCACCTCACACATCCAGAGGTGTTTGGCCGGCAAGAATAAACAAGAGTGGGCCTGTTTGCCAGGTTTGGTAGAATGTCAGCCCGAGCAAACCAATCAGAGCCTTGTCGGTTCAAAAGGTGTTTGGTTTCGTGGGCCTGACTGAGATGCCCTGGAGTGCCCAAAGTGGTCGGAATTCAACGATGTTTGTTTGTTTTCCGCCTCACATGTTGGTTCAAACCTAAAAAACGGAATGAAACATATGTTCCCCAAGATACCGTCACTTGAATTCAACAATTTTATTCAACTGCGCAAAACTCACCAATCCATTTCTCCAATATCCATTTGCTCAAAGTCATTTTCCAAGTTTGCCCCCCAAACCCCCCAACCTTCCCCAACAGAACCATGTAAAAAGGTACATGTCAACAGACGCATCCGGGCGCCAGGCCGACCTGGTCCTGGGCTGCGACGGCATCCGCTCGGCGGTGCGGCAGGCGCTGCGGACGGCGGGGGCAGACGTCGAGCAGCAGCGCTTTGCGGCGCCTTGGTGGTAGGTGGGATGGCACCATAACAGCCATGTAAAGTGTATTTTTTTGATGATGAGTAATCTGAGTGGTAATGGTGGAAATCTGGATGTTTGGTTAAAATATGGATGAGCACTTGTGATAATTTGTCGGGGGTAAGTGGACGTTGGACCTGCAGGAGATTGGGAGATGATCAACGTATGGTGGGCATATGGGATTTGTTGGGATGGGGGAAGTTGGAGCTGGCAGGTTCGTGACAAACCCAGGGCAAGGATACACTCAACAACTGTTGTTCTAATGTGAGAAAGATTTTTAACTGTAGTCACCGTAGTCAAACGTTTTTTTTAGTCAAAGAGTAGCGGGGTTTAGGAGAGCCTCAAAAATAAGGGTTTGAACTTTGAACACCAAGGGTTGGTTCTGAGCTGTTTATTTCATGGGTCCATTCAACGAACCTTAGCTGTTGGAGGTTTTGTCATGATTAGGCAGATGGTTGGGAATGTTTTGTAGCTAAGCCAACAGGGGTCGGTCCCTTGCAGTCATCGACCCGAGGATCGGCGCCCCATCGTCTACCGGGTCTTGGCCATTCCGACGGGCAAGGATGACAGTACTGAGTTGAATTACAGTGTCCGGAAGGACAATGCGCCCTCGCCTGAATGACGGTTGCTGTTGAGGTCGTGCCCTGTCGCCCCAATTACCAATGCGCAGAAAAAAAGTAGAGACAGTTTCTGAAGTCAACCTGGCAGAATGACATGAATCCTGTCACAGGAACTTAATCCGCAACATAGCATTGGAACCCGAAGTCAGCCGACCCCAATGCCTGCAGTTTCACTCCTGCCTTGCAGAGACGATCATATAATATCTTACATGATCAGTTGTGATGGCATACTACAACCAGATCCAAACCATTTTGATCTTCCTATAATCTATGCCCCCTTCTGCATTTAGCTATAGTCCCTATATAACAACAAACAAATACAAGAAACCTATATGTAAAATTATGTGGTGCCCCCTACCTGGTAACGAATCCCAGCCCTCGATATAAGAACATATGAGAACCCCTTTGTAATGTTTTTGAAAACGGATTGAAACCCATTTGTTGGGATTTGGGACTACCACAAGGCCATTTTTGACACCCATGTAGCGCAGAATTCTTGAATGGCTATAGTTTGTCAGGTTATAGAAAGTTGATTGCGTGAATCATGTTGCCACAAATTGGGTGTTTTACTGGTTTACCATTTTTTACCACCCAACCATTCTTTTGCTGGACATCCATAACATTCCCCATCCCCCGCATCCCACGGCTGAGGTGATCGTGGAGGCGCTGCCCAACGTGGAGGGCAACCTGCTGGGCGTGGTCCTGTTCCGCCCTACGGACGAACGTATCGAGGGCTTGAAGTCAGGAGACCACTGTGGTTGGGGTCGTGGATTTGGTTTCTGGGGGTAATAGGTGGTGCCCCATAGATAGATTGGTTTATATCTCATAATTAGGGTTATGGTAGATATTTATAGTTTCTATATGGTTTAGAAACAAACTTATAACTGGGGGGGACACCACTTTGTAGGATAATTTGTTTGGGGAAATTCATGGGAGTTCTCCCCCAACATTCATTATGTCATTGATTGTTTGTGGGAGGGATCGAACGTCGTTCAAAGCTGGCAGCAGACATGGCTGTAATATGCTGTAATATGATCCCAAGAAATGGTGACAGCTGGATTTTTTGAAAACTGGATGTGATTTGGAAGAAGATTTTCCAGAATGTACCCTCTGGTAATTTAACAACACCGTGGAAAATGACCATTTATAGTGGACTTTCCCATGAAAAATGGTGATTTTCCATAGTTAAGTTATGTTAGTTTACCAGACGGTAATGATGGGTTTTCTTTTGCCATTGTAGTGTGTGGTAGCGCCGGGAGTCTCAATATTTGCCCCCTTCAAACAAAGCAATGCTTCAAGCAGCCTGCATCCACTGCACCAGCTGCGTCTATATTTCTCCAGGAGCTGAAGCCAAGAAAATTTTCGAGGACGGAAGTGTGGTTGCCAGTTTTTGGTGTGTCAACGATTGCATGGCTTCAAATATTGATGCACAGCATGATGCACATTTGTGTTGTCTGCATGGTTTTGGGAGAAAGTCATGTTCTTCTAATTAATCAACGAGACACAACTCACACAAACTCATGTTGCTGGCCAGTAGTGAAGCAGTCCTGTTCAAAGTTTGTTCAGGAGCTTTTTCCTGACTGGCCAACACCCATGATCAGCGATCAAGAGTGTGCACCTCAATTGCTCACAAAAATCGGAAAGACAAATAAGACAACCACCCCAAACAAAATCACATATGATTCAAACAACCGCCAGGAGCCAGGCCCCCCGTCTGTGACAAATTGACGTTTAGCATTGATCATTGGAGAAAAAAACATGTTGTTTTGAGGGAATGTATCTGCATTTTTTTTTCAAGATGGCCACCTTGACTTTCACAGTGGTAGCAAGAACCCTCCCAGCCTAGGTGGGAGAATTTCGCGGCTCGAAAGACGCGGCAACTGCCGCAGTTCGCCTACACGGGGCCGGAGCTGAACCTAGGTGCCAGCTGCAGGGGGAGGGGCTGCAGGTCATTTGCGGGTATTTGTTTAGCTAGTTTTGGTGTAGACTTGGCAAAATCTCATGATATCTCATGTCTTGTTTTGGGGTAGGTAATTCGATGTCCTTTCCCCACTGGTTGGTGGATGAGAGAAGAGGGATATTCCACCTGTTTCACCCCCACTATGGGTAAGTATGAGATATTATGAGTGGTTCAGATCGCTGGATACACATCTTGTCCAGCTTAAAAACTTTTAATTTTGACCCATTTTGCCATCCGCCCACAGGTGGCAAGTGTTGTCTCTTGGGTGATGCGATCCACTCGGTGAAGCCCTTCTTTGGTTCCTCGCATGATTGGTGGGTTGGTATGTGATTGGTTGCTTACAACATCCCGTAACTTTGTGAATCGTTAAAGGGTCACACCAAGCGTTGCAAACTATTGAGTGTCTAGAAACTGCAGCGAAGTTCGCAACTAACTTGGGTTGGAAGAATTGGGGCACCCTAGTTCTCTAGTTGATGATCAGCAGAATTGTGTCAGATGTACTGTAACTACAGCCAGCAGTTTGCCCCTGCCATGGCCCACCTTCTGCCCAGGTTTGGGTTTGAACAGCGGTTTTGAGGACATCAGTGTGCTGGACCAATGCAGGGAGACCAAAGGGCGGTGCCTCGTTTCGTGGAGTGGGGCATGATATTCAGGGGTTTAGCTAGCAGCTAGGACTCACAGGCATCCACACCCCAAAAAGATGATACTTATTCAGCATCCATATCTATGTCGGTTCTCTATAAGCATGACATGACCAACATGTTTAGAGTTTAAAGCCATGTTAGTAAAGGAATACTAAGCCACCCCTGTAAATTGATGGTTTATACCGAAGATTTGTGGTAATTTTTGGGATGGTAAAATCTATTGCTTTACTAACATGAGGCCTTTTGTTGCCCCATTCTTCGGTGGCATTAGGCCTGGAGGATTGCAACTCAGACCTGTCGAAGGCTTTGCCGTTGTACACGAGGCAGGGGCTAGTGCCGGGACATGTTTCAGGGTGTTAGATGCTATGGAAATGTTGAAGTTACAGCTAGTTGGTTTTCATGATTTCAATTCAGGAAGTATTGCTTCCACCAGGTCAGGCGTAAATTTGGATCTATTCATATTCATTTTGGAGTCTTGCATGCCCAGATTGGTGGGATTCAATGCTAGGGGAAGTGCATGATTTTGTTTTACAATCTTTCAACTTTTCAAACTCTGACTCATACACTTGGAATGACTTGGGTGATGGAAAAATCTGCCGGAAAATGCCATAATTCCCTTTATTTAATGGTAAATACCCTGGTTTCCCCTGTTTTCCTATAGATTTTCCCTTCGTCCAATCCATTCACGACGCTTGAGGCGAAGGGCTGAGGAGGCCAAGTGCCTGGTGCAATGCCAGCGGCGCTTCGACCAGGTGGGGTTCCAATGGGATCCACCATAGCATTGGTCATACTTGGACCATGATGCACCATGTTTATAGCATCTAAATATGATCTAAACATGTTATAACATGATCATGCTTGGATCCAATATGGCTATGACCAGAAACATGACCGTACTGAATACATTGACTTGAATGATTCAATATGGTTAAAGGTTAACTTTAGGCAGTGTATTTTGGTTGGTACTCAGACTTAATAACGATCCGTCTTTTTTTGGGAGGGAGGGGTGGTGGTGATAATTTGGGGTCATACTCATGAGAGAATTGTTTTGGCATGGGTCGATGAAATCATCAACACAGCAACATAATACAGAGATATGTTTCGATTCAATAGCAATGGTTAAGTGATTGCGGTCCTCATGTTCTTCATCATGGTCATCCTTCTGCTCATTGTCATGACCATCATCAGCGCCATCATTTTCAGTGTTTCCTTTTCTTCAATTTAGCCCCCAGGGATCATCCTGGATAATTAGACATTTCTTTTGGACTCAACTACTGTCAATGCAAAACCGCTTGTTTGAAACATGTTTTTCATCAAGACCCAGGACACCTTGAGGGGCCTTCACTGACGGAGTGTGTTTCTTGCGATTCCATCATGGTGAGTCCAAATGAACACGGGTCAAACAAAACGAACCCCAGAAAAGAAAAAAAACACGCAAATGCATACCGAAAAGATTCACAAAGTACACAACATCCTTAAAACTCCTTACAACGCAAAGCAAATTGGGTAACACACCAAAAACTTGAGCTGTTTTTCAAGAATCATATAGCCTAAGTGTTGATCAACTGAGTCATCCAATCAGAATTACTTGATGAGGATAATGAGGTAAACCCAATCATATTACCATCCCTTACTAGGGAGTCTATTGTTGGGTATGCCCCTATTGGGGATTACAATGGGCCCAGTTTTTGACCAATGTCAGGCCACCGACTTGCGCTTCGCTTTGGCCTTTGTCTTACCCATTGTTTTGGAGACACGGCCGAAGGGCGTTGGGAGGTCCTGCGTTTGAGGAGATGGATTTTTGGCAAAGATTGGTTTCAAGAGTTTGATATGTGGATTACTGAATGATGATATAAAGAGGTGGTTGTAAGACCACAGTCGTTCCTCTAAAAGGTAGATAAAGGTAGTGATCCTCATTCCATTTACCAATTGGGCTGGTTAATTTTTACTTTTATCCGCAAATCGGTTGGTTAACCCCATTCAGAAGTGGCAGATATACACATATAATAACATATAATATCGCAATGTCATATTTTTGATAAATGGTAGCACCCAGATTTTGCTCGGTTAATCCACATTCATACATTATCATCTTGACAGTTTTCTCACTTTAAATTCTGACATCATCTTGGACCATCTCACCTCCTTAGGACACCATTTTCCGCAAGCTGCTGCCCAGCATCTTTGCACCTGGCCTGCTGGTGCCATGGGATGTCTTTTGGGGTGGGGGGTGCGGATGTACCCATGACATTCCATCATAAGATCTGATCAAAAGGATTATAGATGTTTTAAAAAATATGTGATTCGATATGCTTCCATGTGCATCATGTTACACCACACAAAGATGATGGGCCCGTTCCTGTGGCAAGTTGATGAGCACTGGCTTCTTGCGTGGAGGCGATCACCGAAATCATCCCATCAACCTTGATTCTGAGTAGGTGCTATGAACATCTCCACTCCCATCTATTTTCAATGTTGATTAATTACATCAAACACTATCTCGAGTCTCATCCGGCCCCATCTCCTATCCACACATCTCTGCATTCCCGTGTGTTCAATATTTCTTACACCTCCCTTCCCCATCAAACCCTATCCGCCATCCAACCTCTCCCATCCAACCCAAACCCTACATTTTTACATTCATATTATATTCCAATTATTGTTGGTTGCACCTCATGATATTTCCACGACTCCGTAGAAAAATACCAATGTGGTATTTTATTCTTACTAGATTTTCCTTTTTTCCAATATATTTCCATTATAATTCCATTATATCTCCATTATATTCCCATATATTCCCATGCGTTTATTTATTCCCATGATATTCCCACTAGATTCTCATGATTTTCCCATTGTATTTCCATTAAAAAGTGGTTAATCCCATCCCAACCCATCACAGGCGCTCTTCCAAGACGGTGAGCTCACCTTCACCGCGGCCAAGCGCCGAAAGCAGCGCGATCGCATCCTGCAGGCGTTGTTTTGGGAGGATCTTTTGAGAATATCCATACAAGGTGGTGCCCCATAGTTAGCTAAGTTGGTTTATAACTCCCATAACTCCCATAACTATGGTTTATGGTAGATATAACTATAGTTATTGGGGTTTATAAACCAACTTATAACTGGTAATTTAACATAGCTATTGAAAATGGCCCATTCATAGATGGTTTACCTATTAAAAATGGTGGATCTTTCCATAGTTTTTTGTATGTTTACCGAAGGGTATCCATAGTTTAGGTGACTTTGTGAGTGGGATATCTGTCATATATATTTTCATATTTTTATTGAAACACCTGTTGAATCATGAATATCTTGAGAATATCCAGAGTTTTTCCATTGAAAATACCTGTTGAAACATGAATATCTCAGGATATCCATATTTTTCATGTGTTTTTTCCATTGAAACACTTCTTGTTGATTGATGAACATCTTGAGAATACCCAGAGTTTTTCCATTGAAAACACCTGTTGAAACATGAATATCTCAGGATATCCATATGTTTTCATTTGTTTTCCATTGGAACACCTGTTGAATGATGAATATCATGAGAATATCCAGAAATTGTTTCATGAATTCCATGAATATACCTCTTGAATGGCTGGGTGATATCAAACCTTGCTGGTGTCACTTTTACCGGTTCATCTCCATTTCTGACGTTTCTGTTCATTGGCAACATCTCCATTTTCATCGATTACGTCCCAATGTTTGTTGGTATGACCGACCGGCGTTTCAAATTGGAATCTGCATTTATGTTGGTCCAACCAAACCAGTTTTGACCGGCAGAATCACCTGTAATTATATAGATAGGGGCATTTCTCCATGTATCATGGTTAACCCAGATTTTCAACGGTTAAGTCTCACTTTCTTCAGAATCAAATCAACTTATTCCGCTTAAGTCAAATTTTGATTGTGTCAACTCCCACATTTTGCAGGTTTCATAAGTTCCATAGCCTTTGTTCCACGGCCCAGACCATCATCATCTTGGCCTTCCTCACCCTGCTGTGCTGCGGCAGCTTCTGGGCCCTGCGCGGCGTCACGCGATTTCTCTGGCGCTGCCTGGCGCCGCCGGTGCATGGCTGGCTGCACCATGAGCTCATGTGAGCGCAGGGATGCCATGGATGATGGAGAAATCAACAACCAGTTGGGGGTGAATTTTCTATGTTCTTTTCAACTGGTCTATGCTGCAAATCAAGCCTCAATTTGGCGGACAATCCCAGGGTTTTCAATATCCCCATTAGGAAAAAAACGCATCATGCTCAAGATGCCATGGACGAGATGAGATTGTGGTCTAGAAAACATGGAATTTATGGCGACCCTTCAAGTACGGCTGAGGTTGGCGGAGGTTCCAGGAGGTGTATTCCTGTATGCCTCCACCATATTGTTTGAACTTAGAGACTGCGCCGTGGATCTGTGAGAAAGGCCGCTGATGCTTGGAGCTGCAGGGCCAGATTCTCTCGACAAAGGGACCAGGTATTTGGTTGGAGAGTTTTGAGGGCACAACCTGCAACCATATTCTTTGGGTCACTTGGCAAAATGCGGAGCCTCTAGTAAATAGTTATGTGTTTTGTTTTGGTGGGGTGGTTGAATTATTGGAGAAAAAAACAACTGTACACAACCTGGTGGTGGTGACCCATGCGCATCCAACAGTTGAACTTGATCAAGGTTTTCTGCAACCCTGCCGCCCTTCAGCAAGAAACTGAAGCCGCCTGGCAAAATTCAGTGGGGTGTGGCCTTGGGGCTAATGCACAGCCGCAGGGATGCGACACTTAGCGATCTCAGATCTCAAAGTCTCCAAGAACATTTTGGAGGGAAAAAGTCCTTTCTTTTTTCAGGGATGAATGGTGAATGGTGATGACCCAACAGGGGTAACTTTTAGTTTGATGTCCAGACGCACGGATCTGACTCCCGAAATATCGGTTTATGATCCACCCCTCAAACAAAAAAAACAAGTGACCTAAACACGCCTAAACCTGGTCCATTGAAACCATCTTCATGTTGGATGTTTTTGAGACAGCCGCTTGGACCATCCCCTTGTGCCACCCTGGTCTGAGGACTGATGTCGACTTGCAGCTGATCTTGGTGGCTCGGCATTCGGTGGTTGCTGACCAGTGGCACCAGTGGGTAGGATGCTTTTTATTGGAAAGTTCCAGATGAGCTTTGATCCAGAGGGCGCCTTTCCAGGCATTCACCCCCACTTTGTGACTGGCTTGGATTTTTGGGGGCCGTGTTTTGATGACGAGCAGTGTGAACTTACCCTTGATCTTACCAACAGCCGGCTTGGTTTCACACAGCCATACGGCTCAAAGAAGTGATCCAGAGGTGGGTCCAGCAGCCCACCTCCCCTTTGCCAAAAAAGAACATCCCCTTAGATCCCCAGATCTCGGCTGTTGATCCCCCATCCTTGATGGGCGCCCAGCCATCGCAATGCTGCGACGGGTGGGGGGACCGCAGCATGGAGACGCCTGAGGAGGTGGAAGCGCATCCGTGGACTGAGGAGGATCCGTCCAAGAGCACAGGGCAGCTGCCAGGGTTGCCAGGCTCCAAGATGCCAGCCTTCAATCGGCCCAAGCATGGGAGGAGCTTACTGGACCTGCTGCAAGGGAAGTGGCATCGAAAAGAGGATGGCCAACCCGTAGGTGGCTGGGAGCGCGATGTTCCAAAGAGATGTGTCGTTATCACATGTTGGCACATATTAGTTCCTATCCACATTTCTTCAGCAAAACATGTGCAAAAATGGGGTCATGATCCAACTGATTAGTATTTCCTCTGGTTTATTTGCACTAAAACAATCCATGAATTTCACATGTTTCAGCTGTCTCACCAGGTGACATCAGTGGTACCTACATCGTGTGGAACCCTCGGTGGCAGTTCCAGGAAGTGATTTCGCCCATCTCGGAGGATGTCTCGGGGGCGGTGGTCATCGATCTTGAGAAGCAGTTGCATTTTGGACGGCCCTACTTCGGCCCTGAAACGCTCATCAGTTGGGGGGATGGAGACCTTTGGGTCAAGAAATCCGCAGTTTAGCCCAATGAGGCCATAGGAGGCCATAGGCAAGACTGAGAGATAGTGATGAGTGAAGCTTTTTTGTGCGGGAAAGCCATGGCCTGCGCGAAATCCGCTCAAGTCAGGGGATTTAGGATTTAGGGGAGTTCACTCGAGACATTGAACACCGGTGGTGGGGCCCTGGCATGCAAATGGTTTAACAAGCGAAACCATACGCTTGCATCACCTGCATACATTACAATGATAAGAGTGCGCGCAGAAAACATGAGACTTCAATCAGATTCAATCAGGGTTCATTTGTGATTTAGAATTACGTTTGGATCCGGCCTTCATCAAAGGCGTGCGTTGCATGTGCACTCAGGGCCCCATAGCCAGCACATAGTACTCGCGAGCTTCGGCCGGATCGTTTAGGTCTTTCGGAATGGTTCGCCTCAATTAGCGCCAAAGAAACTGCTTGGATGATGTGGGCATGAGATGGTTCGGGTTAAGCTTCTGCGGTTGTTTCTTCGGCGTTAGAGCGAGATGCTGATCGTTTTCTCAGCCATCTAATTGTTCACGTGGTAGCGGCTCTTTTTGGTGACCTCGTATAGATCAGTGTTTCGTGCGGCCAGCTGCAACTTGATGGCCAGCAGAAGCCTGACCTGCCCCTGAGGTCATTGAAGGATAGCAGGCCAGGCAGTTGCGGACAGCTGCAGACGGGATGCGGCCTTTGATGTGCAACACTACAGATTGAGTTGACAAGGTCCTGTAATTATTCCCTCCGAGGTTGGGGATGGTTCCAAATATAGATCCACATAGTAGTGGGACACCCGCAATGAATTTCAGCAGTAATTAAATGTGGCCAAGTCCTGTTTGTATGGTATGGCCACCTTCAAACCATCCAGTTTGGAGCCGATTTTATCTTTGGAAAGCATAAGTTTTCATCTTTCGGGGCAGGGCCGCTTGCCATGTTCGACATCAAACTGTGTTTTTTTCTTTTGGCTCGAGAATTCCCATAGCTTGCAAATAAGGCGGATGCGAAGAGAGGCTACGATAGAGTTGAATCATGCCTAAGACAAGTAAGTAGGTGCTCCACACCCAGGCTTGGCATGATAAAGATCCGCACAATTTAAGGCAGGCCGGCAGGCAAGTACCAGATTATCACAGCATATCACAGAGACTTGAAATAATGGAGCGCTGGCTTTAAAATGTTGCAACTGCAACGGCTGACCGCCAGGGCACAGAAAGGATTCAGCCAAGCTGGCACGGTTGAACGGTTAAAATATGTTGAAATAAGTCGGGGCAACTTCGGCAGATCTTCCAACACATTCAGTTCCCAACCCTGTCGCAGTTGCGTATTTTGCTCCGAAAAGTGAATAAAGCTATTCCAAACATTGGTTTCAACACCTTTTTCCCCAGTTCTCAGGTTACAAACAGTAATTAACCCCCACCAAGAATGATGAATCAGCTGTCAACAGTTAAGTTAGCCAGGTGCCTCAAGCACCACCATACACAGCCCCCAGCTGTTCCATGGTGCGTCCCCATGTCCTGCGCTATGTGTGGCCGCTGCTCGCGTTTCTTGCGCTGTTCCAGGGAAGAAGTCCCCGTGACTTCGCATCGGACGCGCCACAGGCGTCCAGCCCACAGCGAGTGCGGAAGAGGACGCGCAAAGAGAGGACCCTGGTGGACCCTGGTGGCCCTGCTGAAAGTGAGATTGGGGGGTTCCTAAGTCATGGGGGTACCCCCAAATCATCCCCATATATGACTGGTATACAGGAAAACTTACACCCTCTACATCCAACCTAGAAAATCTAGGTTTTCCAGGGTGTACCTAGAATTGTTGTTCCCTAATTTGGTAATAATCACCCCAAACAATGATAGCTTTGATATGCTTCAAGTGAATTAGGACATGTTGAATGCTATGACATATTCCATTCAATGCATCATGTGGATGAACAATCAATTGAATTAGATTCCATCATAGAAATTCAGAAAAACATATTGGGTTCTGATGTTGATAGCAGTTGTATTGCTGGCTTGAGCGCAAATATATGAAACTATATTATATTAAACTTATGTTATCAAGCGTTGCTTCCAGCTCTGACATGTAGTTCAGAGGCCATCTCAAAAAGTGCATTGATAGATATGTGAAACACTTTCAACGCACTGTTTGGGTGATTTTTTTTTGGGGGGGCAGTGTCCACGACAATTCTAGGTTGTTCCACGACAATTCTAGGCCGTTCCACGACAATTCTAGGTCGTTCCACCGTTTGTCCATGGTTTGTCCACAGTCATGTTTTTCGCACAAAAAAAGGACAACAAAAACACATACGGATTTTTGTTGATCCCCACATCATCACTTTGCTGGTAAGTTTCAGCATTGAAGACCAGTGAAGAAACTGAGCAAGTGTAATTATGGTGAACTTAATTGAGTTTACATTGCTAGCATTTGATATGCCATAGCTTTGGCAAATTGTTGACGGAATGTTGGGTTGTTCATGTGAATGTTTAAGGCAATTTCATAAATTTTTGTTGGTACTTTCGAGCCCATGCTGGTAGTCACCGAGCAGCTTCCCAATGGCACCTTTGCATGAATATATACAAACATACCTTTACAATCCTTTACATACAAATCTAGGTCGAGCTTACAAATCTAGGTCTAGACCTAAAAATCATCTAGGTAGCGGAAGTGTAGGGTACAGGAACCTGCGCTTTTTCGTTTAGAAAAAAGGCGCAATGAATTCATCACCAATTGCATTTAACCCATGGCTGACCCAGTTTGACCGCGGTTAGCATCGGTGTAGGACGGCCGCTTTCGATGAGTTGCTGCGCAACCAGAACGAGTCCCAGGTGTTGCTGTGGCTCTCCAGGGCTGACTCGGAATCCTACCAGTTGGCCATGGAAAGGTGTCCCCCAGGACTGGCCGCGAAGGTCTATGGGCAGATGCTTGACCTCCATGGCAGCATTTTTGGGGATGGCTCATGGCACCTTACGTAGCCTTTGTTTGGGGACACCCATATGTTTTGCGGGACATATATGACATGATCATTTGCCAGCTGCATATAAAAACCATACGCATACCGGCCTTTGTTGCCAACCCATTTAAAAGCCACTGTTGCAGCAGTTTGCGTGAAACGTGGCCTTGGTTTACTATCCCAAACGTATGCCAAGAATCCTGCACATTGGTAACAATTATATAAAACCATCTAAATCGCCAATGTTACTATTTTTTGGATTGGCCTTGCCCCTGAGGATGTGTCGGCAGCAGGTTGCGGACACAAATGCCACCGCTCTGACGCACGCGCTGAGGGCCTGTGCTCAGCTGGGTGGTTGGCGTAGGCTGAGAACCCTCGTGCGGAAGATGGAGGTGGGGAAGTTTTGGGCCGACCTGGGTGCATGGTGGGCAATTAAGGATCATTAACGTATATATCTCCAACTAGTTGGCGGTTTCATTTTTGTTTAGCCCTGATTTGGGATGATGATCCCAACTGGTCCCAACTGACTAATATAGTGTATCCTTTGTGGGAATGTCCCCCAATCCCTGCAAACTACACTTGGACCACCTCGCTTGATGCCCATGATGCTACCAACTGCAAACTGGCCGCCAGTTTGTCAAAAGCAACTGGAAGAAAGTTCTCCAGCGGCTCGAAACCCTTTCCTGGGATCCCGATCTTAATGGTCCAACCAGTTTTCAGCTAGGGTTTGTGGCTTGGCATGCTGGAATGAGGCTTGAGGCATCTTCAGGCCAAAGACTTGACTCCAGCTATGCCGCTATGATTAGGAAAGCCTTCAACATCATCACGAAGAAATTTTCAGACACTCCTGCCATATCCTGCCAGGCCCGGCGAAGTTTCCGAAAAATGCAAAATTGATGGGAAAAATCAATGCTTCAGACTACATAAAGGGCGGGAAGATTGTTTGCCATGCCTTTCCCTGCCAATCGCCTCCTTGGGGTTGCTTTCGTGGGTCGCAACCATGTCCTGTCTAATGCCCGTAGTCTGGGTGACTGCGTGCTGCGAGTGAGAGTGCTTCCCGCCCTGTGTGAACAACTGACTAATATGGTCCAGCTGGGTTGAGACCCGACCAGCAATAGGCCCATAAAACTTGATGTGCTGATTTTTGGTATCGGCTTGGGAAAATCGATGGAACATGATAGAAACTAGACTAGCCAGCTCATGAGGCCCATGGAGTTGGGGTTCAGGGGGGTGGTCCAAGCTCTGCGGGTTTCAAGGTCACCAGTGGATGGCCTGTTTGATTGGTTTCTCTTGTTGAAGATGGATCAGGCCATCAGGCTTGTTAAATGGTTGAAAAGTGGCTCTTGTTGGAAGCAGGTGCCAGCTATAACCTGCAGGAAAATTGAAATTATAGTTTCTTGAGCTGTAGGATAGGGTGATGTTTCTCATGCATTTTATGATTGTCTTGGGGTTACTTTGTGTCCATCTTGGGGAAATCTTAACTCTCTAGCGAATAATTACCCAAAATCAAATAACACAAAGATACAACGGAACTCAACAACTTAACTCTTATAACTTATAGGTTAATCAAGGTTTGGACATGAAGAACTTAATTCTGTGAATGCAACTCTTGCAGGAGCAGGGTTGCTGGCACAATCTGGATGCTGTTGAATCTGCCCTGAAAGCTGCGAATACGACGGGTCATGTGACGATAGCTGCGCGGATCCTGGACTGCTGGCACCGGGGCGTCGACCTGCTACCACTTTGAAACTAACGCGTGAATCAGGATAAGTAAATGAAGCCAACCGTTTTTTCCCCTGTTGCAGTTAAAACCATTTTATTACCAGATGTAAATGGTTGTAAAAGTTATATGTGGGGATATGTGGGGTTACCATTCCATAAACGGAATTAGACTTATAACTGGTAAAGGGCCATTATTGTGATCTGGGAGTCAAGGTAATTAGTTTGACTACGATATTAACAACCACCAATTGCTTGGATTCACTGATTTCCACGTCAACGAACCAAATTTGAAGGTCCTGGAGGATACCGCGCTGCATTTTGCAGCCTTTGCCAATTGTCTCGTTTGGTCATTGATTCATGTTGGGAGGGAACCGGTCGGAGTCAGGGCCGTGGAACTTTAGGCCTCAGCCATTCATACTGAGACGCAGGTGGTTTGGCAGCAGGTACCATTCCCATTTATAATATATATATATATATAATATCTGTATATATATATATATTATATTTATGTATCGCAAATAGCCCCAGCAAGAAGATGGAAACATGTCAGAACCAAATAAACCCAAATATGAAACGGTCCCAAAGAATTGAGTGTAAATCCCCAGTAAGGCTACTGTACCTCCGTGCTGTGCCCGGAGGACCAGATGGCTTCGAACCGTTTGGCTGTTAAGGAGAAACACTACAGCTGGGCCATCGAAGCTGCTGCCAGGAGCTTTGTGGTCGGGGGAGTGGTGCTGGTTAACCTTGGGCAGGTAGTTTGCGCATAGGTTAGTCCTTCAGTTTGTTGGCCATAAATGGTGGTGAATGGGGAATAGTTATTCAGTCAATTCTTTTCTATAGCCAATCCTGGATGTGCGGAGATGATGATGATGATGATGACGATGATGATGATGACGATGATGATGATGATGATGGTGATGATCATGGTTATGATTCGAATGCTTGATTGATTTGATTGACTGATTGACTGATTGATTTGAATGATTGATTGATTGTTTGATTGATTGGTTGGTTGATTGATTGGTTGGTTGATTGGTTGATTGACTGATTGATTGATTGGCTGATTTGATTGACTGATTGGTTGGTTGATTGGTTGATTGAATGGTTGATTGATTGATTGGTTGGTTGATTGATTGATTGATTTGATCGGTTTGACTGACTGGCTGACTGGCTGACTGACTGACTGATTGATTGATTGATTGGTTGATTGATTGATTGGTTGGTTGGTTAGTTAGTTTGTTGGTTGGTTGGTTGATTGACTGATTGATTGATTTGATCGATTTGACTGACTGACTGACTGACTGACTGACTGACTGACTGACTGACTGACTGACTGACTGACTGACTGATTGATTGATTGATTGATGATGACGATGATGGCTGGTGACAATCATGGTGATTCTGATGATGGTGATGGATGATTATGATGATGATGGTGATGATGATGACGATGATGATGATCATGGGTGATGGATGATGATTGTTGATGATGGTGATGGTTGATGATGATGATGATGATGATGATGACGATGACGCTGATGATGATGATGATGATGATGTTCATCATCATCATCATCATCATCATTAGTTTGTAAAGATGTTACATGGTTGGATGTCGCTTAGCGACCAAATCGCACAGGTAGATCACCCAACCACCTTTTGAAACATCTTATCCGGACTGGTCCATCGCCCGGGTTCAAAGGGAAGTGCCAACCTTGTGGGTTACGGAATCCCAAATGTCCAATGCTGTAGGTTTGATTTCGTCATTTTTTCTCAGCGGGTTGTTGCTTACTATCCCCTCGTTGATCCTCGTTGTTTGACTTCATTGGTTGTATAAACTAATCTGGTTGGTGGTTTCATTTTTTATTTTCCATAATATATGGGATGTCATCCTTCCCATTGATTTTTTTCAAGATGGTTAAAACCACCACCCAACAATTTTGCAAGCAGTAAACTCAGTGAACTCAATAAACCACACCCCATTTCCCCATCTTCAAGTTTGGCCGTTGCTAGGCGGAAACCCCCGAGCCCCGGGGCAGCTACTTACTTCATGCAGGAGTTGATGCAGCAGGCGACTGGACCATATAATTACCTTACCTTAGACCTTAGGACCGTACATTTTGTAGGTACCAGTGCCTCCAGTTTGGGTACTTGGAATATCCCCTGATTTTTTTTGGGCGGAGCCTCCAATAGGGGATTGTGGCATATGCAATCCATTTCTGGTCATATTGAGGATTAATGATTTTGTGTGTCAAGAGACTGCACCTAACAATTTCCACCTTCCCAGGGGCTTTGCACAGAATTGACCCGAGCCAACAGATATACAGATGGGAACAGATGGGTTTCTGCTTCCTATGTTCCCTTCCATGATTTCTTTGAACCGGAGGCCCAAGTAAAAAAGACGCAGATGGATGATCTCTTATCAGCCCATCGCGATTCACCTTTGAGCCTCACGATGCATACCATGCGGAACCTGACGCTCGGTTTTGTTTGTTGGTTCTGCACTCTGGGTGGGAAGGCTCTTGGGTCATCCATCATGGCAGATATGGCAGGATTTCTTATTTTGTTTGTATCGCATGACTGCGTTTTTGAAGTGTCTCGTGCACATGGTGTTTGTCCAGTGTGATTACCGGGCAACAGCTGCAAAGTAACATACAGTAGTTGGAAGATGTTTTGTAGGGATGCAGCCATTTGGAGCTCAAAACAGAGGTCTGAGATGCATCCAGGGCAGTCAAAAACGCTGATCTTTTTGGGACGTTGTTCGCATGTGTGTATGAAATAAGTTTCATGCGGCCGTTTTGGCTGACCTACTTTGGTGACAGTGGCAGCTGCAATCCCAAACCCCAGTCACAAGTAAAGGTTCATAGGGCTGAAAACAACACTGTTTGTGTTGTTGACTGTTTGGGACATCCCGGAATATCCAAGACTCATGGGTCTGGGGTCTTTACTGCAGGCCTCAGCGCTCATTCATGTGGGTGCGTCGGAAAATGGGGTACCCCAAAAACCACCGGATTATCATCATCGTGGTTCATCTTGGGCAGTATCTGGCGGGTTTGCCCATAGGCCCATAGATGTCCATAGTTGGACGGGTGGAAACCACAAAACCCTGACACCGAGGCTGATTCTAGCCAACCAATCCCGGACCTTTGCTCCAACAGAGGGCAGGAGCCTGGAACCGGGAAAATCTTGTGGAGGAGAAAATAACGTGGCTATGAAAAATGGCCCATGTATAGATGATTTACCTAAGAAAGGGGATTTTCAACAGCTATGTTACTATCTTAGTTCATCAGAGGGTAATCGTTGTTTCCTATTTCAAATGATTCTCGGAGCCATCCATTGATTTTGCTTCCCTGCAACTCAAGTGCAGGAAGGGAAAGAATCGGCAGATCACAGCAGAGGCGGCTGAAGTGATGCTCGCGAGCACCTGGGAGACAGCTACAGATGGAGACTTTCTGATAGTTTCCGGACATTTTGAAAGGGGCAATCCCTTCCTAATAGTATTTCATACACTTTCATACGCCCTTGAAATGCTGGTTTAGTATAATTTATATAAGACAATGCACTATTACACTTATATATATATATATACATATATATTTATTATTATATAATATATATAAAAAATAATATCGTACTATATTATATTTTATTGTATTATATTATATTGTATGATATTATATGATACTATATTATATTATATGATAATATATTGTATTATATTATATTATATATTATATTATATTATATTGTATTATATTGTATATTATATTGTATTATATTGTATATTATATTATATCTTATTATGTTATATTGTATTATATTATATTATATTTTATTATATTATATTATACCATATTATGTTAAATTATATTATAATTTAATTTATTATATTATATTATTTTTTTTATTATATTTTATTATATTTTATTATAATATATTATATTTTATTTTATGTTTATAATATTATATTATTTTATATTCTATTATTTTTTTATTATATTATATTATATTATCTTATATTATATTATATTTTATATTTTTATTTTATTTTATTTTCTGTATATTACATTTTAATATATATTCTTTATATTATATATTTTATATTATATATAATTTTGGATAGGTCCCCTGTTGTGTTGTTCCTCGTTGTTCTTTTTGTCGGGGATGGGTTGATTTGACGAAGGACCCATCAAACGGAAGCCACAAGGAACGGAAAATCAAGATCCATGAATTCATGAATCAACGGTGCTCATGATGGATCTTGATCTACAACCAACGAAAATGGGGTTACTTTGATGTTCTGATGAAAAACATGGGGTTATTTTATGTTATTTTGATGTTCTTTTTCAGACCAACGACCCCCGCCATTATACCTAGGGGTGCCTAGGTTTGGAAAGCAGTCAGCTGGGGAAAGACGCAGTCCAAGTTTTGGATGTGTTCCTTTTGCACCCAACTACCAAGCAACTAGGGGTGGTGACAAGCCAAGGCCTTTTGGGGCAGATGCCCCATGAGATGAATGTGAGCCAGTGGCGTGGCACTTGTATCCGTTGGCCAAGTTTTCTACGGGGAAAACATGTTAAGAGACTTGGGAGATCTTAACCCGGCTCTCTTAACATAAATATATGTCCCAAGGAAAAGCCTTATTTATGGAATCATAAGTTTATATTTATAGGATAGTTATAGTTCATATTTATAGGATCTTAATCCAGCCAAACTGTGTTTGTGTTTCTTTCTCTCGAAATCTTTGATTCGTGCTGTCATGCTTCCCTGTGTCCGAGAAGATGAACCAGGATTGATTTGCTATCCTTCTACTCCACAGTATCCTAGGTGTCATCTCATATTCTCTCATATTATATTCCCTGATATTGTCCCATGCTGTCCCATACTAAGATATACTTAAGTATCCAGTATTAGTACATAAAAATCGCTCCTAAGTGATTGTGTATGTTAGGAATGACTTGAAATCCCAGTGCCCCAGGTTTGAAAAGCTGCCACGTCAACAGCGGACAGCAACACTGAGTCTCGTCAAGGACTTCAACAAGGCAACTGATAGTGTTAGTTGGCTGGTTGACAAAGAGCATATCATGAAGAGAAGCCCTACACATGTGCGACCCTTTGCCCTATGCAGCCTATGCATGTATTATGTTCATTTATGTTCTGGAAATATGAGATAATCATGTCATGTGTGCTCTTTGATGTGTGCACGATTCAAATGTCAACTTGAATGTGCTTCAATTGAATACGTGCGATACTAGCCAATATGATATTACCTAGACCTGACTATATGGGATGCATTGACTCTTAATATCGAACCTTTGGTGCAGTATCCTAAGTGACCCTTCCAAGTTCTCTATGTGACCGTTTTTACTGTTTCGATGGGGTACTTTGGAAGCGACTCTAAACAGACCCACGATATCAAAACAAAAACAGGAACCAATGTTACTTTCAAGAATTTGGTGTATAAAATAAAATAAAATAATATAATATAATACAGAATTTATAATATATAATTTATATTATATATATATGCACATACATTCATTTGTAAAACAGAATCTAGCCATGCCAAGCCAAATCAGCTTCACAGGAAGATAATATGATTATAGCGATGGTTTCAGTGCAAGATGATTTGATAGAGACAACACAAAATATAAACAAACATTAATTAAAGTGATATTTCGGGAAGCTGGATTCATTGGTTTTTGTCCGCTTGACAAGGTCATGTATGTACACAAATCATCACAAATTGGAAGAAGCCACGATGCATCCTTAGTTTACATGCTGAAAAACGACGAGTCCACTCATAGCCCCTACTAAGATGGTTTCTTCCATTGCCATCATTCTGCTTGTGCCAGGTCAGAGTGTCCGTTCCAAAGCGCAGCCGCTGGGTTTTGCGCCTTTCGACCAATGGCCCCAATGGCCCCAAAGCTGGAAGTGATGCTGCGTGATTCTCAAGGTGTTTTCTTGATTTCTGCAGATTAGTACGCCACCGGCTACTGGTAACATTTAAATTTATTATTTTTTTTTTGCGGTATACCTTCCCATGTGCACATGATGTTTCCATTAAAACACATCATTAATTAATGCTCAATTTGCAGGGGATCTAACATTGCCATGTTTGATTACAGGAGGGTATTCCTTTTTTTTGGTGGTTGGTTCTCTTTTTGGGCGTCCCAGGATGATGATTTTGTTGTCACTTTCTGTTACGACTTGGGGCATCTTGGGGCACTGCCTGGACTTTGACTTTGGCACAGTTACATAAGAACCCACTGAAGGCGAGCTAGGTTCAGTTTGGCAACCTTCGGCCATTTGGACAGAACCCTTACGGATATGTCACGGTAGCTCAATGAAATGCTATTGAAGTAGCTGAATAGCGCACTATGCATCTTCCATCATCTACTCATATCTGCTCTTGGCAAAGGTTCAGTAAAAATTGATTTGAGAAGCATGCGTCATCACACAAGCGTCGCTGGCTGCCGCGGAATACCACTATGCGCGCGGCATGCAACAGATGGTGACTTGCGAAGGTGTGGTGAAGTATCACTCTTCCACAACAATCCTTGAAACAACAGAAATCTCAGTTTTATTTTTGCCTATTCCCAGAATTCGCTGAAGCGAGCATTTAAAGGTTGCAGCCAGCTCTTTGGGCGTAAAAACAATGGTTTCGTGTAAATATTAATGTTCCCTTTAGCGATCCATTTTCTTATATGTGACTCTTCTCCAAAAATGATCCCAATGATTCTCGTTTCCCCACTGGGTTGTTACCCACCTGCCAGGTGAGGGTGTCTTGAGTCTTGATTTTATCGTGCCACTCCTCCTTCCTTCCTTCCTTCCTTCCTTTTGCGACTACTCCTGCTCCGCCTGACGGCAGCCTTGTCTTTCCGAGCCATGCGGCGAGCTCCGGATGCTGTGGGGCACGCCTGGGCCCGAATGCCATACAGAATGTCAATAGATGCCAGATAGAATGCGGGATAAAATGTCAGAAAGAATGTTAAATAGAATGTCGGAATAGATGCTAGATAGAATGTCTGGAGAGAATGTCCGAAAAAAACATGTCAAATAGAATGTCGGAATAGATGCTAGATAGAATGTCTGGAGAGAATGTCCGAAAAAAACATGTCAAATAGAATGTCGGAATAGATGCTAGATAGAATGCCTGAAGAGAATGTCAGAAAGAAGGTTGGATAGAATTCCAGAAATGTCAGAAAGAAGGTTGGATAGAATTCCAGAAAGAATGACAAAAAAAATGTCAGAATGGATGCCAGAAATCAATAATGTTAAAATAATGTGTCACGGTGGGGAACGCTCGAGGGAAAGTATGTCTTTCAACCAACACCAGACAGCTCAAGTCACCATCAGATTCCCTGACCAAGGGCGGGCATATTTTCCATGGGGGCATGGCAACTGGAAATGCTGAACCTGGCTTTGCTGAGCCGGTGATTTGTATCTCCCCAATGGGAATTGTTACCATTTGGGGCTATAGGGGTTATTTTTGTTTTTTGGGATCCATGTTATGTTTTTTTTTTGTTTCAATCCTTGGGCCTTTGGGCCTGTGGGTTCAAAAGCTGATCAGATACTGTGGATGTGATGCCAACCAGTAGCAACTGGAAAGTTCATAGCCTTCATGGAGAGTCTGCTACTGATCTTGGAGGAACTCCTTGAACAAAGAGCATACAAAGAGCTATGGCCGGCATGGGCCACATGATTAAGACATTGAATATACATAGTTACATATATGTTATTTGTAATAGTTTATATGTCGAAATTGGATTAGAATCGGATAGACTTACTAGTTCTATAGTATAACACAATATAACGAAAACCACTTTGGGGATTCAAATTGACCTGCAATTGTTGGCCCACAATCAACTCCAAAAGCTAGTTGATGACTGGGTGGTCCACACTGCCCAACAGGTGCTGTGGTTTCAGCCGGCACGTTTGAAAAAGTTGGACACATGACCCATCTTTGCGCGGTGGCTTCACATGTGAATTGGGATGAAGATCACACATCCACAATGTCTCAAGAAAGGCATCCATCGTACAAACCATGTCAAATTGGAGGTTTACCCGGTTACCCTTCCGGTAACTAATTAGTCATGGCAAAATATGGCAAAGGACAATCCACCATTCCCAGATGTTTTTTCATAAACACCTCCATTTATAGGGCATTTTCAATTGCAGTGTTTGATTTGAATGTTGATTTGCCCCTTTTGACTCGTCGATAATGAAAGCACGATAACAATGCCCCTGCAAGATAAGATGATTATGCTCCTTGACATCAATCCAAAACAATCAAAGATCCAACAGCAAAGCACAAATAAGCCAACCAATTCCCTCAGAAATCAACTTTCACATTCAACTTGGCCCATCAGGTTGCCGTGAGAGTGAGTTGCTTTGAGTCTGCGGATGTTGTTTTCTCATGTTTTATCTAAATTGGTGATGTTTGCTGGGTATAACCCTTAGAATGATGAACCATGGTTACACCATGTTACACCCAATTGCCTTGCTCATTTTGGGCAGCTTGGATGAGTTGAAGACACATTCACCAGCGGAATTGCGGAATGGGCGTTTCACCCTCGGCACGGCCAAGATAGCGGAAGCAGGGACATGGAAAGGAGAGTGTGTTGGCCATGTGGTTTTTAAACCAGCATTCAACTGTGCCTATAGATCCCCTGGGTATCAATATATCAACATGCTGCCCATTTGGCTTCGTTTTGTGGTCCTACGAGGTCCAAACAATTGTCCTTTTGACAGGATTTCGACATTTGGTTCTACATAGCCGGGAGGTCTATTGCCATACGTTGCATGGATGCTGGAAGGTTTGAACCTGTTCTTGTTTCATGCTGAAACACCTATATACCTAATTACTGGATGATAGCTGAAATTGGTGCACATCTAAGTTTCTAAAGATTCTAAAGGCGTTAATTACACACGACCTACGCACCAAGCACTTGGATGCCAAGTTGTCGAAAGCTAATCCCACGGGATAGGAAGGGGCCAGAACTCACTTCGGCAATTCCTTTGCAATGCGCCATGCTTTCCTCTTCAGCCAATCAGATAATCAGATCGTATACCACGGATTCCTCTGTAGGCCTTCCCTTCTAACGAAGCTAACCACGGGTAATCTCACTTCCTGCTAAGGCGCTCACCACGAGGTTGGGGATGTGTCACCTTGGGAGTTGGATAGTTTTTTTAATTATATACCCTCTGGTAAACTAACGTAACTATGGAAAATCACATTTTTTAAGGGGTAAATCCACTATAAATGACAATTTTCAATAGCTATGTTAGTTTACCAGAGGGTAACTTTTAACATCCAAATGGTAATCACAGGCGGATCCTTCAAAATTGTGATGCCTATTGGATAGATAGATGGAATACGTATTGAGTTTGACTTGGTTGTTTTGAAGATGAAACGATTCATGTTGATTGTTTTTTTGCGTCCAATAGTTTGGACCTATCATGCATAATACTGCAAGTCAACAGATTTGGTTTTGAGATTGTCAAATTCTGAGTAGGAAACTCATGGGTTCGAATAACGCTCAAGAAGAAGAGGGGCTAGCAGCACAGCTGGCAACAAATTCAACACCTACTTGAGAATGCAGTAGGTTGACGGGTATGGCGATGGTTATACTGTAACTCACACAATTTTGAATATAACCCCTCTAGTACTCTATATCCACTTATATTTGGAACTGCACCCCCAAGTATGTCTCAGGACAGTTCTAAACTGAATGGTTTGTACAGCCCAGCTCAGTCTACACTTGCAGGGTCGTTTTGCTCGTGTAGATTCAAAGATGACCGGAGAAATCCACCACGGAACGCCCACTGCGACTGAAATAAAGAGAGACATGTTTTCCCATCAGACAGGACTTGATTGAATCAATATACCCATGACGGATCCATGGTGCTGCTATATATGGTGTGCCATGGATCCCATCAATATACCCCCTTTATGTTAGCATATATACCAGCACCATGGATCCGTCATGGGATCTAACGTAGCTATAGAAAATCACCATTATTAATGGGTAAATCCACTATAAATGGCCATTTTCAATAGCTATGTTAGTCATTACCAGAGGGTATATCAGCTGATTTGAAAACCTGCCGCGAATCACAGTTACGCCATGGTAACTCCAAGATGGACTGACCTTCTGCCAGGTCAGTCCTGGGGACAGTGAGGAGAGTGAGACGGAGGTATGGGGTGTGTGTAGTGTGATTGGATGGCGCCAAGGTCAACCCTGAAAGGGGCAACTTTCATGGGATTTCAAGCGTAAAAACTTGGATTGAATCTGATTTCACAGGGATTTCCAGCTGGTTTTGTCTGAAAATGGATGAAAATGGGGGATATATCCTACAACATGGCATTGTTTTGATGAAGATGATGATCAACCATCAACCAAGATGGAATTTTGGGCGCATGATTTTCAACCCAAAATGAAGGAAGGCAGACTCAGATTTCATGACTTTTCGCAGCCAGATGGACATAGTTCAGGAGCTGTCACCAGCATTTTCATTGGTAGGTGACTAGCCCAGAGAGCAAGCGTAAACCTACGCGACGCGGTGGACGGAGAGCAAGGCCTTCGGAGGGGAGAGCTGGGCCAAAGGGGGTAGACCCAGTGTCTAGTGGTTTTTCGCAATGTGTCTAAGAATGGGGGATACCAGCCCAAAACATCCCAAAACGCAAATTTTAATTTGGACATTGACCTACACCATGGGATTAAAAAATTCCACATTTTGAGACATGAGACCAAACGTGACTGGAAAATCCCCTAAATGGCAGTTTAAATGAGAAAATCAGTTGTAAATCGATGTACTGGAAATGGTGAATTTGGATTGCTACGTTTGATTACCTGATTACCTGAGGGTAATTTACTTCTGTTCCCTCTCGGTCCGAGAACATGTTTGCCTCCAATTCGCTTGATTTCGTTTGGGATCGCTTGAAACCATCAGCCAGTCCGTTGTTGTGTGGAGCACATGTTTTCCCTGTGCAGCATGATCTGTGTTTGCAAGCTGTTGAGTTGGTGGAGCAGGAATCCCTGGTCAAACATGGCATCTGATGGCATTTGTTTCTCTACAGTTTTACGTGTATGGGGCAGCTTATACAAGATCTAAAGAACTTGTTTGTGTATAATTGTGATTAATTGTGTATATACAGAGGTTTGGCCATGGCTATTCCCTGATCAGCCCATTTGCCCAGGCATCGCAAGATGGCAGCACTAGCGAGGTGGGATGTCAGGGGTTTCATGGGTGGGCCTAGATTTAAGGCTGAAGGACGTGTAAATATGTTGGCCAGCATCTACTTGACAAAATGCTATTGTTTTTGGACGGGTTAGAGCCTGGCAAGACCGAGGCTCTGATCCGGTATGTCTATGTTGTCTATGTGTGTCCCGTATGTATGTCCCGATGTTGCCATATTATTTTTTGTCCATGTTTTTTTCTCTCCCATGTTTGTTGATTGTTGGCCACTCATTTCAGCCATCATTCCAAGATATTCCAAGGGCACCCACTACGAAAATGAATCCATCGCAGCTTGACATTTCAGGCAGCAAGCGGCTGCAGAAGCGGCCGAGGAGGCCGCGATTGAGGAATGCGGAGGAATGTGGGTCAATGCCTCAAGTAGAAACAGTATATGTCCCAAGCCCCAAATGTGTTTTTTTAGGTACTTTATTTTATATAGCTATGGAACATCGCCATTTGCAACTGGATCTAAGAGGTAAACATCGTCTATATATTATATTATATATAAATTGACCATGTTGCATAGCTGCCATAGCTATGTTAAATTATACATCAAATTGCCATAAATGACCAAAGGTTGAAATATGTTGAGATCAGGTCTTTTTTCCTAAAAGTTTATGAGCATGAGTAGGTGTGTGGTTAGAGTACCAAATCTTACTATTCGGGGATTCGAAAAATATGGAAAAAACATATCCCAAACAGGTTTGAATTGCTGCATTTACCACATTAGGACTGGGTTTTGGATCATATTTACTGGGGCTTTAGGTTGGGTGAACAAGATTGTTTGAGGGTTTTACCACATGATGAGAGTGTAGCCTCTCAGTATCGCCAAGCAACGACAGAGGTCGAGATGGATTTGCCACATGCAGGCGGATTCGGGTGGATCTGAAACAGATCATTTTTTTATCTTATCGTACCACAAAAGAAGTGATCTTAACCACATCACCCATAGGATCCATGTATATATATATATGCTAACATTGGGGGTATATTGATAGTAAATCTTGCCATATATAGCAGCACCATGGATCCTATGGGTCATGAAGCTGAATTCAACCAACGTGGACTTCACCAGCAAACATGCTGGCTTTGCAATCCCACAGTTGGCTAGTGTAATCGAACAATAGGGCTTCATTCGCCCCTCTTTATACTTGCCCAGAACTAGCCATAACTTGTGTAACCCTCCAGTCAGAACAACCTATGTTCCTGGCTGTTCACCGATGGAAACTCATCAATGTTCCTTCCGTTTTTATGCAGCTGTGCTGCCTATGAGTGCATAATAGTGGAAAGTAGAAAAACACCGACATGATCACTGCACTTCCTTAGGGGTGAGTGGCCATGGAAACCCAAGCAGGTTGAACAACCCCAGTTGTAACATGTTCTGACACAAATCACCAGTAAACATGGCTGAGGAACCCCAGAAAGCCATTATTACAAAGTTTTCTGGGTCATTTTCTACCATATTGGTATTATAAACTATACTTTTTTCCCAACAAACACTATACTCCAAAAGTTTGTTGATTTGCACCTCAGCCCTTTTTTTCCAGGTGAATCTCCCCATGTTGGTTGGTGAATTTCCCCAACTTTTCCGCTACTCTGAGATCCACACGCCGCCCCGCGCGCCTATTCGCCTGCAGAGGTCGAGAGGGTTGGGGAGGGGTGAACTGATCCGCAGGGATATGTGGGAACTTGACCGAAGTTATTGGCTTTTTTCCCTCAATATTGAAGATCATTTTAGATTGAAGTGTAGCTGATTTTTTGCCATGACCTTAGTAGGTTATTGTTCATGGCTAAATCTTGCTGAATCAACAAACATTGGGATCTAAGAACGGAAAAAAGACGATTAACCAACAAATAATGGCTGCGATATGAATTGACTTTACACCATTTGGCAATCAAACAAGGCAATGGAACATGTTCCATTACAATTTATCGATGAGTTTCCCATTTTAAATGCACATGTATGGGGGTTTCCCAGCCATGTTTGATTACCGGAACGTAAAGGTTTGTCAAATGCCTTTGTTTAGAGGTATGTGGCAGTCTAAATGGGGATGTCATAGGATTTGAGAGTGATATCAGTATATATCAGTGATATCACTGGGTGGATCTGGGTGGTATACTGGCACATTATCAGTCCAACAATCCATCAATGAGATATTTGGGTTGGTCATACTTTCTCCCCAGCTGGGGATCAACAACTGCATTTTTTGGGATCACGTGGATCTGCTGTCGACAACGCCCAAAAAAGCCGCAGCTGCAGGTCAAACCCCGCTCGACATCCTCACCTTCGGGAGGCACCTAGCTATGGAAAATCACCATGTTAGGTAAATAATCATAGATCATCTATAAATAACCATGCTGATTATGATGATTTACCATGTGGTTATTTAACATAGCCATGGAAAATCACCATGTTTAATAGGTAAACCATCTATAAATGAGTCATTTTCCATGGCTATGTTAAATAACCAGAGGCTAATCTTGGAAGTCACCTATCCAATGCTTTGGATCTTGGACCGAAGCATCCTGTCGGGGATTGCGCCTGGTACATCGCTGAGGTTCAACGGCGATCCCGGCACCGTCAGGTGTGAGGCTGTCCTCGGAGGCCAGAGTCCACAAAATTTCCAAGCTATGACAAGTGGCAGAATGATAGTTATGGGGAAAATGGTGGAAAATCGGTTACATAAGCGGAATTTCATGTGTTTTTCCGCTGAAGTATTGACGTAGTTTGGCAACTTGCACGGTAGGTGTGGTGGTTTCCTAGTGCGGCAAACCCAATAATGACATCCAATTGTTTGATGGTGAACCATTTCTAGCTAACCATTTCCAAAAGACATGTTTGATGGGCCCAGGCGGCTCAAGTCTGGTGTCACATATGGCAGGATGGTGCGCAGCTGATTGGTCGGATGGTGCTGATTCAGGGCTTGGTACGATCTCCGGAGTTCAATGGTCAGCTGGGGCCTTAGTTTGAAATTGGAGTCCAAGGTGCTAAGATTGCTAAGAAGTGTTGCTTCAGCCGCTGTTGATATATGTTTTTTTTTTTCTCAGAATGCTCTCAGGTGATCTTACCATATCTTACCTCTCTGAATGTAGGACTTATTACAGCAATAGGATGATGGTTGGGATGGTTGGGAACGGGAAAATCATGTTGAAATGGATCGGATGGATGATTTTCCATGGGGTAGGCTGCCATACCATGAGAAACCGATGTTGATCATCCATATGGCCATATGGCATCACGTGGCTCGGGGAGGTGCCAAATGGCCAGTCAATCTGTGGCTCCAACTTTTGACTCACCTATTTTTGAAATCTTGTGCTGTTTTCATATGCCATTTCCAGTGATAAATTCCCATAGTCAAATTCCCAATATATCTTTCTCAGATTTGTTAAACATATATATTTCCCCAAGATTTCCCATGATTTTCCCAAGATTTACCATGCAATTCCTCGTGTTCCACGGAGAAAAAAAAAGCAGATTCCACCGCTGAAACACCGCCATTTCCGCAGGTGGGGCCATGTGGAGTCTTATGACCCGCAGATGCAGCGCTTCATGGTGAGCGTGGTGCGCGGTTGCTGAAGGGATGGGATTCTGGTTGGTGGTTTGGAACCATTGGTTAACTATGGTTTATATGGTAGATATAACTATAATTAATGGGATTTATTAAATGGTTTATAAACCAACAAACACTGGTTGGTGGTTTGGAACATGTTTTTGATTTTTCCATATATTGGGAATGTCATCATCCCAACTGACGAACTCATATTTTTCAGAAGGGGTTGAAACATATATTGGGAACTTCATCATCCCAAGTGACGAGCTCATATTTTTCAGAGGGGTAGGTCAACCACCAACCAGGATTTAGTATTTAATGATGGTTTAAGCATCAACACATGGGGGATTTCATGGGATTTGAGAGGGGATGTAACTGGAATGATGATCTAGGAATGGTTGGGATATGTTAGGATTAGGGGGCATAGAGGTCCTTTTTCCACTGGTTGGTGGATGAAGAGAGGGTTTCCCCTTTGAACAACCAATAGGTAGATGATAATAAACAATATACCAAAGCGGTCCCTCTATTTCTTCGAAGAGGACAATGTTTTGGGGTAGCTATCCCAAAACGGCGAAACTTTTCGAGGGAAGGGCCGATTTGCGCGAAGTCAGGAGGCGAAACTCTTCGGGTTGGTGAATGATCATAAGTTAGCCAGATTCCTCCATTGCGATCTATTGATGCCCAAAAGATAGCCCAACATGTCTTGTGGTTGGAAGCTGGACATGTTAGCCGAATGGGGTGCAAAACCAACCACAACTTGGATATAATGAGGGGCCCACAACAGTAAGGTGTCGCATTTTTTTGTGTTTTATGACTGTATTTCTGTGTGTACTCATATATGCTTGATGTTTCATAGTAAACCCAAATGGTGGATAGTTGGGGTGACATTTCTTAAGGTCAAGATCAATTCACACAAATTCTGGCGCAGATGCCACATTTGTTTCCAAGTGCTAAAGCTACAGCTGAAGGGAATGTCAATCCCGAATTAGTACGATGTTTCAGTGGTGAGTGGTCCCCCAAAGAGTGATCAATTGATATACTGGTTGGTGGTTTCAAACATGTTTTTTCCATAATAATTACTGTATATGGGATGTCATCCTTCCCATTGACTCATATTTTTCAAGATGGTTGTTGCACCACCAACCAGATTCAAATTGGTACCTCGCTCTATTAACAAACCGGCGGTGTATTAATCCTTAACATATCTTATATAACATTCCCAAACTTTTGAGTTGTCTTCAAGATAGGCAAGTTGGGGTTGTTCACCCATCGTTTTTTTTTTTTGCAAGTCGTTCCAGGATGGGATGGGATGCATAATAGATAATTACCACCATTTTTACCAGGTTTCCAACTTCAACATTGCATCCAAGTATAATGAAGCAACCATTAAACTATATAGTTCTTCAGCTACAGCAACCAGGTGTCCCAACATAACCTATGCTGAACAACTAGAGTTTATGTCTAACATAGGTGTCCGTTTTCAGGTGTATGACATGTTCTATCTATTTTTGGTGTTGCTATACCCTCTGGTTCGCTAACATAGCTATGAAAAATCACCATTTTTTATGGGTAAATCCACTATTTCTATGGCCATTTTCAATAGCAAACTGTTAGTTTACCAGAGGGTAACATTTAACACGTTGAAGCCACCGGGAGGTACTCCCAACACAGCTTCCCGGCGAAACTCCGCTCTATGCGAAGCTCAGGAGATGGGGCTTGGTTGGTTGGAGCTGCTAAGGGATTCAGATGGGATTCGACCATCTGGTTATTTAACATAGCCATGGTATAGATGGCCCATAGAAATAGATGGTTTACCTATTAATAGCATGGTGATTTTCCATGGCTATGTTAGTCATAACCAGAGGGTAAATGGAACTCTATGGGGGTTTGATGGGGTTTAGAAGAGATACCCTCTGGTCAACTAACATAATAGCTATTGAACATGGCCATAGAAATAGTGAGTTTTCCCATTACACAATGGTGATTTTCCACAATTAACTATGTTAGTTTACCGGAGGGTATTCGCAGTTTTGTTGCATGATTTTTCCAAGGGCTATAGGATATCGGTGTGTCTGAAAATGTGGTATACGATCAATCATGGTTTCAATCAGGAAAATAGCTCATATGGGGCTAGATGTTCTTGCTTTGGGATGCTTTAAACAAGATACACTATTGTATGACAATTTTCGCCAGATTTTGCAAGAAGATTCCCAACCTACCCCGCAGATATTGCCCAACCCCAGGCGAGATAATTTGATCGTACCTCGTTTTGGGCTCAGTGGCTGCAGCATGAAACTGGATCCCATACTGGCATCGGTCAATCCGACCCACTGATTGACATATCAAAAAGTCATTCCAGGTGTTATACATGTTATCGAAAGCGTGCTGGATATATATATATAATATATATATATATATTATATAACATTATATAACTAAAAATGAATAAACATGATGAGAAATCCGAAGACAATTGTTTCTAGTTGATTAAAACCAATGTTTTGGTTGTTTATGGTGTTCTTGCCGGTTTTTCAACAAATCCAGTTTATAGCTCACAGACAGAAACCGCCATAAACCAATCCATTTGATGAAAACTCGGCTTTTCCACTGTGTTCCATGATTTTTCCATGTTTTTTTCCATGGTTTTTCCATGGTTTTCCATGTGATTCAAGGTCGCATCAAGTGGCACCAAGACCAAGGTCAAGAGATGCAGCCCCCTTTGGGGAGCCCCGTGCCACACCCGGGTTGCGTTTTGAACATCGCGACGGGACGACACGGGCAGAAATGATAGACATGGGCAGAGTGATAATTTGACACTTCTTTAGCCATATTTTTTTACCATGTTTCACCATATGTTTATAACATAGTTGCTTATATATTTCACTATGTTGTAGTGCGTCACCTGATGAATCAACGAGATTTGAAATGGGATTGTCATTCCGAAGAATCTGTTGAAGAGCATGAAACAGGCGGACAAGGCTTCTATCACTCCAAAGAACCACGCATAGAGATGAATGTAAGAGCATATATGAAGAGATATGAAGTATTAACGTGCAATGCTGCCACTTTGGAAAACAGTCACCTTTCCGGAGTTCTTCAGATTTTCCGTTTCGCAGCAGTTGGCTCCATCACACCGACCTGGACCTTTAAAGGGCACGGCGATATCCTCAAGATGGACGGAATCGAAGAAAAGGTCCACGATGTTCTGAAGCCACTGGAGGGTCACTTGCGACCGGATCCAAGGGACCAGTGCTGGTTTTTCGATGGGGATAGAACTGCCACTATAGCACAGCCATTTAGAATCCTTAGATACCAGAAAAATAGCGTTAGAATCGTCAGAAAAATATGACGACATGGAACTATATGGAGAATTGGGAATCAAAGCAACTAAGAAATGGGGGATGGTAGTAAGGCAGCAATCGGGCTGTTGATTGGCAGATCCCCCTTGAGACAAACCTTTACTTGGAATCCAAACTGTTGAACTCATTGCTACGAGTGGGTGCTGGACCGAAACCCAGCCGAGGTTTGAACGTGCACTCATGCGACACCAGCGGGATTGTCATGAGACTTGCCGAAACAGTCTCCAGCTTCCCACCACGAAGCAACAGAAAACCATCAAAGAATACCTGTTGAATACCTATATGGGCAAATTACTATCCACAATCCGAAGGGATTCGTTATCACTGGTTTATAAGGTGTAGATCTGGAGCTAGGGGGCATGAGCATGCATGAGCCAAGGGTCCATTTCTGATGAATGATGTCTTCCCCGCCAGATTCCAGCAAATCAGCAGGTAACCAAATTTCAAGAGTGAGAATGGAGTGTCCGGTTCGTTCTTGGTCTACTCACCTCGTGCATTTGATTTTTGTGTGCTTCTTGTACGAGTAGGGTAGTTTGGTCCATTTTCTGCGTTCTCATGGCTTTCCCGGTTTATTGGAGGCTGAATTTGGAAAGATAGTTTTTCACCCCATCGGCCCCTGGATGCCGCTGGCAGAGAACGTCAGCCAGTGTGATCTAAGGGTTTCGATTCTATGCCTGCTGTGTCTGGCCGTGTGCTTTTTTGGCTACCGCATCTACAGGCATCCTACCATTTGCAGAGCACTTTTTCATCATTTTTTCTTCTGTTTCAGTGCTTGAACTTATGTCTCTTGACTTTGGGATCTTCAAAGGTGCATTTAGGTCCGCAGATTTTTCAGACAGTTAGCTCTAACCCCCCCAACAAAATGGGTGGGCCATGGGCAACTGGACCTTCCCATGGACCTTCCCATCGTCCGGTCGTCGGAAGGTTCGCCTTCGGCGTCTTCGCCTTCCTGGTGGGCTTCGGCCTCCAGGCAGCCCTCGGCTCGGCTTGGATCAGACAGAGCGAGGGCCACGGCATCACCGAGAAGGCACCGAAAAAACCGAAACGGGGCGGCGACCGGGGGTCCGGTGCTTGGGGGAGGTATAGGGAGAAACATGGAGAAACAGTATACCGAATTATACTGGTTGGTGATTTGGAACATTTTTTTATTTTTCCAGATATTGGGAATAATAATCCCAACTGATCCCAAGTGACTAATATTTTTTCAGAGGGGTTGAAACCACCAACCAGTATATCTACAATGGGAAAAACGTGGGACAAATGTGGGAAAGTGCAGGGATTTCATAATATGATATTCTATGATGGTAGATGAGAATGTGCAAACCACTGCTTCTAAGCGGTCCATTGGAAAGTGGAACATTTGAGTCGATATTTATCAGGCTTATCCGCTTAGCGACTACCTTGGCAACTTGACAATCACTATTGCGCTTGTTGCTAAGCGTTGCACTACCACTGACAAATCCAAAGCTATGATTCACCCCCGTCACGATTCAGAAAAGGGATCAGACTATACCCCCAAACAGTTTAATCTTACACTGAAATAGTCTGAACCTGGTTGGTGGTTTCAAACATTTTTTATTTTCCATAATATATAGGAGAATCATCCCATTTGACTAATATTTTCAGAGGGGTAGGTATACCAGCAACCAGGAAATAGTCTGAACTTTAAATCGAACAATAAGTTCAACATTACCCTCTGGTAAATTCACATAGACCCTGAAAATGACCAATTTATAGTGGAAACTAGTCTTCCAACCCCTATCTGGCAGGGTCTATGTTAATTTACCAAAGGGTAATGTTGAAATAAATGAACACCAAATGGAACCCTGTTCTGCATCTCTGTCACCGGCGCCGATAGCCCAGTCAACTGGAGGTGATTGTGGTGGTCTGTGCCATCCTATGGGGAACTCTTTTCCTGGTACTTGCACGAAGATGCTCGGATTGCGATTGGAATGCGATTGGAGTCTGAGTATTGATTGAAACTATGATGCTATGTATAAATATATATATATATATGATACATTATGATACTATGTATTATGTATACTATATATGTATACTATATATATACTATATATATATACTATATATATACTATATATATACACTATATATATACTATCTATATAAATATATACTATATATATATATACTATATATATACTATATATATACTATATATATATACTGTATACACTTGTATTTTCCTCCCAATGGTTTCAAGCAAAACATGTGACACCAATTCATTCCAACAATTGCATGCAGCATGGATTTTGAATGCCTCGCGGCACCTACTGAATTCCCAAACAACAAAGTCTTTGAATGCCTCCGGGCAACAAACAAATTGTATTATTGCAGTGTTTTCATGCCTCAGGGGCAGCCATTGTATTTTACCATTGCATGATTTCGCACGGATATTGAAATTGCCTCAGGGCACCCATGGAATCTTTGGATTTTGAATGCCTCAGGGCACACATGGAATTCTTAAGCTGCGCGTTTTTTGTGCCTCAGGGCAGCCATTGAATTGCAAGATGGCATGACATGCCGCATGCTTTTTGAACCGAGCATCCAAATTTCAATGTTGTGCCATGTTTTTGACTGCCTTATTTTGGCGCCCATGGAATTTCCAGCTTGCCTCGGAACATCTTTAATTTTGAATTTCGCATGACGACTTGAACTGCCTTTGAATGCCCAGCGCACCCATAGTGCCTCACAGCACTCATGTCAAGACTCCATGATTTCCCATGGTTTTTGAAAGCTTCGGGCCGAATTCCAAACTTGCATTGGTCTTGGCCAACTATAGCAGCTTCACGACTCAGCACTAACTATATTTATAGATTACTAATATTACTATACATCATGGTTAGTGTATGCTGTAGAATATCATCCGAGAAATGATTTCTTTTCAGATTTGTACTTGTTTAAAATAGATACCCTCTGGTTTTTTTAACATAGCCATGGTATAGATGGCCCATAGAAATAGATGGTTTACCTATTAATAGCATGGTGGATCTGTCCATGGCTATGTGAGTCATAACCAGATGGTATTTGATTATTCTCATAGGATCCATGTATGCTATATATGATAACATTTACCATCAATATACCCCCAATGTTAGCATATATACCAGCACCATGGATCCGTCATGGGTAATGATTGCACATTTACCATCGAGATGCTGTGAGTTTGATCCTGGATGTTCGTAGCCCAGGATACTATGAACGCATTCAGAAGATCCTGGGCTACGTTGCACCTGGGCGGATCGTAATCCGATAATCCGACGAAAACGCGGCCGTTAGACTCGCTATGTCTAGATGAAAAAATTGGTTGAATCATGAAATTCCATTTGATGAAATATGGATTTGTATGGATTGGGCAAGTCTTTTTTAAACATACTTATTTATCCAAAGTGTTGTTCTTGAATGTTCTTAAACTTCCCACGGTTTTTGAGAATACACCTCCCAACCATTTCCAGGTGGGCGTTATTTTGGGGCTGGTGCTCACCGCCGTGCTCCTGTACCTGCTGCAGAAGCCGGTGGACAACTGGATCGGCTCCAAATATCAGGGCTGGCAGAGCTATGCTGGGATTACCCTGGGGGTTCCCATCGCGCTGTGTCCTGGCGTATGGTACTCAGAGCAGAGTTGAAACGATTTGATTTAGAGTACCATACTATTATAATTACATAATCATAAACTATATTAGATTATATAATAGTACTAAATAACTATATCATAAATAACCGTAATAGTATATTTATTAGTATCACGATTTGACTAATCAGAGTATCATATTATAATCATAATATTATCACACATGATATAGTATAATATGGCATATTCATAATCTCCAAGTCAACCAATTAGTACTGTAGATGTTCCATATGTTCACCCTTTGATACCGCGCAATGACAATCGCAAAGGAACTTTGGAACATGTGTCATGGGAGGGTTGGAGCACCTTTATTAGCCAAGTAAAATTAGTCCCATGTAGAATTAGCCCAGTCAAATATGTTTCTATAGTTGCAGCATGTCACATCCACAAAAAATTGGCACCAAGAAGGTTGCCTAGGTTGCCTTATTCAAGTGAACATGTTGGGATTTTGGTTGATGAAATGCCACTCATTAAAGTATGCATCCCCCAAAAAATAAACTACCTATTCATACTAACTACCTATTCTATGCATTTTTGGACCTATTCTATGTGTATGTTTGGCTTGTTTATATCCCTAAATGTTCATCATATCTACTTCATCAACGTGCTCCCGGCCTGAGGTTGACCGGCTATGGCTGCAGAAATTTCGTCAAGTTCTTGGCCTCTCGGAGCCCCATCCCTGGGGCCGTCAGAAGGGGTAGCAGTCTCAAACTTTTGAACCTGCAGGTTCCAATTTTGAGCTAGTTCGCACTTATAGTCACTTAAGAGTTTTCATGGTTTTCCACTTATTTTCTCAACATTGTTTTCCACCATCTTCTAATATTTCCAGCATTTACACCATTTTCCATGAGTTTCCACCATGTTTTCCTGGCTCTCACGCCATTTTGCCCAGGTCATGTTCATCACCGCCTTCGCCGGCGCCGCGGGTGCCTGGCGCTGGGGCAGCTCATTGATCGAATGCAAAAGTGTGGACTACGAGCCGGTTGACAGGCTCATGGAGCAACTGGGACCGGGGGATCTGGTGGTTTGGGAGGGCTGGATTTCCAGCTAGGACCTTAGGAGATGGCTAGGACGAGATTCCAGGATTTTCCAACTATCCAGTAGTTATATAGTATATATAGATAGATATAAATATATATATATAGATGTATATGTTGTTTTTATTAGAGTGCTTGGCATGGCGGGATTTCCAACTTTTTCCATGTATCCAGTAGTTACTTGTAGGAGATGGCAATACGACAACTGATTGTTTTCACACTCAGGTTCACCTGAGATCAAGTGCAAAAGACGCAACAAATCCAGTAGTTAGGAGGGAGCTCATTTTTTAGAGCTTAGGGGTTAAGATGGTTAAGGACTCGATGTTGCACCCATCATGAGTTGAGTTGAGTTTGTTTTAGATTGTGGCTCTAAAAGCATCCGAAATTTGATGATAGAACTTACGCATGATGTCTGGGTGATTGTTACTGTATGTTGATGTGTATTGAGGATGTAATGGGGGTAATGAGGGGGAATAGAATGCTCAAGACCATTGTTGGGATGGATGGTTGATGAGTTAACCAGCAGAATTGGGGATTTGACCATCAACATACGCAACATTTTATGGTATTTTCACCATTCCAAATGGGGATTTTTACACCATTCCAGTGGGCATCATACTGTCAGGATGGGATGGCATTCCTGGGCTTGCCGATGGGTATGTTTCCAATGTTCTACAGGTATTTTTTGTTGGTTTGCTATGTATGGATAATGGATATACAGGTATTTGATCTATTAATCCAATCTTCCTTTTTTGCTATCAATGGGGATATTTACCAGCCGTATTTTTTAAACAAAGGCGCACATTGCAGGATGTCTAAGATTGGCCATAGGAATAGGTGGGGGATGGTGAAGGGAATGTAAACAACTCGATGCTAAGCCACATATAGGGAACTGCCATGAGGGATAGGTTGGGAAGGATGCGGGTGGGTAGGTGAAAATTGGCAAAGCACTTGGTGAAGTTCTTTTCAATCTAAATGCCTGAAGTAGTCTTCTTTTAGCCGTCTTAGCCATGGCTAGCCATGGCCGAATAATGAAAGAGAAACGTGAGTGAGTCGACTGTTCAAATCCATAAGCCGGATGTAGTTGCTGTGGTTTTTTTGACATGTTTGCCGGGTATGGAAGTAATTTTTGCCATTTGATGTGAATCATAAGTACGAACCACAGGCTACAACTTGTTCCTACGAACAACGCTCTTTTGATCCCCCATAATCTATAGAAATTCCTGCAGATGTTGCAAGTTGGAAATGTTGGAAGTCATGAGCTCCAACAATGGTGTTGGAAAGCCACAACTTCAACATATGGGAACATTGCATAACATTGTCTTGCAATTTGTCATCTCAGGTATTTATCTGTAACCTACAGCTCATGGTTGGTATATATATATCCTACTTACAAAGACGACTTTCCCAGCATTCCAACTTCACAAGGACTCATGAGAAATGTCCCTGCCCCATACATATCACGTTCCCAACTTGCCATATATGGAATTTCAGACTCCAGACCATTTTTCCAGCGGTTTCATATGGTTTCCACATCTTTTTCCCATGAAAATGTTCCGATGTTTTCCTACATTTTTTCAGGTGTTTACCCATTATCCTCGGCGTTTTCGGCAGACCTCACCATAGTGTATAGTGATGAGGATGAGGATTAGATAAAACAACTATACAACATGCCACCAACAGAAATGCCTGAAGTAACATGGAAAAGGATTCCACAGTTTTGGCCACGCACAGTTTGGGCCACAGTTCTAAATGGAATGACACTATTCCTATAGAACTAAGGTTATGTTATATATGATAAGTCAATAAAAAAAAATAACTGTTTTTTTGGGCCATCCACCTAATAGGTACCATATGGTTTCATCTTTGGTTTCCACGTCTTTGTTCCGTTTTTTCCAATGGATCTTCCAGCTTTTGATGGATCTGGGATTTCCCAGGTTTTTCCCATGGAGTTTCTCCATGGATCCATGGGAAGCTCTTTAGATATCATCTATTATGGATATGTGTTTGACATTTGGATATCACCTACTTATTAGATATCTTATTAGATATCTGGGGTATCACCTACATATTATGTATCATGATACCAGTGTTTTCAATATTTAATATGATCCATCACCTAATAATGTAGGATATGTAGGTAAAACTCAATGCCATAAACCATCCCCAAATCACTATTTCTATAGGTGGTATCGTTACCATTCCCAGTCATGGGTGGTTTATGGCATTGCTTTACCCTCATTAGTAATCATTAACCACTAATTATTACCATAATTTACCATCCTTAACTTAACCAACAAATAATATAACCATTACCACTACCATCTATAGTTAGCTTCATCTATAGTTTATTGCCAGAAATAGGTTGTATAAACCATTCCCAGTCATGGGTGGTTTATGGCATTGTTTTACCCACATTGTATAATCTCCATGAATCATTTATTATTAATAATAGTGTTCCATAAGAATCCCCAATGTTAGTGTTCTATAATAATCATTTGGCAAATGACTAATTGGGTAGTATAACCATTAATTATTACCATTACCATTACCATTAATTAACCATCAATTCTTACCATTACCATCACTTATAACAATTACCAGCTATAAAGTTAGCACTTGTTAGCTTCATCTAAAGTTAATTTTTGTTTTACCCACATTATGGTAAGTTTCCATACGTAGTTATATTTATTCCATCGCCTAAGAATTTAGTTTTTTTTTAACTATTATGATAATTAACCATCAAATATCAATTATAGGCATTAATTAACCACTAACCGGCACTAACCAATCATTTATAGCTGATTTACCCATTAAAAAATGCCGATGTTTCATAGTTATGTTAGTTCCATCACCTAAGAATACCAATGGATCTTCACCTAAGAATACCATTGGATCACCTAAAATGTAAATTATTGCCATTAATTAATGAAATATAATCAACCATGTATAGTTAATTAACCATTAGCCATTAACCATCAGCCACCATACACTTATAATTTATAGTTCATTAACCATTAACCATCCCCTAATTAACCATATAATTAACCATTAATTATAGCCATTAATTAACCATCAATTAACCACTAGCCATTAATCAACCATATAATGAACCATTAGCCATTAACCAATGATCATCAATTAACCATTAATCATCAACCATTAACCATCAATTCACCAACCTTTAATTATAGCCATTAATTAACCATCAATTAACATTAGACCCTTTCCATTTATAGATTCACCACTAGCCATTAATTAACCATATAATGAACCATTAGCCATTAACCAATGTTGTAGCCATTAACCATTAGCCACCATACACCAACCATATACACCAACCATTTATAGTTAATGAACCATTAATTATAGCCCCTAATTATCCATATAATTCACCACTAGCCATTAATAAACCATATAATTAGACCATTGATCATCAATTCATCAACCATTAACCATCAATTCACCAACCATTAATTAACCAATGGATCTTCCCATGTTTTTGTTCCCCAGCGGCTTTGGTGCTCGAGGAATCGGCTCTTCAACGTGGCCATCTTCGTGGCCCTGGGGCTCCTCGGCCTGGCGGCGCAGTTCTTCTCGCAGCCACGGCGCACAGCGAAGGCCTCGGTGGTGCCTTGGTGAATGGATGGTGAATGGATGTTGATGCTCTTTAGTAATGGTTAGAAGTGCTTAGTAGTGGTTACAATAGTGGTTAATAATGGTTAATAGTGGTTAGTAGTGGTTATAATAGTGGTTAGTAGTGGTTATAATAGTGGTTGGTAGTGGTTATAATAGTGGTTAGTAGTGGTTATAATAGTGGTTGGTAGTGGTTATAATAGTGGTTAGTAGTGGTTATAATAGTGGTTGGTAGTGGTTATAATAGTGGTTAGTAGTGGTTAAAATAGTGGTTAGAAGTGATTGAAATAGTGGTTAAAATAGTGGTTAGAATAGTGGTTATAATTAGTGGTTAATAGTGATTAATAGATATAACAGTGATTAGTAGTGGTTATACTAGTGGTGAATGGTATTTAATAGTTGTAAATAGTGGAACCTCCGGGATGGCGATGGAGAGAGCAGTTATACTAGTGGTTCATAGTAGGTTTAATGATGGTGATTCATAGTTAACGATGGTGACTAGTAGGTAATAATGATTTAGTGATGGTGATTCATGGTTAATGATGGTGACTGTATAGTTGGTGATCAATGTGGATTTAATTTAACGGGCACAATAATGGTAAATAATGGTGAATCGATGGTAGTAATGGATGGTTGATGGGACTTGCTTAAAGGAAGTAGCCTCCAGTGTCATCAAAGCTTGGCGGACCGCTGGGAAAAAATCCAACGAAATTTCATCAAATGTTGGGAAAACCATGGAACTAAATGAAGGATAGATGTGGAATATATGAATTATGGAATGTTCAATGGGAAATAACCCTTCAGTTCAGTCGCTGGCCATTCAGCCACGGTTTTCGAATGTTTTTCCCCACCTGCCAGGTGAGGGTTGTTAGATTTTATGTCAGTTGCCTCCTCCTGCCTCGTCCTCCTCCTCCTCCTCCTCTCCTCCTCGTCCTCCTCGTCCTCCTTGTCATCCTTGTCGTCCTTGTCGTCCTCGTCGTCCTCGTCGTCCTCGTCGCCCTCGTCGTCCTCGTCCAACTGCGACCCGCGATCCACAGTGTTCTCTGCCGGACCTCAACCACGACCATCCACGCCCAGTGTTCCCTGCCGGACCTCAACCACGACCAGCCACGCCCAGTGTTCCCTGCCGGACCTCAACCACGACCAGCCACGCCCAGTGTTCCCTGCCGGACCTCATCTGCGAGTATCCATGCCAAGTGTTCCCTGCCGGACCTCATCTGCGAGTATCCATGCCAAGTGTTCCCTGCCGGACCTCAACCGCGGGTATCCATGCCAAGTGTTCCCTGCCGGACCTCATGTAGGAAGATATGGGACAAAGAATGTGCAGAAGAAAGTTAGAAAGAATGTCAGAAAGAATGTCAGAAGATATGCCAGAAGATATGCCAGATAGAATACCAAATAGAATGCCAGATAGAATGCCAGAAGATATGTCAGAATATATGCCAGAAGATATGCCAGATAGAATGCCAGATAATATGCCAGAAGATATGCCAGATAGAATGCCAGATAGAATGCCAGAAGATTTGCCAGATAGAATGCCAGAAAATATGCCAGATAGCCAGAAATGCCAGAAGATATGTCAGATAGAGTGCCAGAAGATATGCCAGATAGAATGGCAGAAGATTTGCCAGATAGAATGCCAGAAGATTTGCCAGAAGATATGCCAGAACATATGCCAGAAGATATGCCAGATAGAATGCCAAATAGAATGTCAGAAGATATGTCAGATAGAATGCCAGAAGATTTGCCAGTAAGAAAATGTATAAATGTCATGGTGGGGATCACACGAAGTAAAGTAATTAATGTTAATGATAAGAATGAACAACTTCACAAACCATCACCAATACAATGATGGTTAGTTGCGGTTATTCTTCAAAAATGGTTGCTGTGGGTATGTTGGCTTAGTTAATTTGTGCCTCCAAAAAGACAAAATTTATTTAAAAGAATAAAACACACACAGATGCATATATATATATATATATGTATATGATATATGTGATTGAAATGTTGAATATACTAAAACAACGAGATGTGGAACTGTTGTTGTTGTTGTTGTTGTTGTTGTTGTTGTTGTTGTTGTTGTTGTTTATGTGTTGAAAGATAACAACCCCCCAAGAAATCCCCAACTGAGGCCACTCAGGATGCTGATCAAAGTTAAAGTACGAAAGCATCGCGAATTCGTTGGGAGGACGGCCATGGTCCAATGGTGCGGGGTGACTGAGACGTCATCCCATATGCCATGTTTCATGATGTTCAAATCCATTGGAATCCTGGTTTTCTTTGATGTTGGGAGATCTACTTATCTTCAATAGCTACATCATGGACTTTTCTGGGTATTTCTTTCGTGGGGTACAAGGTGTGGATTCCAGGAGAGTAGTTTGGGTTCTCATCACATATAGCGCAATACGTGTTATGTTTTCCGACAATCATGACCACCCATCATTCGGCCATGGTCTTCTGCTGGGTTGGGCCCGTTGGGCCCGTTGAGCCCGTTGGGCCCGTCAGGCCCGTCAGGCGGGGCCCGTCGGGCCCGTTGGAGCCCATCGAGCCCGTCGGGCCCGTGGGGCCCGTTGGGCCTGTTGGGCCCGACGTTGGGGCAGTGGGGCAGTCCTGCTGTGTGAGGTTCTTGGAAGGGGATCTTGTAGGGATCCTGTCGAGATCCTCGAAGATTCCTGATTTTGTAGAAGTCCTTGCGAGGAGATCTTGTGGATATCCTAGTGAAATCCTTTGTTGTAGAGGTGTTTGTGAGGAGATCTTGCGCACATCCTGCTGGAATCTTCTAAAAGATATTTGCGTGAAGATCTAGAAGGTGCTTGTATGAAAGTTTGCAAGGGAAGCCTTCAAGAGGTTCTTGTACAAAGATCTTCTCAGATCCCTCTAGCAGGTCCTTCTTTGACGACTGTGTGAAATTCTCAGTGAGGTCCTGGCTTGAGGTCCTGGAATTTTTGTTCACAGATGTTTTCCTCAACGCTGTTAGGGCCTCTTTGCCGGGGATGATTGTCTCTATTTTTTTGTTTGAAAAGGTAGAGAGCCGGGCAGCGTTTGACAAGCCGGGTGGGCGGCCGCCGTTGTATTTGGGTCGGACATGTCAAGCAGATAGAAGCAGATATGCATATTTGTTTTTTTGGTTTTTGAAGGGGTGCCAATCAGATATGTTAGCAACCACATTCTTTATCCCTGCGTGATAGAAGGAAGAATCATCATGTAAGTTCCAAACTAAAACAATGATCAGTACATGCCACATTCTGTGGAGCAACTTTTCTGGCAGCAAATCTATATGGGACGATTCCGTCTGCGAGTTTGGATGTTGCCAAGCCGCCAAGCTATGTTTTTAAAAGTTTCACCTTCCGACGGTTTGGTGTGGGTCAAAGAACATGCGCCGTTTGGCCCACGTGCACAGCACATCATGCTTCCCATGGGGAGCAGGACATCTAAAAATGTTTGACCCATACCATCCCATATTCATTTGAGCAGGGCTGGCAAGCTTTAGCTAATCCCTTTTTATGGCCGATTTTTAGAAATTGATGATGATAATCCCCGATATCTAGGGTAATATAGGAATACTGCTCACTTTCTGGTTCCGGCAGCGCTGACGCGGATATGTGAGATAAAGCCGTCACAAAGGGATGAAGCGAAGCACGATTTTTTTTGTGGCCGCTGTCTAGGAAAGAATCGTAGAATCGGCACCGCTTGACAAATCATACCCCGAGTGGATGCGAAGGATTTTATTTCACCAGTTGGTAGTCAACATCTGGTGCCGAACTAATCAACACCTGGTGGAATAATATCTGTAACCAAATGAAGAACAGAAAGCCATGGATTGCTGAAGCAGGAAAGCGACGAAAATTGGAAACATGATCCCAATGGCTTGCTGGGATCATACATTTTTCATCTACAACCAGATGTATTTAGGTATAAGATATACATAAAGAACAATCACCCAATAAATAAATATTTATGTGTGTATACGCATTAGAAAGATACAAGATGCATACATTTATATATGTATATATACATATGTTGAAATACGGCTAATGCCTGGGTTTAGCCTGGCAGGGCAACGACGATGGGCAACGAAGCGTCATCATCATCATCATCATCATCCTCATCATCATCATCATCCTCATCCTCATCCTCATCATCATCATCATCATCATCATCCCTTCTTGATCTTTCCAGTCGACAGCAAAAAAGCAAACGAGAGTGTTTTTTTATATTCCTAATACATGCGGTGATCTTCCCACTTGAATCTAAAAGTTCAAGCAGGGTGGGCAATTATGTTTTTAAGGGAGCTTATATTCCAAATACCTATCGGTGATCTTCCCAATTGAATGTAAAATTCACAGGCGGGGAACTTATATGCCAAATAATTACCCTTGTTGATTTTCCTGCTTGAATGTAAAGTTGAACAGAGATGTGATTCTAAATTCCTAATACCTTTGCTGATTTTCCCCATTGAATATTAAGTTAGCCCGGGGTGGGAATCTATATTCCCAGTACCGTTGTTGATCTTCCCAATTGAATGTAAAGTGTAACGCCAGCACCAGAAGGGATGATGGGTTCATTCAGCGCCACGGCCTCTCGAGCCCGTCGAGCCCGTCGAGCCCGTTGGGCCCGTTGAGCCCGTGAAGCAGGCCCGTTGGGGCCCGTTGGGGCCCGTTGGAGCCCGTTGGGCCCGTTGGGCCCGTTGGGCCTGTTGGGCCCGTCGGGCCCGTCGGGCCCGTTGAGCCCGAACCTAGGAAAGGACTATTCTCCATCATTCCAGAGGATGCGAACAATGTGGTGAAAGTACAAGGAACCAAGCAGATATAGTAGCTGACAACTTGCCAACAGTTCCTTTTGATTTTGCACAGCCGGGCCGGGCCGCGGGCCACCTCCATGGTTTATGTTTTGCATGATAGGTGTCCCCAACAGCGTGTACAGTTTGCAGCCCTTACAGCCGGCGTTGGCAACGACACGGAGAGAGATCCTTGGTGTAGCGCGAGACGCTGAACGCAGTGGGTCAACCACCTTCGGGAACAAAGATGTGCATCGGATCGATCGGGATGAACCCTGAACTTGGATCTATGGGTTCGGCAATGTGTTGATGCAAACCCGATCTGTAATCAGTCCATTTTTTACGCTTAAAAAAGAAACACAGAATGGAAAAAAATGTAAAATGAATAGGAACCACGGATCCTACTTTAGGGGAACATCCTAGTCATGACCACTGACCTAGTTTGGTTTTTGATCGCGGCTGAATTCGCCGACCGCCCCTTCGGTCGTTCTTGTTTACGAGAGCCGGACTCAGATGCAGTTGCGGTGAAACACAACGCTGTGCTGTGCGCGTCCGGGGATTGTTCTTTTTTGTTCCCTTGATAAACACCTAGGGCCTAGGGCCTAGGGTTTTTACATCATGAGAGTTGGGGAAGCATTTGAAATAGCATCGTTGGATGGTAGTGCCATGGCTACCTTGGGATGATATTAAATTTTTGGTTGCACTCCAAAATTTGACACACAGAAATTGGATGGGCGCCTCAACATGCTCAATGACCAAGCAGAAATTTGCCATGGGATTTCCATGGGTTTCCACTCAGATCATGGACGATCCAGAAATCATAGCCCATAAAATGGCAATCGTTTGTTAGTTCCAAGGGAAGATGAAATAAGTCTGCAGCGCACATGCAAAAATAGGCTACTACATATGGATATATGGTATATATATAGTAATATATATATAATATATACATATAATATATATATATATAAAAATATATATGTATAGCTGTATAGTACATATTATAATATATGTATGTATATTCCAAAACCAGAAACCAGAAACCAGCTCCCAAAGACTCAGCAGCTTCACTCAGTGCAAGGGTAAGAAAAGACATAAAAAGACCATATGCCCTGACATTCATTGCGGGCCCCACGCCCCATAACGACACAAGTAGTTAGTCCCAGTTGGTCTCTGATTGGATGTGCTCCAGAAGTGCCCCTTGTGTCTTGAGCCATGGAGACCTACGATGACAATGCCATCGAAGGGATTTGCAGCCGGCTACAGGTGGGTGATGGCTTCCCATCCCTTAATTGGATTTGAAGATGTGGTGAACATTGATTAAACATAGTCATAATATCATTTCACACTATTATTACAATATGTGGTTCATAGTATGTGATTGATAGTATGTTTGATCATCATATTTATCATGGTGAAGTTATTATGAACCACTTGAGACACTAAACATCCCTGGAAATATCATGTCACACTATTATTATAGCCTGATTGTGTCATAGTCTGTGGGTGATGAGGTATGATGAGGTATGATGTTATGATGAGGATCTTACTGATCATGATTTGGAGATGATTTGATTCACTGGGGATCTCTATGGGCCATGCTTCAGGTGCTGGTGCAGGATTCGTTTCAGCCACTCGCCTGCGATGCTGGCTATGGGGCTACTATGGCCTGCTGCCCTTGTGGCATGGGTGGAAACAGCAGGCAGGTGCCAGACAGTGCCAGTCCCAAGTGGTCCCAAGGTCACATTTGTCACCTCTCATGGCCAGTGGCACTAACCTTGGGGCCTTGGGGTACCCCATCTTTGACAAGCCATTCTGATCCAGAATATTCCAGAATGCAGTTAACAAGGGTTAGCCACCTAGTGAGTTCGGGGTTAAAGCCGGCTAGCCAACCCCATGGTACCCCATGCTGCCCATGACACCCAGCCAGCCCAGGAAGCACCTCTACGCCTCGGCCATCTTCTTCGCAGATCAGTTGGTCACCTTAAAGGGGGCGGGGCCTGAGGAAATTTATACCCTGGCAGAGTGCTACTTTAAGAACCGGGAGTACAGCTGCTCGGCTGCCGTATGCACACAGATCATGTTGCCAAGGGGGCAAGGTGTGAGAAGAACCTGGCAGCAAATGTCACATTAGCATAACATTAATTAAGTGCTTGGGTATATCCTCCCAAATGTCACTTTGTAACATTAAATTATGTTTTAAAGTACTTGGGTATATGCCCATGTACGCTTGATTGACACAGGTGAAAGAGACGGAGACCGAGACACTGTTTGGCCATGTGAGCAGTGTTCAAAACCCCTGTTCGGGGTTATAGGTTATACGGTGGTTATACTATGCCTGATTGGTGGTTTGGAACATGATTTTACTTTTCCATCTATTGGGAATGTCATCATCCCAACTGACGAACTCCATCATTTTTCAGAGGGGTAGGTCGTACCAGTTAATAACTTATACTATGCAATATTGGGGAAATTTAGGGATTAGCTGGGAAGCCCTATTCACCATTCGAATGGAAGTGATCTCCCGAGGACGGGTCTTGCACCTGCTGAAGAAGTTGCTTGGCACAACTCCTTGGCCCGGCTTGAAACCTTTCTGGTGTTTTAATCATTTTCCAACCGTATTCCTTTAATTTGGCATCCTTCAACCGAACATCTTTCTGCAACACCCCTCTTTGCTAACCTGACCACCGTTTCCAAACGTTGCGTTTGGATACAGTATATGTAAATGACTGTAAATGTGCCAAGTTCTGAGCTCAACGGATTGCTCTGACCAGGCATAGTGAGACCACTGAACGAAACGATCGATTGAAGCTTCTGGTAGCACAGAGCATGATGGAGTGCCGGGATTGGGAGGACGCTGCGCTGCAAGGGCTTGGGATGCGGATGTGAACTCCCCGGAACCGGATCCAATACCTTTCCTGTCACGGCCCCCAATGCTGTGAGGATGATCTCAATAGCCTTACCTAGCTTCAACTTGTCGCCCCCCACAGCCTAAAAACTGATGTGCCATGGGAAATGAGTATCAGTATCATCCATTTCAGGCTTAGTGGCCCTAAGCTTGTGGTCATGTTGAGACAAACCCAGTCGTTATCAGCAGGAACCCAAGTCGTCAGGTGCCCAAAACCCTGACCCATCCCCAATGATGTTCCTTCCATTTTGGGAAACATGTATTTAAAATGATTAAATGTACAACATATATATATATATATGTAATATGTATTTTATATATAATATATATTAATTACATCATATTTCTTTACCAGTTGTTTTTTTTTTGTGTGTGTGTGTGTGGGGGCAACCCCTGTTCCGAAGGGCTTTTATCACATGTCCAATTTTTATGACATGTCCAATTTTTAGTTTCAGTTCCCAATTTACAAGCAGGGGCACACGGCATCCTTGACCCACCGTGTGCAACGAAGCTACGGTCTTGGATGGGATATCAGGGCTGATCACCCTGACGTACCTGCAGTTGGTCACGATGTTCTTTCATTATCCAAGCTTTTTGATGACTTTCCGGTTATTTTTTATCATATGCATGAATAATTCGAGAAATCGGAGTCCGTTACGCATTTTTCAGTATTTACCCATTTCTGCGACTTTTGTCCAATGTGGACAAAGACGGCCTTCCTGAACTAAGCATGTAAACAGCAGAATCAGTTCAGGTATCCTGTTGGGAATGAAAAGACTCATAGACGAGATACGGTCTTTCAAGTGTGTATTCGGCAGAGATTCCGTCATGGTCCTGTCGTGATCCGGTAACTGCCGGCGTGTGAACAGTATCCCTCTGATTTGGCTTCGGCCCTCAACTTTTTTCACCACCAAAAAATGGGGGTATGTCTGGTCCTTGTCCAGAGAAAAACAACAAGGCAATACCACTGGGTCGTTTTGACCATGAATCGTAGCCATCGGTATATCCGATATGATTTGGGACTAATTTTCCCTTCCGTCCCCTCGAGATGAGTAATTCGTGCTACGGAGTTCCATTTTCCAACGGAGATCGAAGATCTCCATGGAAATTGTCGTGCATGTTTTCTCAGGCGTTGAAGAATCTCTGAAAAATCTCTGAAAATCTCTGATTGCACTTTGTGCCTCTGAATTACTCTGATTCACTCTGATTCACTCTGAACATTCGGGGTTATTCCTGAACAAAGGCTTTCGGGCCCTCCTCTGAAACAACTATGAGTCGCCAAAAAGAACAAAGCAGAAAAAACAGCAATAGAACATTTAGACTTACTCGTCGGACGGATCAGTGATAGTTTCGATGCAGTGTTTTCACGGTACTTCAGCTTTCAGTTTCTGTACAGACATCCTGGCTCAACCGACATGTTTTTCACGTTCATTCATGAAGCCAATCACTGCAAACGTATCACACGCTGATACTTGTACAGTTGACCTTTTTTAATTGTGTGTTGTCATGGTTTTCCATGTTCCATTTTCCTTTTTTAATTGTATGTTGTCATGGTTTTCCATTTTCCATTTTCCATTTTCGACACGTAGAGTTGCAGCCATGTCATACAATGTGTATTTCATTGCAGGGGACTACAGCCGCCAGGCGGCTAAAGCACCACCGCCTCGAGCACCGGCTGCCGTGGTTTCGACGTTGAGACCCATGTCCGACCTGCGCTGCCAATTACTGATGGTACTGCAAGTTTCGATCCCCCTAGAAGACCACCGGGACCAATGTCTGTAGTCCTTGAAGGTGCACAGAAAATCGGTAGACCACCAGTTGCACCGAGAAGTTTGGCACCTTTACAACCTCCACCACTGAGATCCAGATCTTCTCGATCCCGTAGACCTCGTCAAACGAGATCTAGATCCGATAGCCGTGCGCGATCTCGGTCCCCAGGACCTAGTGTCAGTGAAGTTCGATCAGCGGCTCGCTCTTTACAGCCAGCCCATCATACATACCCACCAGGGAATTGGGAAACTTCACTTGGAGTATTTGATATTTACGGTCACAGCGGCCAATTTCAAGCAAGACCTCCGCCGCCGCCACCACCACCCCGTCCAGTGGTGCCACAGACCGTACGTAGTGCTCCGAATGCATCTTTGAATGCGCCGCTAGGTAGTGCTCCTTTTAATGCGTTTCCGATTTCGAGCACGCCGTCAGGCCATGTCCCACTAAATGATCATGAGTATTCCTTGTTTGAAATCCTCTTGAATCAACAAGTCAAGGAACATCCCACTTCTGAAGCCTTTTTGCAACATGTAGCCAAGCTACTGACACAGGCTGACATTTTGTCACAAGATTTGGGACCCATGAGAATGGCCACGTATGATCCCAGCTATTACGGATGGAATCAGGGATCTGACCAACCAGCTCCAATGGAGCATTTTTACCTTTTGCCGATCTCAATTTTGTATGATAGAGCCAACCTTCCAGCAGGGACGCCACCGATACCAAGACGGGCGGCACCAGACAGAGGCCTCGATAAAATCATCCATCTGGCCTTCACACATGCCACAAAACTTGGTAATTTTGTTGCCATTCTCAAAGAAGGTAAGCTGGCAGCTAGCAAACTCCACTTTGCAGAAAGTGAAAGTTTCTTTGCTCAGGGATTCAAAGTAGGATACACCTCGTGGGAGGCGCACGAATTAGGTCGTATCTTGCACAATGGGACGAATCTCAGCAAGAACGAATGCGGTGCCATATTTGTGGGCCTAGCCTGGGGCACAGGAAAAACCGTGCACAATGGCGGAGAGGGTGAGTGCATTGACCTCACCCGTGGCCCGAATTCGCAAGGATGCGTGCATCACAAACGTGTCCGCATGTGGGTGATAAACACCCGCAGCCACTATTTGACAGGCATTGCTTGGCGATCTGATTCCCAAGCTCCGGTCAGGTTTTTCTGAATTTCATTCACCTTGCTTTTTCATACTGAATTTTGCAGTCTTTACTTGATCCATGTTGTTTGCCTCATCATTGATATATTCCCTGTACAACCATTCTGCATTTTCTAATCCTGAAACGGATTGGACGCCACCACGATAAAAATACGGTCAGCTTGCTATGCTTGACGTTGCTGATGGACGTTTTCAGAGATTGCACGATGTTTGCCGGAATTTTGTCACTTTGAAATGTTGTGTCCAACTTTCTGAGCTGTTTCATTTTCAATTTCATATGGCGACTGTCGATCGACCATACTATTTCGATGGCTTCATTCGTTTTTTTGATTTTAATGATTTCAATCGCTGAATATTTTTTCTCGGTGAATTCTCATAACTAAGAATATTTTTCTGTGATTGTCAATCACTGAGCACTTTCTCTGTGAATCTCAGCTCAGTTTGCCGACACGTCCCAAGAAACATAGGCTCGACCTTGTTAGCCATGTCTCAACGTTGGAGCTCTCAGGCATGGAACACCTGGGATAACACCTGGGATGATTCCACATGGCCAACCCATCAGGACTGGTCTTGGAAGCCAACCATTCCATCACATTGGTCCCCTTCTTCTACTCACTACGATGAAAATGTGATGCATGGATATCCCATGTACCGGCAAATTCAACCGGCAGCCTGGAGCCGCAAAAGAGGTCTCCACGGCATGGATCCGCTCCAAGTTCCGTTGGCAGCCTTGTGCCGCTATGGCACTCAAGAATTCAGCCTTCGACCTTTTAGCGCCGGAAGATTCATTGGAGTAGTGACCACTCGTACAGTTGCCGAATCCGTTTTCTGTGCTCAAATGCTAAAAAGCATGCGAGACAGCAACATTGACATCGATGAAGTTGCGGAGCATCTTCACCGAACTCAATCTCCGACAAAACCAGTGCCATCCAAACAAGATTCGCCGGTTGAGTTTTTGTGCCCTGTTGTTGCTGATTTGGTTTCCCGTATGAAGTCTCTTCAACCACAAAAGACAGAAGGCACAGCGGTTCGACGTTTGCAGCATGTAGAGCACGAGCTCCGAGAAGCCCAGAGGAAGCTCGCTGAGATGAGCTCCCAAGGCCATACGCCGTCATCAGTTTCGGAGCAGAATTTATCACCCGCTGCATCCAAGAAGAGAGAGCCATCGGAAAGACTTGGCGCAACTCCCAAGAAACGAGCTCGGCAGACAAAGTCTACCTTGCCAGTTGAAGCCGTTAAGACCCTCCAGAGCTTGTGGAAACCCAAGCATGATTCGAAGAGCTCCAGACCGGAAGATCCGACTGGAGCCGGAACCACAGTAGAATCCAGTGAGGATCACATTGAGGAGTTTTCCGTAGAGTGTCCTGACAAGAGCCCAGATGACGGAGTCATCCAAGCTGAGGAGTGCTTACGTCCTCAGTCCCCAGCACTTCAGGACCATGTTCCCGGTGGCCATTCTGATCCCACGATCAAAAAGTGGGTGGAAAGCTTTCCCAGAGAAACTCGGGACGCTGCCATCAAATTCACTCAGTCAGTCCGTGATGCCGATATTCCCAAATCCAAGCTTCAAGAAGCTTGCATCAAATACGGACTCGGTATTGAGCTCACTTTCAAGTTGGCACCCCGCAGCATGCACCAGATCATTGGTATCGGTGCAGCCTTGTGTGCTTGACTAGGGTACTGTTCAAAGGAGATTCCCCGTTTGAAACTGTGAATCTCCAGCAGGCGTTTTCTTTTTGCATTCATTGTATTCCGAACATACCTAAATCCTTGGCAATGTGGGCCCTCAGTTTGATTCATGTCCTAGTTTTGTCAAAGTTTTCCGCGCCCACATTGGAATCTCGTAAGTGGCGCAATCGGTTGAATCTGTTGGGAGTGTGCCCTGAGATGTACACCTATCCGTTTTTTCAAGTCCAATGTGCAGTTTACGTCAAACTGCCATTTCATCCGCTTCAACCGGAAAATCCGGTATATCATCAGCATGGCCATTTTTACGTTGGATCTACATCCATATCGGCATGCAAAAGAGATTTCAACCGGTCAGCCAAGTTGAAACAACTCGGTCTAGGCCAAGCCGTTAATGTTGAACTCCCTATCAGGTACTGGCAGTCCCACAAGAACTTTTCTTTGTATAATTTGATCGTTTTGGAAACTCACAGTACCTATGAACAAGCGTGGGTTCGTGAACATTGTTTGATCAGTTATTGGCAACCCATGCTCAACCATCCATTTATTTCCAAAGTTTTGAGGTTAAAATCCGAGGGTTGGACCCTTCAGTTTAAAGCCAACCGCTCCCCCCCAATCAAATTGGGGCCTCGATTGTACCAAAGGCTACGCAGACGTCTTCGGACTATTGGCAGTGTTCCAAGCGTTCACTCCTGCCAAGAAAAAGCCTGGCAAATCCTGTACCTTTTGAGTCTCCATACTCGAAGCAGTTATGAGACATGTCAACGAATTCGATCCGGAGAGTTTCATACTCTTGAAGTGTATGCATTGTACAGATTATCCTTGCACATGGAAGAGCCTGGCCGATCCCGTGTTCGGGGACTCCTTTCAAAAGCGTTGCAGTTTAGAAACGCTACAGTTCCCAGAACTAACATGCCCTTGAGCATTCCATTTTTGTCTCATGATGATTTTCAAATCAATGTTCAACGTTGGCTACGCAATATCATTGTGAATTCAAAAGACATGGCATTACCATTGTACCTGCCTACTCAACATTTGCGTGAAGCAGCGTATCCCAAAGTTCGGGAATTTTTGCACAACCATCGAAAAGCTGAAACATGGTGGGACGCCACCGACCCGGACAAATTGCCATGTTGCTGTTCTTTTTTACGACTTCATTGTACTTATGACGTGGATCCTCAACAACATCTTGCTGTTAATTTGGAGGATTTGAAACTACCCAAGTTTCTGGCAGTATTTTCCGATGTGAATGCCAATTCGACATATTATTTATCGAAGACATCTTTCCTGGAGCGAGTTCAGCCTAAGTTTCAACAGTGGCTCAGACATCACGGCCTACCTCCAGGTCTTTCGACTCCATTTCAACAGTTCATGCATGATCAATGGAAGCTTCATCTTCAATCTTTGGATCATCATCCACGACTGACTTTTCGAGATGTACAGAATTTGCTGAGATGGCTGCCGTATATAACTGTGTACTTCATCACGGTGATCATGAACAATTTCGTATCACTGTTTTCTGCCCCAAATTGTACTTTCACGGGGCATTGCAAACCTGGCTAGATAAGGAACTGTTTGAACAGCTTCCCATCAGCATCGGGGACGCTCAGAAATTAATCCATCGAGCTTTTTCCAAACGACTGATTCGAAGATACCCCTGGGGTTTTCGGAAAGGAGCTCTCCTTCCGTATGGATTTGTTTTTCTGAAGCGCAAAAAACAGTGGGCCAAAGGCCGCACGTTGATCAGCTATCACAAAAGCTATCAAGCCAAGTTGCTCAAAGCGACTAGCAGAGCATTGGACTCAATGTGTCGCCAAATATGGCCACAAGATCTTGGACAATTGAGCACACCACAAATCTGGAGCAAAGTTCACGCTTATTTTGATGTTACTGATGAAGCGGCGCGACTTCAATTTGTGAACGACGACCTAGTTGGCTTTTTTAACTCTGTGCCACAAACTAGACTTTTGGATGCGGTACACCAATTGGTGGAACATTGGATTGAAAACCATCTAGATCATTTTCCTGAGGGTCGGGACTCAATCACTATCTCTGTGGATACCTCGGCTCATGGAGATCCAGTACATTCCACGTTTTCAGGTTCTTTTCGCCGCACGGCGCTTCAGATTCGAAAACTACACGTCACAGACATTGTAAAAATCGTTCAGTCCAGCCTGAGTTCTCATATTTTTTCAGCCTTAGGATGCATTTGGCGTCAAATTCGTGGAGCCGGAATCGGCAGCCAGATATCACCGTCCCTGTCAAATCTCGCAGTCACCATTATTGAGCGAAGTTGGCAAGAAACTTTTGCCCAAGTGTTGGAACAACCGAGCTTGCATCCATGCTCAATTCGCTACGTGGACAATCGTTTTTTGATGTTCTCTTCCAATTTTAATTCCTGCGATGCCCTTACGACTTTTTGTGATTTGGACTTTTACGGGCATCCTGTTGAACTAGAAAAAGTTGAAGACAATATGCTTCTTGGGTTTGCAGTTGATGTTGACAGACGCACTGTTGAATATCGTCAACCTGACATCAGTCAGATCAGAGATTGCGTCTCTGCGGGATCACTCCGACTCAGAATGAGTGGATTAAAAAGCCGGGCTCATTTAATTCGAAAATACACGTACCCGACCAGTTTGATCTCCAGTAGCTTGACGCAGCTGGGCGCCTTATATGTACAGAAAGGTTTTTCCCAACCTGACGTCGATCAAGCACTCAACCAGCGTAAGTAAACATTGCTGCTGTCCGTTTTGCCCTGACATCTTCATGGATGAACATCCTGTAATACATTTTTTTGCCTATATGTTTGGCTCAATTTTGCATTACCATTATGACTCGCTTCTGAGACTCTCGCCTTGGAATCACTTTGGAGTTCACGGGCCCAGTTTTTTCCAAGAATCACTGTTGCTGAAAGCAATGGATGCTATGTTTTCGCGACATACGGCCTTTGTGTGTGGGGACAACCCCTGTTCCGAAGGGCTTTTATCACATGTCCAATTTTTATCACATGTCCAATTTTTAGTTTCAGTTCCCAATTTACAAGCAGGGGCACACGGCATCCTTGACCCACCGTGTGCAACGAAGCTACGGTCTTGGATGGGATATCAGGGCTGATCACCCTGACGTACCTGCAGTTGGTCACGATGTTCTTTCATTATCCAAGCTTTTTGATGACTTTCCGGTTATTTTTTATCATATGCATGAATAATTCGAGAAATCGGAGTACGTTACGCATTTTTCAGTATTTACCCATTTCTGCGACTTTTGTCCAATGTGGACAAAGACGGCCTTCCTGAACTAAGCATGTAAACAGCAGAATCAGTTCAGGTATCCTGTTGGGAATGAAACGACTCATAGACGAGATACGGTCTTTCAAGTGTGTGCGTTTGTGTTTACTAGGGTGCTAGGATATGCTAGGGTTTTGACCCATACATAACAACATTTGTCATAGCATGTCATGGCCATGGCAGAACTTACACGTCACGTTGCCTGCTGAGGAAGCACTCAGGCTGGGTGCTTAGTGCTTCGCCATGGCAGGAAATGCTTACCCTCTGGTAATCAAACATGGCAATGGAAAATCCACTATGAATGAAGGTTTCAATGGGACAATTTTCCATTGCCATGTTTGACTACCGGTAATTAGATGCAATTAGAAGGTAGAACGACAAAGGGTAAAGAGACCGTGCATTTCTTTCCCTTGCATGTCATGCATGGTCATAACAATTCCGAAGTTGAATGTGCAAGATTGTCACGGGGTTCCACAACGTTCCATAACTCATTCTGATTAAAAACGCTGCCGTCCTGTCAGATATTTGGAGAGCACCTGGCCAGAAGATCAAGGTGCTTCGGATCCGATGCTCGGTTTTGAAGGCATTTATGACACTGCCGGGCGAATTTGCAGGATGACCTGAAAGAATGGTGGTGAAAAAGTGGCTAACCCAAAAACCGATAGATGCTCGCAATCACAATCAGAATAAAGTGAATGTTGCGGAAACTTCTCAACTCATTGTTCCAAGTCAATATCTTAATAACTAGACTATGGAGGCGACTTGTCTATATATATATATATATGTTATATGTAATTATATATTATATATATTATATATATGTATATATTATATATATGTATATATATATATATATGTGTGTATATATATATGTATATATATAATATATATATATATCCATTTATTGGAGCCCAAAATCATCCAACATCCAGACATCCATGGTGTGCAGACCCCACGTCTGAGGAAGTCTGCAGCCTGTTTTGCCCTGCTACGAGGGAAAGTCTACGAAGCCATGGAGAATCTGGAGCTGGGTCTGGGTAAATGTCGGGCAGTGGCATGTTTGATGATGTTTGATGTGGCCATTCTATGCCATCCTTGGGATGAATCGGAGGTGCTTGGGTTTGAATATCATATATATGTTTCATCGCCCTATTCACTGGGATTTTTGGTTGAGGAATCTGATGCAATTCCGATTTCACCGAGGTTTGTCACCCTATTGGCCCCCCGTGAATTTTCGACCCCCGTGTTGTTGGCGATGTGGGTGTCCAGGAGAATGCGCTGTCGAAGCTTGGCCAAACATGGGGATGGTATGGGATGGTCATCTCCCTAATTCTTGAGGATGTACCCTCTGGTAAACTAACATAACTATTGAAAATGGCCATTTATAGTCGTTTTTCCCATTAAATATGGTGATTTTCCATAGTTATCTTAGTTTATCAGAGGGTAATGAGACCGAAAAAAACAGGTGGATGACCATTGGTTGTTTTCTCATTTTAGTCACTCCATTCCAGCAACTATCCAGAATCCAGATGTTGTCTGGTTTTTGTATCCCTTTCACAAAGCAGGTTGCTACCTGGAATTCAATCTCCTGACATCATCTTGGACATTTGCCTTCTGGACCATTTACATCAACTAGATAAACATGTTTTGAGAACATCCGTTTTTTCGTTTGGAACTTGGCACTTCAAACCCCATGACTTCTGAAGTCATTGAAGTCACACACCCCATGACTTCTGAAGTCGCTTGAAGTCACCCCCAACCCCCAACCCCAAAACCATCCCATCCCAAAGCTATTTATCTTGATATGGGGTGCCCATTTGCATCCATATAGTCAGCCATAGTCAGTCTCAGGTGGTACGAAAGGGCGGCTCACTTGGACGCCTATTGCCATGAAGCATTGGAAAGATTGGCTGGGAGACCCATGGAGACCCGGTGGGGCCAAAGATGTTGCGTTTGGAACGCACTTGGGAAATTTGATCAAAAACGATTTGATGGGCATGTTTCATGTGTTTCATGTGTTTCATGTGTTTCATGCGTTTCATGTGTTTCATGTGTTTCATGTGTTTCATGTGTTTCATGTGTTTCATGTGTTTCATGTGATCCAGTGACCTGTAGCTTGCATCATCGAAGCTTCGGTGACGGGTATGGGAATAGGTCAAGGCAGATGATCGTATTGCTTCAAGAACTCCATCGGTTGATGATTCAGTTCTGTGAAGCACAAATGGGTGAGTGGATAACCACAGGGCTGCTCGATTCTGTCTTAATATGTCAGTCACTTGAGGCTTCAAACTGGAGGGGCCTTGCGCATTTTGAACATTTTGAGGTTGGGCTTGTCCCAAAGTCTCGCGATGGATCGAGTTTCCCGGGCATGCCCCGGACCATTTGAGGTTGGTAGCCATTTGCTCAGCATCGAGCGCGCAGCTGGGATCCAACTTCAGGTCCCAGGGATATCATGGCATCGAAGGCCAGTACCCACAGACGGGCTATGTTTACATGTGAAGCCATTGGAGTAATATTGGCATTTGAAACCATTGGAGTATATTGGAGTTTTGTTTGGTCATTATTGATATTGGAGTCCCCTGATGATGGGAACATGAAGAACACTCACAAAGCCGTAGCGCAGCTAATTGAGATCGCCAATGATCACAAGCTGGTTGGCTGAGCACCAGCCCAGATCCTGTACAAGCCCAGGAAATTGCGCTGTTGAAGGGCTTGAAGTTACACAAGGAAGATGCAGCTTGGTGCTGTGATGTTTTTTTTAACTAATTTAATGCAGCTGGGAACTGCATAAGGCCTCCTGAAAACCGGCATGCCGGGATATCCGACCAAGGAGTGGCTTAGACATCTCTATGCCGTCCCTTGGAGGAGTTCAACGGGACCCAACCCATCCGAGCCAGCTTCAAGCTGTCTCCAAACCAGCCAGAATGGAAGGGAAAACGGGATGGACGTATATACTGATACTGACGTTACATTTACCATCTGTTTATTTAACATAGCCATGGAAAATCACCATTTTTACTAGGTAAACCATCTATTTCTATGGGCCATCTATACCATGGCCATGTTAAATAACCAGAGGGTAGAAATTTGGAAACCCACATCAGGCGGCTGAACTAAGGCCAAGCTTACAGCGAGCAGAAGCAGTGATGAAAATCCCTTCGCAGAGGCGGTCCCCGAGGAACGAAAAGGCTGGGAGTTTGTCGGACTGTCACTTTTTGTCAACCGGAGATCAATAGGAAACTCCTCCATTTTTGATGTTTTTGTTGGGAATATGTGTGACTGTGTGACTGTGTGACCTTTAAAAATGGCTTGATGCAACTGGATGAAAGGAAGTCAAAGGGATTTTGGGGAATGATAACTTGTTATATATATATATATATATGTAACATATGTATATAAAGTTCACCGTAAGTTTATATGGTTTTGTATGTATGAATGTGCTACTTGTCCTCAGTAAATTGGAATTGGAACACAGCTCAGACACAATTTGAAGGGAATCATATGGATTGTTAGTTGGCATAGAAACGGATACTTGTGATACCAGTGCATGTCAGGGAGTGTTTGAAGCTGGAGGCAGTGCACCTGTGGCCGGGAGCCACCAATGGATAAACATATGCAGCAGTGATGGTTTACTCCAGACCTTGAGACAGCAGAAGTTGGTCATATACATCGTTTTCTATAAAATGTCATTAATGTCATGGCATCTTGAATCTGAGTACTGAATGTCAACTATATCAGTATATCATCTTTTACTGGTAATGTCTATATAGATGATATTTACTGATATATTTATTGGTACCTTAATATATTGTTCTACTTCCATCATATTTCTTTTTACCTAATGTCAACGAAATTGCATTGGTGGACCATCAATGATGTCAAAGTTCATTTGTCATCCCATTTTCCTTGAAATTAAACCAGAGTAAACCATAGTTAAACCATATGAAACCATATTAAATCATAATTAAACCATATGAAATCATAATTAATTTCCAATTTTCCCATGACATCTCCAGGGTGCTTTGGTTTGGTTCGATCCAGGTGGGGAAGTCCTGGGAGATTGGCGTGTCAGGAGACGGGAGATACCCTTGGGCCTTGGGCATTCAAAGTGAGCCAGGAATAGTGCGGTTTAATATGGTTTAATATCGGGTTAATAGAATTTTGATATGATTTCAATTGATAGAACTTTGATATTATCGGAAAATCACTAATGATTGGCTAGACATTTTGACTCATTAAGAGTTGAATAAATATAATCAAGCATCTTCAACAATCTCACTTGGATGGATTACAATGACCTTGGGTAAGGGGAATCATCCCCAAATGACCATTTTCAGGTTCGTGAAATATGGTTTGATATCATTTATAGCAGAACGTATATATTTTCAAATCTTATCGTTCAATGGTGACATTAGGGTCAAGGGCATATAATATCATGGTGACTTTGAATGATTTCTTGAGCCAAATATTAAATAGTCCCCAAACGAAACCATTGGTTTAGTTTTGGATCTATTCATGTTTGGGGGCCAGTCATGGGGGGTTGTTTCATAGGGGGATGAGATACAGTACATCATGATATATCATGATGTATCCCCAGGTTTGAGGTGACAAAACCCCCAGGCCAGGTACAATTCGCCCAGTGATGAATTTTCCATTTGCAGGGCTTAGATGTCGGTGGTCCAAAGTACCCTCTGGTAAACTAACATAACTATGGAAAATCACCGTTTTCAATGGGAAAATCCACTATAAATGGTCATTTTCAATAGCTATGTTAGTCATTACCAGAGGGTAAGCCAAATTTCAAGAAAATCAGCAGGTATAGATAGCAGCTATGCTCAAGTGGGTTTGATCATCCAGGAAGGGGCTGCCCGGCCCTGATCCGTTTGAAGCTTTCAGGAGACAAGGGCTGAGACAAGGCCGGGGGATGCCGGGGGTATGTGGAGAATTTGAATTTGATATACTATTTGGATTTTAAACAAATGGTACCCCATCCAAATCCATAGATGTGGTTCCTTTTTCCCCAACATCACTTAAAACTGACTACATACACACACACATATATATATATTTATACATTATTATTATTATTATATATATATATATATATATCATTGTATACCCAAGTTTGTTATGCTGCATTTCAAATACTACTGGAAATTTTGTAGGTAAGTAGAATGCTAGATAGTTGGATCGTTTTTTTTGGGATTGCTCTTTGCAAAGACATTTTTATTATGACGATGGTTTAATTTCCCGGGGTAGTGTGTTTGTTCAGAATAGGCATTGCCCATCCCACACAGATCCAAGGTTTCTCAACCTTCCCATGCATTTTCAACGTTGTTCCCTTCTACGAAGTCCCGTCGCTGATTTTTTTGTGTTGGTCAGTTCAAACTTCATTCTTCCACAGTTTGAATAATTTCAATGTAGTTTCAACCCCCAGAGGCTTTTATATTTGCCATCTTGAAATTCATTCTTCCACATCGTTTCAATTACAAAAACTGGTTGGTGGTTTCAAACATGTTTTATTTTCCATAATATATGGGATGTCATCCTTCCCAATTGACTCATATTTTTCAGAGGGGTTGAAACTTGAAACCACCAACCAGAAAAGGTAGTTTCAAAGTTTCAATCTTCATTCTTCCACATTCCTTGTTTTGTTTGGGGGTAAAAGCAATGCCCAGTCCATATCTTCATGGCCCTTGTCAGGTGCAGCCGATGCTCCTGGTTTCTGGGCCTGGCTGGGAAATCCCCGAACTCCGTGGAGGTGTTCGTGTGAAAATCTGTGAAAGTCATCTAATGATTGTGGGATTTTTCATGATTTTCCATTGCTACACGATTTTTCCATGATTTTCCATTGTGGGATTTTCCATTGCCATCGGATTTAACATTTGATTATCAGAGGCTACATAAGTTTGAAACTGAGATGGATGGAAAGTCAACATGGCCATTTCGGCAGCATTCCAACATCGGATTTGAAGGATGATCTCCCCAAAGGGCAAACGGCAATGGTTAGGAGCCAAAAGATGTTCTAGATTCTGGACTTGACCGTGACCCATTTTGTGGGGCTCCATGTCAAACTTCACTGGCGTGGTAAACTAGGTTTTACTTTACTTGGATAATCATCCTTCTTAGATTCTTAGATATACAGATAAACAAACAAATAAATATACGTATAAATACATAAAACACACACACACATATACATATATATATATATACATTATATTATATATATATTATATTATACATGTTGGATGATGTTTGATCCGACATGGTGCGACTATAGTTTGCATGACCCATCCGATGAGGCCCCCTAGATAACTAGGCAGATTGACTTTTAACTTGGCTGACTATGGTTTGTTGTGTACGTATGTATATATATATATATAAAGATATAGATATATATAGATAGATAGATAGATAGATAGTTAGATTAGATTAGATTAGATTAGATAGATAGATAGATTAGGTAGATTGATTAGATAGATAGATAGGTAGATAGATAGATAGATTAGATTAGATTAGATTAGATAGATAGATAGATAGATTAGGTAGATTGATTAGATAGATAGATAGATAGATAGATAGATAGATTAGATTAGATTAGATTAGATTAGATAGATAGATAGATAGATAGATTAGGTAGATTGATTAGATAGATAGATAGATAGATAGATAGATCGATAGATAGATAGATAGATAAATAGATAGATAGATACATAGATAGATAGATAGATAGATAGACAGATAGATAGATAGATAGATTAGATAGATAGATATATAGATAGATTAGATAGATAGATAGATAGATAGGTAGATAGATAGATAGATTAGATTAGATTAGATTAGATTAGATAGATAGATAGATAGATAGATTAGGTAGATTGATTAGATAGATAGATAGATAGATAGATAGATCGATAGATAGATAGATAGATAAATAGATAGATAGATACATAGATAGATAGATAGATAGATAGACAGATAGATAGATAGATAGATTAGATAGATAGATATATAGATAGATTAGATAGATAGATAGATAGATAGGTAGATAGATAGATAGATTAGATTAGATTAGATTAGATTAGATAGATAGATAGATAGATAGATTAGGTAGATTGATTAGATAGATAGATAGATAGATAGATAGATAGATAGATGGATAGATAGATAGATAGATAGATAGATAGATAGATAGATAGATAGAGATATAGACAGATATAGACAGATATAGACAGATAAATAGATAGATAGACAGATAAATAGATAGATAGATAGATAGATCTACAGATATATATATATAGATCTATATATATATATATAGATAGTCAGAACTTTATACAGTAAACCAACTTGTAGTTGGGAAAACCTCATAGCTATTGGCCAAAACCATGGTTTTCCTGTGGATTTTCCCGATCCATTGAGGTTATCCCACACCGTTTCTCCCCGCGGCCTCCGCCGGCAACGGCCACGCCCGTGCGGCGCAAGCGGCGCGATTCTTCGGGCAGGCGCTTCTTCGGGGTGTCACCAGGGGAACTCATGGGGAAATCCATGGAAAACCTATGGGAATCCATTAGAAATGTAGAAATGGAGGTTTGAACGGGACATCTCTAGATGGTTTGTTGTTCCATCGTGTTTGATTGGGGATAATTCACCACCAAATAAGAAAGGTTCAATTTGATAATTATTCTACATGTTTTATATGGATTTACCCCAAAAGAGCTGAATTTCCTCAAAAGCTGATGGTTTCATTGCAGGAAATACAGCTGGAACAAGCCAACAACTCGCCTTAACCAATGGTTTTTGAGCCGCTGTCCCAGCCAGTGCAGCCTCTTTTGGCTCGCTTGTTGCGCCGCTGTCTGAATTTGGAGCTCAAGTCTGGGACATTGCTTCACACATTGGAGTGAAAACATACATTTGGAATGTCGCCGTAGACAAATTGGGAAAGGAGATCCGCAATTTGAAGGTGAATTTGCGGGGAATCTGAGTGACAATTAGATTAGAACTTACTAATCACAGCTAATGTTTTTTGTGGTCATGTCCCTCAAATGTCAGCCACGGCGTGGATTTGACTCAGTGGAACTGCACCCCCATTTTTCTGCCGAGCTGAGAAGAGGAGACATCACTGGTGGGTGGTGAGTGGAAGTGGCACAACTTGGAAGGCCCAGTTGACATGGAATAGCTTCCCCCCATGGCTTGCTGACGGTGTCAACCACTTGAGTGTTGCCAATTGAGATGCCTCTACAGTTGGGACAAGACAAGTGGCAAAAAAATATACTGTACATGTTTTCATTTACATATGCACACATCTATATGCATACCTGATGGCATGCAAGACATCAGATCCTGCAGGAGACCCTGGCTCCTAACGGGCTTCCAACCCCTTCCTTATGGATTAAACAAAGCTTCAGATACTAATTGGTGGTTCACCTCAGTAAACAAGTGGCTTAATTACTTTCTCTCAGTTACAACTGGACTAAGCCTATTCGAACGAATGAAAGGGATGAAGCTCCGAGTAACCAGCGACCAATCCCCAAGTTCGCCGCAACTGCAGCCGTTTCAAGTGTGCAGCAGCCGCATCAACCGTCGATCCGCACGCTACGTGTCGCGATGTCCAAGCACGCCACGCTGGTATTCTCAAGGCATGGTGAGTCAGAGCGCCTTGGCCCAACAGAAATGGATGGTTTTAAGCGAATAAAGTGGAGGTTCTCACTAGCATAAGTGAACTCAACATTGTTGGTTGCTTTTGTGTATATGAATCTAGTGCGGCTCTACCGATCTGAGTAGGGGTGCAATGACCAATCAGTTTTTTGGTAAAACAATCTTGGGCACAACAGTTCCTCAGGAAGGCTGAATGTTATGCAGGGGGGCTGCTATGCAATGACATTGCCGCCAAATTATATAGTGATTTGGACCCCGAGCATGGGGAATGGGACTGGTGAGAATTGGGAACCTCGCATTTGGATGGTGAAAACGGAAAGGACAAGAGTTGACAGGTTGCTTTAGGGCATTGTTGGGTGGCCCGTGGTTTTGAAGCACAGCTGCATAGTTTTTCTTCAGGGTCCCCAAAAATATAAAGATAAAAACAACAAAACATATATATAAGCCACTGTAAAACTGTATAATTGTGATCATGTTGTATTTATATACATGTATGTACATTGGTCATCCTGGGAGATCTCAGCCAGCGCCAGGTGGAACGTGGCCAACATCTTCACAGGTTGGGTGGACGTGGACCTGTCGGAGAAGGGTCTGGGAGAAGCGAAAGGTGCAGGAGAACTTTTGAAGGCGCAAAAAAGGGTGCTGGGTGCATTTGGGTACCTGGGGCTCTGCATGGCTCTGCATTTTTTTTGACGAGAGCGAGAGGTTTGGAGCAAAAAACTCTTTACGTTTTTTGGGGATTGAACAAAAATGATGAAACATGCCTGCAAATTTGATGTTGAGCGTGGGTCCAGTGATGTCTTGCACTATACTAGACTTATCCAAATGTGTCGTTCCAGTGGTAGTATTTTTGGCCTCCCAGTTCCGTATCTTGTGCTGCAGCATGCAGTCACCTCGCTGAATCACAAGATGGCCAGGCTAGAAGGATGCGAGCCAAGACAGTATCATGTTGGTCTGAATACCAACATTGTCACATTGAACTGGTTGTTAAGATATATAATCCCATTGAAGCCATATATATAATATATGTATATATGTATTAATATTTATAGGTTATGTCCACTATTGTTGGTAAAGCAATATCATAAACCATCCATATAAATTCTTGGAATCCCAGCCATGAAGGAAACTGGCACATTCGGGGATGGAATATTAACGCATGTAACCACATAATATACTAACCAGTGTTGATTTCCTATTATAGACCAAAATAATGTAAATCAACATTGGTTAGTTACTAATATATTTGATCCATATTACCAACTTCTATATTTGATTATGTTAAATAACCAATGTTGATTAATATTTTAAGATATTGTAAATACCTAATATTTAATCAATATATTTGCTACTAGCAGTATTAAATATAAATGTTAAATCTCTTATTTATGCTAAACTATATTATTAGCATATTACCATATTAATCAGTTTTTAATATTAACATCTATACTTGGTGGCTCATCCCACTTAGTAAGTGGGTTATAACCCCAGTTATAAATGGGATAAGTAGGGTTAATCCACTTATAACTGGGGTTATAACCCACTTACTAAGTGGGATGAGCCACCAAGTATTACCATCTTTATTGATCTTTATTCACCTAAACATGTTACTATTGCGCAATACTGCCAGGCCGAGGGCCTCCAGATCGACGTGGCCTACACCTCCTATTTGAAGCGTCACTCGGTGGATCAACCGATGGACCATGGGTGAACACCTTGAAATTAATGGGTGACACGTCATTTTTTTCATATGTTTAAAAAAAATCGTGGAAACACTTGATATATTTTGTGTTGTTTTCCGGCACCTTTTAACTTTTCGGGGAACAATACGTGTCATGCTTGTCACCAGCCTCAAGGTATGACCCAAAACGCCAAGCGCTGGGCCCTTCATCATTCGGCCTTGATATCTCATGATTTGCCAAGCTGCACAGCCTATTGTAACCAAACAAGAGGAAAATCCATAGTGATCCATAGTGGATGTTCCAAACTGTATATAGTGAATCCATAGTGATCCATAGTGATCCATAGTGATCCATAGTGAACCCACTATAGTTTGGAACATCCACTTGTAATTTGGGATTATCATTTATTATCATAAGCTACAATAATTGATCATCCACAAGCTGTTTAAACAGTCCAGCTGGACATGAAATTCCTCCGTGCTCGCCTGACTTTGAGGTGCCATCAAAACCTGCAATCTGGCGCTGGAGGCACTGAGTTTGGCCGATTTTGATGTCATTTGGCATCTGCCCTTTGTTGATACAAAGCCGAACAAGAACGAACCTGATTTTGTTGCTCTGCTTTGTTTGGTCCTTGGCAGAGGCGGCGGATCAGTACCATGTGCCCGTGAACAAGACCTGGCGCTTGAACGAACGCATGTATGGTGGACTGACAGGCAGGGAAAAGGGCTGAAGATGGTTGAGCCAACGGCGGATAGTTTAGACATGTTTAGATAGTTCGGCTCCAAAAGCATGGGAGGGTTTCTCACATGGGGATACCCCAAATCATCCATTTATAGATGGGTTTTTGCATTGTAAACCATCCAGCTATTGGGGTACCCTCATTTATGCAAACCTCCATTGGCAAATACCATGGTTTCATCCACCTGCTTCACTCGGAAATCGACCCTTTTTACCAATCACAGGGGTACAGCAATGTGTTTCATGACATTCATGAAACTCAAGAGGCTTGACAATTGCATCTTCAGGTTTGGACAAGAAGGAGACGGCAGGGCACCTAGGAAAACCAATGAAAACCATTGTGAAATCCGCTTCCCCATGAGGCCTAAGGGCCTAAGGCCTAAGGATGACTTGCTTGTCTTGCTTGTTCATGGTGAACTTGGATGCTTCCGAAGATTACATTGTGTCATACATTTATACATATTCGTTTAAAAAATATAATGCATGCATATTCGACATACCCTCCGGTTATTTACCATAGCCAGGGAAAATGGCCCATTTATAGAGGAGTTTCCCATTAAAGCCTCCATTTTTGAGGGATTTTCCATGGCTATGTTAAATAACCAGATGGTACATTTATACATGTGATGAGCCCTTGATCTCTAAAGCACGGCCGCAGCTCCAAGGTCAAGAAGCACGGCGCGGACCAGGATCCCGAAAGGGCGATGATAAAGGGCGAAGCATCAGACGAAAGGGCGCTTTAATACGCTTTCAATCCTCAAATATGGAGGTGTTTCACATGTTAAACCATGGTGATTTCACATAGTTGAACCAAATGTGATGAATGTGGAGACATATAATTTGGAAAAAAAACAGGTAAGATGATATGAAATGCACCCCCATGACTTGGACCCATGTAAATTCTACGGTGAAAAAGATGATGATTGCCATGATTATTGCACACTAACCTACTAATTCTCGCTGAATTTGCTGTGCCATGCCGCTTCTCTTTCCTATGTTATAGGTCCTGATAGGATCGACCGGAGTTGGAGGCTGCTCAAGGGTTGGTTAAAATTTTAGCTCGCAAAAAAGGAGAATAAAGGGAGAATAACATGAGAATCCATTTACCATCATTTACTTCTATTTGTTCTGAATCAAATTTTAGTAGGTGTCATTTTGAATCTTTTTTGAGTGCTGCGAAATTGTTTTTAAACAGCAGGAACACAGCATCCTCACACAGCAGGTTCAGATCTGGCGCCGCAGCTTTGACATTCCTCCGCCAGCACTTGAGAAGGCGCGCGTCCATGGGGTGATTATGGAAAAACATAACGATTGGGGATGGCTTGTTGTTATCTGGCTGGTGGTTTCAAACTTGTTTTTTCCACAATATATGGGACAATCCTTCCCATTGACTAATATTTTTCAGACCACCAACCAGTTATGGTTGACCACTAACTATGTATAACATCCCATGGGGATTACCCATATTAACCATTGTCATGGACTTCATGTCATATGTCATTTCCCAAAAACTTGTTTGGGATGCCTTTGCGTCCATTGGGTGACCTTAAAATGGTCGGTTTTGAAATCCATCAGGAAGCCATTGCAATTGTAGGGCGGGTCCCCGTAAGGATGCCGAAATTGTGAAGATATGTGAAGATGAACCAGGCACAAATGGAAGATTCACCTCTGAACATGTGGGGTTTATGTAACATGTTTTCTTTGGAGGTATAGATGTTGATAAATATGTGCTATTGTACATGGTGCATTTGGGTGCAAGTTTTCAGGTGACCGGGGCTTTCATTGCCTAAATCAAGCATGGCCCATGCTTGACCACAACCAGGACAACAAGTACCATCCATGCCATGAAGCCAAGTACGCTGACTTGGACCCCAAGGCTCTTCTGGAGGGGGGTTCAAATTTGAAGTCCAGAGAAGCGGCAACGTGTCCGATCATGTTGGGTGTTGAAGCATGCAATTTTTGGTTTCTTCAGCCATGTTCATGTTTGCAGAAATTATTGTTTGAGGGTTTTTGGGACTGAGCTAGTTGAGATTGGGATGAATTGGACAATTTGCTACATCCTCGGTTGCCACATGACACATACGCACTCAAGAGTGGCTTGAAAGTGTATAAGGTTCAGAGCCAATTGTGCGCACAGAGATCTTGATGATTTCATTTGCCCGAAGCCACACCCAGGTAGTCGCTACATGATATACTGGTTGGTGGTGTTATGTTTTTTCCTCAGCCAATCGGCATCGACATGTATCAGCCAGTGCATCATTTCCAAGACCAATGATAGTTGTTTCCATTGTTTTCCAAGGATATTGGTTTCCAACACCATATTTTTTGTTTTGACCAATGATACATCAGATGGAAATTACCATTTCCAACAACATGTTTTTGTTTTTCCCTAGAGGGAAGGAAGGATGATTTCCAAGGATATGTGATGTATTCACACGTGTTCCAGGACCTGCCGGACACGGAATGCCTGAAGGACACCATTGCGCGGGTGGCTTATCTCAAAATCTGTCGATGGTTGTCTTCCCTGAAGAATGTGGTGGATCAAAACTGGTAATACAATGTAATACATTATTCTGAATACCATACTTTAAGCTATTCAACGATTTTAAAGGGGACGAACATCCATGTTCCCAAGCATTTTGCTGTGATTAACCATGGCATTGCATGGGTTTTGACCCTGCCATCTTGCCAGGTGATGCCTTACTGGGAACAGACCATTGCCCCAGCGCTGAAGGAGGGCAAGACGGTCTTCGTGGCGGCACATGGCAACTCCATCCGCGCCATTGTGAAGATGCCGCTGGGGGATGAAGATGGATTGGGGCCCTGAGCAGGGTAAGCTGGGGAAAAGATGGGAAACGGAATTATAGATCGAATTGATATTGCCTGGGATCCAGTCACATAATTTCATAATTTGAATAAAACACATAATAATAAAACACATTGTCTACTTTTATACTTGCTTTATTATCTTTATTGCTGTATATCATTCCAATTGGTTCCTTACAATTCATTAGTGCACATGTGATTGTGGATATTGTGGATCCATACGTCAGCAAATAGCTGATGGTTTGTTGAGAGTGTGGTGCTCATGCATCACTGGCCTACCCTGTAGTAGTTTCTGTCCTTGGTCATCTGGGAACGCGCTGGGATTCAGTCCTAAACGTGAAAAAGACGTTGGCTTCAAATCCCAATTTGTGAGACTTTGTTTTTATCTTTTTTTTCTAGCAGTTTTTCAAGCTTTAAATTGCAATATCTAATGAACACTAAGATATAGAAAAATAGTCATATCCCCACATTGGTAACAGCCATTGGTATCTAGCTGGGCACTTTATAACCCCATTTTCCCATTGGTATCAATCACTTTTCCAAGGGCTATCCTAATGGATCCCCGAGGATTGAAGGCATCTCTGATGACGTGATCCCTGGATTGGAGATCCCCACGGGAACACCCTTGGTCTACGAACTCGACAAGGCGAATCGTTGGTCGACTCGTTGTGCAGATATCCCATGGTGGTTGACATCTCCAGAGTATGAAGCCCAAAGTATTGTCCAAAGAATTTTCCATATATGATTATCCATGCATCTATTTATCTATCTATCTATCTAACTATCTATCTATCTATATATATATATATCTATATCTATAAATATGTATATATATATTATATATATCTATATATATACATATATATATATATAATTATATATATGTGTGTGTGATTCCCCAAAGTATTCTCCCAAGGATTTCTCCCTCATCTCTTTGTGCCGAACGCCAGGATCTGAAGCCACTGCCCACCTCCCTGGCCGTGGAGCCCTTGAAGTTCGGTCGATACCTGGGCGATGCCGTGCCTCGCTTTCTTGGAAGCAGGGTGATGAATTGTGCACATATCATATATCATGTGTATTATATATATATATAAACATGGATGTGTGTGTGTGTGGATAGATATTCATGTATTATATATATATATATATTTACAGACAGACATATAGATAGACAAATAGCATTAAACTCCCATGTTCTTTTTGGTGGTTCTCCTGAGGAGAAGATCAAGGCCGCTGCGGAGGCCGTTAAGAACCAGACCAAGGCCCTTCGGTTAACATCGGGTGATCTATGGATACCACCTGGATCCACCTGGATCCACTCACATAACTATGGAACATCACCATTTTTAATAGGTAAACCATCTATAAATGGGCCATGTTCCATGGAAAATCACCATTTTTATGGAAAATCATCTTTTTGATAGATATGGACCATTTTCATCCATAGCTCCCATAGCTATGTTAGTTTACTGGGCTATTTGTTTGGAGCCATGACCATGTGATCTCACGTGTTCTCCAGGGATGGATCCCCATTGACTAGTCATGGACAGTCCTGACTACGGCTGCGGGATCAAGTGCCTAGTTGCCCCAATCCAACCCATAAACCCAGATAGATATGGCAGATATGGTTGAATCATGTTGAATACTAGAAATCAACGCATGTTTGATAATTTGACTATATTTTAGATTATTTTACTGGTACTGCGTTGAACTTCCTAGCCATTTGTTCTACTTCTATATAGTCAGCTTGGCACTGAATCCTGTCCCTGCCAGGTCGGCTAGCCGACGTCGGCAGCCGGTCGACGACCCGGTCAGAACTCCCCAAAGAGGCAGCGGTCGTCGACGAACCGAGCTCCGGGGTATCAAAAACCATCATCCCAATTGTAGGGTTATATCCATTTATATCCAATTGTAGGTGATCCCATTAATTATTAGGATGATCCCCATAATTTATAATGATACACCCTATAATTGTAGGGTTATATCGAATAATTAATAAACTACACTCTGGTAAATGAATGTAGCCATGGAAGATGGCCCATTAAAACATATTTACTTGTTAAACATGGTTTTCATAGCGATATTCAATTGATTTAAATTGCCAGAGGGTACACAGCTGGGATTGTTGGCAGGTGATGCCCATGGCGGAAGCTCAATAATTTCAGCAACTGGGTCAGCATACTGGTGGGCAAAACTACGAACCACCGGCCATTCATGTACTGTACCCTATGTTGATAGCTATAGAAAATCACCGTTGCAAATAGATAAAACAGGATTTTTGTCATATAAATGGAACATTTTCCAAAGCTATATATGTTAGATAACCAGAGGGTACCGTCTGTGTTTTGTTGTCCATGGTCATCGTTGATTACATACGAGTAGATCTTACAGACAAGTGAATCACAAAGAAGGGTGAGGACATTAGCATTACATTAGCTAGATGGTGAGAAAATGTGAGAAATGTGCCAAGAACACCGCACACCAGATATTTGCAAATCACGGCCACTTGATCTCCACTTGTTGAAGCCGGTTGTTTTTTCCTTCTTTGCTGCCCATTCCATGGGGGTAGTGAAAGGGTCAACAAGCCCTTCACAACCCATTCACAACCCAACAATATGTTCAACAAATTTATCAGCATGATTATGATTATGGGTCTGATGCGGTATAGTCTAGTCTTGCCTATATAAATCTTTCATGGGCTTTAGGGAGAGCTACGGGGATTCCCCGAAAAGATCCAAGATTAGACCGCGCCCATTCTTCAAGGCACTCGCTGAGCGCGCGCCGCGGCAATCATTTTCAGCGGTCCGGGCAGCAACGAATCCCCCGGGCGCTGCGAAAAAGAGATGCGGAGCAAAGTGGAAAGGGACGTTGGGGAAAGCAGTCAGAGGAGGGATTTAGTTTGGATGATTGGAAGGTCACCGTGGGTAAGAATGTTCAAGAACAAAGTGAATGCAGGATAATGCAGGTCTAGGAGATTGTGAGAGAACAACATCTTCAAGATTTGGGTTCTGGATTTGAATGTCAGCCTCTGGCATCAGCATTCCACCTTCAGGAGCACTTTTCTCCTCTGAGCTGAGAGCTTTTAGCTGTGACAGCAGTGGGCTTATATATAATATGTATGTGCATATATATATATTATATAATTTAATATATTTTAATATAATGAAAATAAATTAAATAAATACACACACATATATATATGGTCCCGTCCTCCGTCTCTCCACCCCCCCCCCATGGGTTGGGTCCCCAGGTAGTAGCCCCAATTCCCTTCTATTTGCAAGCTATTGGCAGCATTTCTGAGGTCCAGCGTCGTATTTGCTAGGTCTTTGCAGCATTTCTGACTACCAGCCTCGCATTTACTAGGTACATGCTACCTTTTAGGCGACCTACGTAGCACACATACTCCTTCAAAGTACCTACGTGCTACCTATAGTCATACATACATGTGCTATGTATCTACTGTATCTACTTCCTGTTTACTACCTGTGTACTCTGACAACACTACCTCTGTTGAACATATACCGTACCTACCATACATGTCAATGATGCCATGCATACCATACCTATCATATCTATCATACATACCATACATATGAAATGTAATTACCACACCTACCATACATACAATAGCATACATACAATAGCAAGCATACATGCCATACATACCATACCTACCTTAGATAGGACATATTCCATACCCATCATAGTAACCATACATACCATACAGACCATACATACTGTCATATCAAACATACCATATCCAACAGACTTACATACCATACCTACCATCCATACAATATATGGGACCAGTATATGGGACCCATCCACCACACCACAGGGGGGGGAGGGGGACAGTGCCACACCCCCACCACACCACAGGGGGGGGAGGGGGAAGATCTCATATGGGACCAGTATATGGGACCCATCCACCACACCACAGGGGGGGGAGGGGGACAGTGCCACACCCCCACCACACCACAGGGGGGGAGGGGGAAGATCTCATATGGGACCAGTATATGGGACCCATCCCATATGGGGGGGGAGGGGGGGGGGGGCAGGGCCTGGTGCATATATATATATATAAGCCCATGGATGGTTTACCCTCTTGTAAACAAAGATGGCACTGGAATGCAGCCGAACATCCCACATTTCTTGTCAGATCTGTGTCCATCTTGGCGTTCGAAAGGCTGAACAGCAGCTGGAAACGGTGGCACTCCGCATGTAGCTGGAAAACCCATGGGCAAACTGAGGGGCCATGTCTCTCCATGCCTACTTGATGTATCCATATCATTCCATATCTATTCCATATCTGCTTCTAGTGTAAATATGTATAAATGTTGTTTGAGTTAAGGGATCTAAGTACGTATTTTTTAGATCGATGGCCCTATCATTTGTTTTGTTTGGCAGTAACCTATTTCATGATTATAAGGACCCAACATAAAGATCGGAAAGAACAAACAAGTGATTTACCATGATTTATCACTGTTCCAGTAGGCTTTCACATGAATTTAGATTCTAAATCTCTTGGTTTGTGATGATTTTTGGGGTGTTGCTATGAACCCTATCAACCTCCAGCATTTTTGTTCAGACCCTGTGGTGCCAGGGAGACTTCGAGTCGTGCCTCATCGTCTCGAAGAAAGTCCTTGAGGAAGATCCGTACCACCTGGCGGCCCTCCCAGCCGCCTGGTGGTAATCCCTTCTCCCTGTTCAACACCCCTCAAAAACCATGGTTTAGTGGGAGATTTCCACTGATTTGGGACCATTTAGGAAGTGTTTTCGGGGGATGGGATTAATTTGATAGAATGTGGTGTAATGAACAATGAGAAGTGGCAAGACTTTGGGCGGACTTTGGTCTTAATAAGAAACATGAGGAGAGAATTGATGATCACACCTTGAATCATCAGCGTTTTGTGCTATAGTATTTTTGTGTCTACTTCATGTAGAATTTGGAAGACTTTCGACCAATATATATATATACCAGGATCTATGCATCAAATGTGCAATGATGATTATCCGGATATGATCAGATGATGCCACCATGGACGGTTGATGTAGATGGCATCACAGGTCATCTAGCTGGAAAGAGCAGCAAGAAAGGCATCCCAAGACTTGGATTGCGCAGCAGGAACAGCGCAGTACTTGGGTCAGGTTTAGCACTTCGACACCCAAATTGTTGATCCAATCTTTTCCACCACCGTTTCTCCCTGTGGGTCACTTTTTCTTAGGCAGTTGTTAGCCCCCTTCGATCCGCCCCAGGTTCATATCTCCTCTTTGGTGATGCTCAACATGACCAACGTGACGTGGTGGCGTTTTCCGGGGCATAGACCCTGGGGGGTTGAAAGACGACCTTCCGAACTAAAAAATTGAAGATTCTCAGGGGCAAACTGTTTGTTTGGAGGATGATATGAGATGGTATTTGAAATTGATATTGATATTCCTCAGGGGATCATCAGAAACAGACGTGGTGGAAGGATGTGGAAGGCTTGAAACCGCACCAACCCGTTCCAAACGCCGCCTCGGCAGCGCCCAGGTTGTCTACTACGTTGCGCATCAGCTGATGGCCGCGTATCCTTCTACTGCTATTGCCTGGTACACTGCAGGCAGCAGGGTGGAGCCCTATCCCCAGGATGAAGAGAAGGGATTGGTGCAAATTGCAACGGTAATCATTATAGTGTACCCCTACACCCAATGGTTAATGATCATTATCCCTACTAAATGGCTATAATTGGGGGTATACCCCATTTTCAGACATACCCATTTCTAGACAGTGTAAGTGCTGTTCCAACCTGAACCCGTTTTTTTGTGCAACGGCGATGTTTTTGGCGACAGTTGGCTGGTATTGGTAGTGGTAGTGGCTGTAGTTTCCGGTGCAACAAAAAAAGAGAGCCATCCATTTTCACCTTACCAATCATGATATATAAATTAGGTGGAATGAACTCAACAAGCAGCCAGTTAAGCATAATGTTATGCTTATGTTCCATGTTTGGTACATCTGATATCTCTACCACTATGTTGAAAATACTGTGCCAGAATCCGAGTTTTTTGAGGGGCAAATGTTCGGAGGTCTCGCGAATGATCATTGTCTATTGATTAATTCCCCAAACAAGAATGTCTCTGCATGGACTCCCAGATGAAAAGCTCTAATACTCAACCACCAGTAAACTGACATAGCGACCTGAAACATCACCATTTTTTTCATAGGTAATTTTTAGATTATTCTAAATATTCAATATTTTCCATAGCAAACCGTTGAATTATGAGAGGGTAATAATACTGGGGATGATCATCGTCTCCCCAGCAGATCCTCCACCCGAAAGTCGTCCTAGTGATTGGCCAGGCTGTTACTACTACATGATCAAAAAGCTACCTGGCGTGACATCGATGCTTTCGAAATCAATTTGGAAAAATATTGAACATACACGGAAGTTGCTACTGGTAAGCTGCCTGCGGCTTACTTGACATGTGCCTATTGTGCTTCAGTATCAGCACGTGCTTCGCTGTTTTACCAAGATGCCGTTGCAGAAACCCGTTCCGCACAAGGTACGAACATGCACGGCGTTTTTTTCACAAGGCCCCAGGGGGTCAGGAAGCGGGAACGACGGATGTCTGATGCCCGGCAGATGGGTACAATTGGAGCTAGTGGAAACCTGAGCGCACACTTTGAACAGCACCTTTGCACCACAAACATAATGTTTCATTGGTTTGGTGTATTATGTGTGGTTCTGCCCACTTGCTTGTTGGTAAGAAAGCAGTTCTATGTCATGACAGAAGATTCTAGCGGTATCATGCCCAGTTTTAAAAAGTGAAACGTTCACTTATGTTCCCTTTCCATATTGTTTGATACTGTTCGAACTTGTTGAGATATGGAGGGAGAGATGAGATAGCCATTGTTTTGCGAGTGGTTAGTTATCACCTGTTATAGACCACAATTTTGTTGCTATTAGTCGGCTCAGTAGTCAAAGTACTGGCAAAGCCGAATTCTTATCATTTGCCATTGCTTAAGAAGATCATTTTGCTGCCTACCGGTATCTCACTTGTGTTGGATAGATCAGATAGATCCCGTTCTTGTTGAAAGGGTACTATGGTACGTACTATCATGATACCCCTATTTTCAGGTAGCCAGTTTTTTTTTGCATTATGGTGATGCTATGATGATACATGTTTTAATGGAATCATTGTCACTAGGATGATGGTCTGACAATATCTTATTATACTATTATGATAGTAATGAATAGTAATGATGATAATGATGATACCTTTTCTTTATAGTTTACCTAGGTACTAGGTACTACTATGATACTTTGATCATACTATGATGATACCAGATCAAAGAGTAGTACCTTAGGTAAACTATATGATGGTATATACTATTATGATGATACTTCTCAGATCAGCAGTCGATGGCTTCACCGTCCCTTCCAGGCCTTGCGTTTCGACGGACTCTTCGCACCCGCCTGGGTGGCCTATGGCCATTCCTTCGCGCAGCACGATGAGAGCGACCAAGCACTGGCGGCGTCACTCGGTGGTGGAACCATGCAATGGCTATGGAGGTTTCCATAGTCATGGGGGATCCCCAATAGCTGGTTGGTCTATAATGGAAAATCCTCATAAAATGGATGCTTTTGGGGTACCCCCATTTCAGGAAACCTCCACACACAGATATATATATAATATACGCTGCATGCTACAATACACATACGTTGTACATTCTTATGTGAGAACCAGCGCACTATCTAGTAGGGCACCAACTGGGAGGGCAACCAATAAAAACAATTTAAAACAAATAAAAAAAACCTTGGAGGGCCCGTTTTTTTTCTTTGTGAATGCAACGCCATTGCCGTAGCCATGCCGCCAAAGCCGCACCGAAGTGACAAGAAGAAACAGAGAGATGAAGACAGGAGGAGAAACAGGGAAGAGACTGGAACCTGGGCACCAGCGTCGCCTCAGCAGCTTCAATCTGAAGCTACAGCTGCTGCTTTGGCGCAAGCATCCAATCAAGTGGCGAATGCTGCCCAGGCAATGACATCAATGATGGCGATGCAGTGCATGATGATGAACATGCAGATGCAGCAGGGTGGCACGATGATGCCTGGCATGGTGGTGCCTGGCATGATGATGCCCGGGATGCCTTCACAGGCCGCTGAAGCACCTTCCACACAAGCCCAGGCTGCACCTTCGCCACCATCACATCCAGCACTGAGAGAGGAAGCCAAGGCAGCGAGCGCTGCACCACCTCCATTCGCATCCAAGGCAGTGAGCGCTATTCCAAAGGCCTTCAAGGCGGCGAGTGTCGCACCAGCACCAGCGACTGCCAAGGCAGCGAGCGCTACTCCAGAGGGATCCAAGGCGCCGAGTGTCGCTACAGCACCTCCTGCAGCGACTGCCAAGGCACCATCAATGGCAGCAGCACCGCCAACGAGACCCAAGGAATCATCAAGCGCTGCAGCACCGCCAAGTAGATCCAAGGCATCATCAAGCGCTGCATGTCCAGCCTGCGAAAAAGCAGAAGGTCATCCAGTCGAAGGCGATGTCAAGTTCGGCAAACCAATGACGGAGCTGAAACCGTGGCTGATCGTGGGCGGGAGACCCAATTTGGCAGCGACCCCGCAGAAGTTGCAGAGGAAGATCGCCATCACCAACTGCCAAAACAGAGAGGAGTGTGATACTCACCGCCAAGAATGCGAACGAATGGGCATCCCGTTCCTGGCCATGAACCCCAACTTTCATCGGCCTGTGGAGAAGTGGGCGGCTCTCTTCCGCAATGTGCAGGGCATCGTCCAGAACAGCTGCAAGCGCATCGTCGTGGTGTGCAATGGGGGCCGCCACAGGTCAGCAGCCGTGGCTTGCGCCCTGTTGGTGCTGAGCGATGGACTCTCTGTGGAAGCGGCGGAAGAGTATATTTTTCAACGCCGCCCATGGGCAGAGCCGTGGGAGACAAGATGGTTCGTTGAGTGGTGCGAGCAGAACAAGGGGTAGCCCTCGCCCCACAAGAGGGCCCTAGCCGGATGCCACTGCGTGTCGCGGCCTAACTGACGTGCGGGAACCCAAAAAGGAGCGAGGGAGGAAAAAAAACATATTTTGTCTTATTTGTTCCTATAGTTTCTTATTTGTTTCCCTATGTTTTTCTTATTTGTTCTTATTTGTTCTTATTCTTATTTTCTTTTTTCCTTATGTGTTTTTAGTTGTTTTTATGTGCTTTGTTATTATTATTATAAATTATATTTGTTTCATGTGTTGATATGTTTTTTTTAAAAAAATGTTTTCATAGTTTTTCTTAATGTTCCACCTTCGCAGGCCCAGCCCAAATGGTCACCTACCAAATAGTGACCTCATCCTCATCATTGATACATCCTATAATATATACTATGCAATAGGCTATGGGGTGTGTGAATTATATATATATAGAGAGAGAGAGAGCTTCACTTATATCTATGAGAAGTATGTTGGACAGTTTATAGGTATATTTGATGTATGAAATATGTTGGACAGTTTAGGTATTTCACCATCCATGAATCATGAGGATTAGGTGTTTTTTCCAGCTTATGGACATGTATAACTAACCAACCATCACGGGCATATAATTTAGGATAGTGATATAATGATAACCTACAAGAAAACAAGTTGATCTTTGGATATCTTGGGCATGGGTTTAAACAAAACATGGTCTATTTTTGGATTTGGTCATTCTTCTCGTTTTCTTAAATCATGAATTTAATCATCTAATTTTAGGGGTGCACCATGTTGATCCATAATTACCGTGCCATGGAGAAATGCTGGGCCAAACTTGAGCATTTTCGCTACCTTCGCTGAAAAGCTTGAAGTTCATGGAGCCACCTGCCAAATAAATGGAGCCTGGAAGAATGAATCCGACTATTTGATGCACAACATGAACACCAAGATCTAACACACACAGATCGCTGATCAAAACACCTTGGCCACTCACACTGCGTCATACTCTAGACTTCACAAAGCAGGTCTAACAAAGAATTTCAAAAATACTGCTGAAAACAGCAAAACTGCAGATCAACTCCGCCACTATCGCCATGGGGTCCTTCTATGAGCGTTTGGTGCATTTCACCTTCCAAGCTGGAACTTGTTGCTTGGGCATCGGGCTCATAGGCTGGGCTATGTTGGGCTTGCAGCTTTCAAGTCGTTGGCGTCTGGCTTGGCATTGGATCCATACATCTCTGGGGCCTAGATTAGTGGAATTCATCGGAATTCGTAGGCACGGAAAACATCATGATAAATCCAACCTGCTGAAAATTGGATAGAACTGGCCAATGACTGGGAAACCCAAAGGTTGGTTTCCTCTGACTCTATGGTCTCTATGTCTATGTTATGTCTATGTTTGTTTCCTTAATCAAGCCAGTGAAACCTATGGTTTCCTCTCAACTCTGGCGCCGTGTCAGGCCTTGGAGCCTCCAGCATGGCGTCCCCAGTCTTTGCTGCGCAGACGCTTGCAGACGTGGGGATGGGCCCGCCGAAGATGGGATGGGCCAATGGGGCTTAATGTCGGGTAGTCAAAGCTGGTTTTGGGGAAATCCCATGAAATCCCCCAACACTTGGTGCTTTTAATGGGAAGATCAACTATAAATGGTGGATGTTCAATGGATTTTCCAATATCATCCATAGGTGGGTGACCCTGCCGCTGCGTTTGGTTTGTCAAAAAAAGTAATATCCATTCAAAATGGGGTTCACCCTCCAGTAATCAAACCTGGTGATCTACATTCATGGTGGGTGTTCCATATCTATGTCAGTTTACTGTTGGGTAATGGGAAATCACCCTGCACATCGGATGTTTCAATGGGGAAAATCAACTGTAAATGGTGGATTTTCCATTGCTATTGTCTGAGTACCGGAGGGTATGTGGATGTTTATTGGTGTAGAATTCTGCACCAATGGGATTGAAAGGTAACTTAAATGATGTTCTAGATGATGGGATTTAGGGGTGCCCTATGTTCAGACACGCCCAAATCGGAAAAAGGGATATATAAATTGCTGGCCAGATCCCCTTGGTCTATGATGACTATGTATGAGTCCTTAGCCTTTGATATTTCGAGAAAGGGGTAGGCCGCTGCAATCCCTTGGCCTTTATGAAGGCAACTTCTTAATTGAATCCAAAAAATCATCAGACCACCTTAGTTGAATGAGATCATACCCAAAAAACCTAGCAGATCTAGCAGGTTCGTGTATTGTTTGGGCATTTTGGATGGTTTTTTGTTGAGGAATTTCCTCCCAAGTTGAGGACCTATGGCTTGCCAAGCTCAGAGCCTCTGGCGCTGAAATGGGTGGCTGGGCTTGGTATATTCCAAAATGCACCACTGCAAATCTGATGGGGACAAGAACATTATAACAGTTTATAAGTTCATCAACCACTAAACTTGGGGATACGGGGTACCTTACTTAGTCATTTAGTCCCTACTTTTAGACGATGTGGTTCTTCTAAGCTTTGGAGCACTTCGATTTGATGCGAGCAGAGCAGGTCAAAGTGGCTGGGCTCCGCGATTTGAGTCTGGGTGTCTTGGTGTGGGGTGACTAGGGCCTCGTCCTAGTCACCCCGTTTGCTGCACGGGGGGGTTGGGGTTCACCACCCCACTTAAGCCACCCGTTTGCAAACTAAAACGCATACGAGCAACAGCTAAACCATACAGAAATCCCAAGGTTTTGCATAATCAAAATCACCATGGGTTGGGTTGCCATGTTCAAGTTCATTTCTGGTGTTCCGACCTGGTTTATGTGAAGCAACAGTTGCAGGACACCTCACTCATCATTAGGACAGTGGCATGGTTTCCTTTAGATGTTGCCGTAGACCAGCCCAGTGATGGTTGGCGAACTGTTGTACATGTCCTTTTGCATTTAGTGTGTCAACTAGTGGAAGTGCACCACCATGTGTTACTGCTTATAAATGGCTGCGAATGGTATGCTAGAGCAAGCCCTGGTTTAGTATTCTGTTTGCGCATTTGGGGGCCCCATTTAAGGGATTATTAGTGAGAAATGCGTGTCTGGAATTAGTCTTCGGAAACAGAACTGATTTGTTGCTATCCAGACTGCACATGGAAGTACATCGTAGTCGACGGTAGTAGCTGCCAAATAGTTTATCTAAGAATGTGTCAATAAAAAACACATGTCATCATATGTACACACACATAATTATATATACGTATATATAAATTTAACATAATGATTTAATTAGGATTAATGACATTTTATAACTTGGGACTCCAGCTATCCTTTGTATAGTTTACGTTGGCATGCGCCATTTGATCTGCACCGCCATCTTATTCCTAGCTGGACCTGCGGGATGGTGATGGTTGGGAAATTCGCCGAGATCTGCAGAGCCAAGGAGCTAAGAAGAGTGTCCCAACCACAAGCTATAGTGTGTGTAAGCACTGTATCCGAAACAAAACTTTTAGTGTGGTAAGCCATCATGAACCATCCCATTTTTCACACAACGTGGAATCATTTTACATCATCCTATAAGGCCCTATTGGGGATGGTTTGTGATTGTGTTTACCACTGGTAGTGGTGATTTTTTGTCCGCGAATAATGGTGTTTCATGATGTTTAATATGGTTAAATGGTTAGTATCCTTGTATCTTATATCCCCATTGTATCCCTATCATTCACCACCTTGACCACGTCTGGCCGGTAAAAACAACAACAACTAACTATCGTCTCCTGAACCATCCTGAACCCCTGGTTCAGTGCTTTCTTACGCACCGAACAAAAGCACCGTATCCGCCCATAGCTGCCATGACCCCCGCCTCGACCAGGACTGGCCACCCTGGCCCTCTTCGTTTTTCAGCCGTCCTCATTGCGAGTCTTCGCACCCAGCGCCATGCTGGTGGCCATGGGTGATGCCGTGGCTTCGAGCAAGCCATCGGGGTATGATGAGGATCGCTGGGGTATACCTGGTTAATATACTGTTAATAATGGTTTATATATGGTTATTATATGGTTAATGATGGTTAATAATAATCTGGTTATCTGGTTATGACTAACATAGCCATGGTAAAGATGGCCCATAGAAATAGATGGTTTACTGTTCTTAAAAATGTGTGGATTTTCCATGGCGAACTGTTAAATAACGAGATGACATATGGGGAGTTAATGTGATTCAACCGCATTAATATGGTCCAATATGGTCATCTAAGATGCACGAAAAATATGATTCAAGATGATTTAACCATGAAAAATGATGAATTTCTGGTGATTTAACTTAATCAGGGCTTTTGTGAACCCAGGTTTCACCGGAAATAACTTAGCAACTGTGGCAATGAACAAAATGGACAGATACTTGCCAACGGTTCACTTAGTTTATTGACATCAAAACTCACCGGAGGGTGATTGCGTCTTCATTGCGCATCAGATCAATGGTTCACAATGTCAAAGAGACGATTTGTTGGCTGATTTGTTCCCAAGATGGAAGCTTCTTTAGACTTGCCACCTTGACTAATTAGCTCAGTCTGCCCAGTTCCTGAGTTGGAGGTCCCCTGGAGTCAACTAGTTGGATCTAAAAGATGAGTATCTGGTTTACAACCCTAACATTTACCAAACCAAATGATGTTTTTAATCCGTTTGCCGATCTGGCTGGTGCTTTCAACACCATTTTGTCCAATCCCTATCAGATCACGATGATCCGCAATGACAATCATGGCTCTTCCAATGGCTAGTTGAAACCATCAACTTTGGTCACGCTTTTCGTACTTGCAGTGACCACTAAATTCTAAGTATAGTATAGCGACCTCCAGAAAAAAAAATCGAAAAGGTCAAGTTGCCATAATTTACCTTATTTCAATATAGAATTTGACTTATCCGATCCTTTTTTGGCAACCGACTTGCCAGTGTCTTAGGTGATGACCATAGACGGTCCATTTCCAGTGCCTCGGTCCAGGGTACACCCCGTAAGGAGTTTCAAGAGGAACAACATAATTTCGATGTGATTTTTGACTTATAGCAACCTCCAAAAAGATAGGAACATGTTTTCAAGATGGTAGTTCGACGATATTTGCCCTTAATTTCCAGCTATCTTTTTGGGGGTTGCTAAGCTTGCTATAAACAAAAATGATGGAACAAGGATAATTTGACCAAGAGAAATGGGGATTTAGTTATTGTGAAACTAGGTTCATTTCAGACCCTTTGGCAGTGGTTGGAAGCGTGTAACATATGATCAACATCTAGCCTTATGGCTTCAGCTACCGGTATCCCTGTGGAAAACATTGCCCGCTGTCATTTGTTTGCATGAGCCCTGGTGATCTTTGACTGGCATCGGAGCGTGGTTCGATCTGGGGGCTGCACTGGGCAATCAGTGCAGTGAGGGTGGACGATAAGGCTTGGGCCTTGGGATAGCCGTAGCTGATGAGCTCGTACTACGGAGGTGGATGGGCGACTTATGAGGTCGAAGCGGAGACCTTTGGAGGGGCCGGAGGTTTTGAGGAACAACCTGAGACGAGCCAGGTCTGGTCTCAGGGTGGATCGACATGGAGGAGCGCATCGGAGGCTCCGTGGGTACGAGCTGGAGAGGGTGGACGGTATGCCGAGCAGTTCGAGCTGACCTCCAATGCCTCATCAGACTCATGGTGGCGTGGTGGCAACTGGTCTTGGGATTCATGGGATGGATCTTCGGGTGAGAGCAGGGCCAACTGGGTCTACGTGAGTCAGCGTGGGTCAAGAGGACATTGGGGTCAGTCTGATCCTTGGCATAGATGGCATGCTGAAGAATCTGAAGAACTTCCGCGTGGCCATGCGGGACAAGATGGAGGTGCTGCGGTTCAAGGAGACAGCGGACGACAAGTTCTTCAACCTTCGGCAGATTCAGAAGGTGACGATCCTTGCCGAGATGATTTACCATCGGGCAAAATCCTGAGTGTGCAGGAGAAAAGTGATCGAGATGAGGAGAAGCGCACTCAAGGCAAGGTGTCGAGTAGCTACCCTCCTGTGTTCAAAGCCAAGCAGGGGGAAAGCTACCGGGACTGGAAAAGGGCTGTGAAATTTTGGTTGAAGGGTGAGGGCCAACAATTACCCTACAACCTAGTGGGGCCTCGAGTCATGGTTCAATTGCGTGAGAGAGCTGCCCAGCTGGTGAAGCATTTGGAACCTGAAGATGTTGATGGACGCAATGGCTTGGAGCTCATCTTCAAGACTCTTGAGCAGAGCCCTTTGGTGAAGCAAAGTGAGAAGCACAGGGTAGACTGGCACCGCAAGAGACTCCTCAATCTGAATAGACTGCCAGGAGAAAGTTTGGAGAGCTACATCACGCGGGCTGGGATCTACCGTGGACAGCTTGAGGGCTTGGATGAGGCCTTGAGCATGGGAGAAAGGTTTTTCATAGATCACCTACTAGACCATGCCAGGCTGACCAAGCGAGACAAGGCCATGATCAAAACACATGCAGGTGATGAAACCGAGGCATCCATCACCGGCGCCATGATGGAATTATCCAGTGAGCTGGAAGGCGAGGCTGGCTTCCCCATTGGCCAGTCGGAGAGCCAACTTGGCGGAGCTCAAGGAGAGGAACATCTCATCCAACGTGGCTTTGTGGGAATGCGCTTCAACAAGAAGGACAAGCAGGCTTTGGCTGCTGAGGTCTACGATGATGCGGAGACGCAAGTGTCCATGGAGGGCATTCCAGAGGAACCCAATGGTGACGATAGCATGGATGATTTGGAGAACATGCCCAGCGACGTTTTACATGCTGAACATGAAGCCTTGGCCCTTCAATTCAAAGCGCGTCAGAAGATGGCCGAGGTGAAGAAGATGAGGAACTTCTACAAGAAAAACGATGGAGACTCTCGGAGGACCAAGACTGGCAAGTGCTTTGTCTGCGACGAGCCGGGCCATTTTGCAAAGGACTGCCCCAAGGTCAAGATGGCTTTGGATCGGGGCAATCAAGTTTTGATCACCACTGCCCAGCCGAGGGAAACATCTCAAGGTGGTGGCAATGAGTGGTCGCTTTTAGAGTCTTTGTGCAAGGACACCATCCGTGCTGCAGCGTCCGAACGTGAAGTATACATGGTGCTGGGTCCTTTGAGTGAAGGTAGAAGGTCGGTAGAGCATGAGGTGTCAGATTTTTCAACAAAAGATGTACCCTTTGAAGCATGGTGGAACATGAAGGAGTTAGCAAGGAAGGTCATCTTGGACTTGGGTTGCATGAGAAATGTGGTGGGCGTGGAATGGGCCAACGATGTCATTAAGGAATGGCAACAACATGACAGGTGGCTGAAGGTACTCCCCGAAGAAGAGGTTTTTCGTTTTGGAGATGGGAACACTTTGAAAAGCAAGTTCAGATTGCAATTGGAAGCCACTTTTGGAGGGCGCAGAGTTCTTCTTGCATTTAGCATTGTCCCTGGTCCATGTCCTCCTCTTCTCTCCAAACAGTCTCATACCGCCTTGGGAGTTCATTTGGACACGGAAAGACACACTTTGAGTTCACGTAAACTTCAAGTGATTGCAAGAGAACAATGCGGGGCATTACACTGTGCGAATAGATGAATTCCATTTGACTGAAGTGTTGGAGGCAGGTGAAAGGGAACATTGGTCAATGTCTGGACATGCAGAAGTTGGCTTGTTTGATGAACCTCGTGCTCGGGAAGCATTTGGCTCCAAAGTGGATCAAGCCCGAGGCGATCACGATCCCACACCGGATGTCTTCGGTCCCCGAACTCAACCCGCAGCTATGTCGACTGTGCCACAAGATGGGTCACAGGACATCGCAGTGTCCCGAGCTGAGCGACCCGGAGGATTCCTTTTGCGAGGTGGCCCTGACTGCGGAGCTTCTGCACCAACGGGAACAAGAGGAACTAGCCCATCTGGGCGAGCAACGTCAGAGCAGGCGAAAGGAAGCTCCTCGAGCTATGGACATCGAATCCGAGACGGCCAAGGGTGCGTCCAAGGGCAGGGGCAAGACAGCAGCAGCTCGAGCCAAGGCGGCGATGGCCCCACCGGCCGAAGGCGATCATGCCGACGAAGCCAAGGAGGTCCTCAGGAGCATGGGAAGTTGCAGCAGGCTCGGAGGAGATGCCGACGGAGAAGGTTTTGGGAGAGATGAAGGACTTGACATTGGACGAGATGAGGCTGGTGATCAAACATCGCGAGAAGAAGGAGGAGGCAGCCGACAAGAAGATGAGGTGGGCAGCCTTGACGGGCTGGGAAGCCCCCTATCCCTCATTGAGCAATGTGTGGAGCGACGACCTGACCTTCAATGTGATGAGGAGCACACAGAGCCGGCTGAGGACATATCTATGGAAGAAGCTTCTGTGGCAGTTGAAGGTGAAGGAGGCAGTCCGAGTGGAGTCCAAGGGGAAGGCCACATGGAAGCGCAACACCAAGTGGCTGAACTACCTCCTGAGCTACGAGATCGCGTCGCTATGGGGCCACTTCGGGGCCATGAGACAAAGGCTGAGGTCGAGCGACTTTGTGGGCCCGAGGTATGGGGACGAGCCAACCAACAACGAGGACTGATGCAGAAGGTCAAGTGGGGCATTCAGCGAGCCCGTCAGAACCATGCCATGGTGGTCAGTCTGCCCAACTTCAAGGAGACCTACACCGTCTTGGAGATCTTTGCGGGGCGTGCCACGATGACACAAGTGGCCCGCAATCGGGCAGGTTGGCGAGCCATGGATCCAGTGGACCTCTACTATGGCTATGACATCAGGAATGCCCACACTCGGCTGAGGATCATGGAGGCCATCCGGGAGAACAAACCCGACTTGGTGACTCTCAGTCCGCGTTGCGGCCCTTGGAGTCAGTTTCAGAGGCTCAACCCGAACATTGACCAGATCATGCTGGACCGCAAGGCAGACCTTCCCTTGTGGCGATTCACCAGAGAGGTGTGGGACGAGCAGACCAAGCATGGCAGGTTGGTGCTCACGGAGAATCCAGCGCAGTCGGAAGCTCTCAACCTGGACTTCATGAAGGATCGCCCACAGCTTCATCGAGCCAAAGTGCCACAATGCGCTTTCGGGCTGAAGGACGTGATCAGTGGGAAGCCGCACCAGAAGTACACAGCTCTGGATGTGAATGACTACTACATGTGTGAGGGCTTGATGCATGGGGCGGTCTGCAACCACAAGCCGGAGGAGCACCAGGCCATTGAAGGCAGTGTGTTCTACGAGGGCCATTCCCAAAGGCGCTCAGCCCTGGCAGCCCGATGGACACAGGAGTTCTGCCATCACATGTTGGATGCCGCGGAATACGCTTGGGAGAAATGTGAAGATGAAGCACCCCGCAAGCTGAGCGATGGCCGACAGGTTCATGCCCTTCATCATGCACTGCCGGTGGAGCCACTTCCCACTCCTGAAGGGGAGCTGCGGAGGCAGTTGGAGAAGGCTGACTGGAGAGGAGGACAATACGACTATGTCTTCTTCGAGGGCAACGCCAGACAGGGACCATACAAAATCCGCCAAGCCCTGGCTCATCTCCATGTAGTCTTGGGACATCCATCAGCGGATAGGCTGAAAAGGATGCTGCAAATTGCAGGGTGCAGCTCGGTCGTTCTCAAGACAGCTGAGGGGCTTCAATGTCAGATTTGCCAAGCGGTGCGGCCCCCTGGAGCAGAGCCCAAGGTGTCTGGTCAGCGGCCCACGCGCTTTGGGGAAAAGGTGCTCTCTGACAGTTTCTACGTGTGGGACATCGCGGACGAGCGCTATAACGTCACCCACTTGTTGGACGGGCTCACGGAGTACCACGTGGGAATTGTCAGCAAACAGCCCAGCGCCTCAGTGTCAGCAGAGCTCCTGCAGAACAGATGGTGTGCGGTATTTGGACCGCCAGATGTTCTGCAGACCGATGGCGGCAAGGAATATGAGGAGGTCGTCCAACGTCTTGGCAGGGCTTTGGACTTCCGCCATGAGGTAGTGCCGCCGGGTGCAAAATGGCGACAAGGCCAAGTGGAAAGGCATGGTGCTGTGGTGAAGCTGATGATGATGAGAACCATCGCAGCTCATCAGGTCAAGGGCCTGGAGGACCTCAAGCTGGTGGCAGCGGCCTGCTTTAGCGCGAAGAACCGCCTCTGCAACAAGATGGGCATGTCGCCGATGCAGGCAGTGACCGGGAGGGACGTAGCAGTGCCAACTTCCATCATGGATCAACTTCGCAGTGGCCAATTGAAGCTGGCGATGAATGCAGCCTTGGATGAGAAGGAAGCACTGAGGAAGGCAGAGAGGATCAGAGCGGCCGCTGTCGATTCCTTCAATTGGATTGACTCCAATGAAGTCATCAGAAAAGGACTTCATGCTCGTTCCAGACCGCCCAAGCTGGAGATGATCTTGGAAGGCAGCACCGTGTACGTGCACCAGCCACCACCGCATCGCCGAGGACAACCACGACGACTTCAAGACCATGTCAGTTGGGACGGACCAGGCATTGTGGTCTGCGTGGAGCGACAACAGAATGTGCCCAACAGGATCTGGGTGAGGATCCGTGGCAAGGTCAGAAGCTTCCCCTTGGAGAAGGTGAGAATGGCAACTCCGGATGAGATGCTGGGCTCACGCTTCATTGTGAGCATGCTGGATCAAATGGCGGACGAGATCCGCATGGGCAAACTACAGCTTGAAGAACCACGACCAGATCCCCTACCTGCTGGACATCGCCAACGACAAGAACGAGCCATCATGGAAGAGGAGGAGAAATCAGACGAGGAGATGCGACAGGGTGCAGCCCAAGCAGATCCTTATCCAAAGGCAGATGGGGATAGAGCGAGACAGCTCAGACGAATGGAGCTGCTGAATGATGTGCCGGCATCGGTCAGGAGTTCATTGTCCTCGGGATCTAGCGGTCCAGCCTTGGTGCGTCGACTGCAATCAGATGAAAGGAGTCAGATGATGCAAGAAGATGACGAAGAGGATGAGCTGATGGAGACCCGAGAAGAAGGAGTTGAGCCAAGTGGTATGCAGTTTGCGCAGAAGAAGCAGCTGTTTGAGGACTTCAGCAAGAAGAAGCAGAAGCCGTCCACCTTGATGGAGGCCAACCTCAGAAGTGGTGCCCCGAAGGCGACCACCAGGGTGAAGAACATCCGGAAGCTCATCCAAAAGTCTCGACAGACGCCGGCAGTGCAGAAGGCCCGGCGTGAGAGAATGGACAGAGAAGAGGCAGCCAGTTTGGTATGCTTTGCTGAGGCTTGTGAGAAGGATGACTTTGAGCAAGCATGGGCAGTGGCTTGTCAAGAATGGGAGATTCAGGAGGCCTTTTGGACTCAGCCCGAGCCACGGACATGGGCACAGTGTGAAGTCCAGGAGAAGATCAACACCCAACAGCGAGAACATCAACAAGCCATTGCAGGTGCGGGCGTCCTGGACAAGACGAAGATTGAGGAGGCAGCTGGCTTTCAGAAGGTGGTGACGGGCAAGGCACGGTTAGAATACCAATGGGGCCAATTGAGCCAGGAATGGAAGGAAGCGTTCAAGGAGCCCTTGATCAAGGCGATCAAGATTTACTTCGATCATGACGCCATGGAAGGAGTCTCCCGGGACAAGGTCATTGACCCCAAGAGGATTCTCTCTAGCCGATTCGTCCTGACCAACAAGGGCGGTGGGAAACTGGAGACAGCCATTTTGAAAGGGCGTCTTGTGCTGGGAGGACATCGTGACCCAGATGTGGGCAAGTTTCCAACATTGGCTCCGACGGCAGCCGCCTTGGCTCACAACCTCATCAACTTCATCAGTGTGCAGATGGGTTGGGTTGTGCACTATGAGGATGTGTCAAGCGCATTCCTTCAAGGAAAACATCTTCCTCGAGAGAGGGAAATCTATGTGCGCATCCCCAAGGGCTACCCCGACTACATCGAGCACTACATCCGCAGCAAGCTGGGTGCCACCATGAGGGATGACCTGATGCGTCTCACAAAGGGAGGCTTTGGTTTGCCTGAGAGCCCTCGTCTCTGGTACCTGGAGTACAAGGAGACCCTGCAACAATGCAGCATGCGAGAACTGGATCTGCTGCCAGGAGTCTTTGTGGCACATCATCCTGACGGCAAATTGAGGGCACTAGCCTGCATCCATGTGGATGACACCAGGTACTGCGGGGATGCTTCCAGTGAAGAAATCTGGAAACAAGTGCATCAATGCCTGAACTTCGGTGAGGTTCGGAAGGCAACTGATGGTTGGGTGAAGTTTTGCGGCCGATGGGAGCGGCAAAACCCACAGACCTTGGAGTTTGAATATTCCATGGATGAATACTCCAAGGGCCTACAAAAGATGAGGACACTGGAGTCCTACCGCCTGGACCCCAAGGAGGTGATTGAAGATGAGAAGATGCTGGACAAGGGAGAGATTACGGCCGAGGAGTACACCCACGGCAAGAAGAAGCACAAGAAGAACCCAAGCGGGCTCTCCGGAGAGCAAAGGCTGGCCATGTCCTCCATTTTGGGGCAGCTCAACTGGATGGCTCGACAAGGGAGGTTCGACTTGTCCTACGGTGTCTCCCACGTGCAACAGCTCATGGCACGAGAACCTGGTGAAGCCTTGGAGTTTTTGAACAAGGTCATCTACCGCGCACGGCAGCCGATGACCCAGGTGATCCGCAAGCTCAAGGACTGGGAGAACCTGCGTGGTGTTGTCAGCCAGTGACGCTGCGTATGGAGCGCAGCCAGGAGGCTACAGCCAAGGAGGTCTCCTGGTAGCGCTGGCAGACCCGGACATTCTTGAAGGAGATGGCCGATTGGCCGTGATCGAGGCCGCAAGCATGAAGATTCAGAGGGTGGTGAGGTGCAGTATGAGTGCCGAGGTCTCAATGGCGGCAACTGCATTCGAGCACGGCGACTTCGTAAGGGCCGCCCTCAGCGAGATCATTCATGGCCGCTTCGTGCTCAAGGATTGGAAGCTTTGGGCCAATCGCTGGCGGCACTTCCTGGTGATTGATGCGAAGACGGGCTTCGATGTGCTGACCAGCGAGAGCCAAACGAGTGATCGGAAGATCCAGATCGATTTGGCTGTGCTGAAGCAGGCGCTCCTGGAGGATCAGAGCAATTCATTTGCTCGTTGGGTGCCTGGCCATCACATGGTGTCGGACGGCTTGACGAAGTGGTTTGGCAACAAGGCCTTGCAGCGGGCATTGACCGAAGGAATTTGGTCGCTGAAAGACAGCGACGAGGCGGCCGGTCTGCGACAAACTGCAGCCGACCAACGTAGGAAGCTGAAGCTCCAACGCACTGGCCAGGGGGGGGATGTGTGAAACTAGGTTCATTTCAGACCCTTTGGCAGTGGTTGGAAGCGTGTAACATATGATCAACATCTAGCCTTATGGCTTCAGCTACCGGTATCCCTGTGGAAAACATTGCCCGCTGTCATTTGTTTGCATGAGCCCTGGTGATCTTTGACTGTTATATAGCCGATTCATGATCGCTAAGTTGGCAAACATGGCTCCATTAACAATGGTAATTGCAGTGGGTGCATCAGTCAACAAACACAACTGGGAGGGAAACCACCATGTGAAAGTGGAATTAACTGGGAACATTATGACATTTCTCTCCTTCCACATAGACGCTTCGAAGTTGAAGAACTCAGCCTTTGTTGTTAACCACCTCCCCCAAAACGCACCAACCCCAACCCCAACAACCCCAACCCAACCCACCAGGCGCGCTGTTTGAGGCACCATATCAGCACGTGTTTGGCTCTGTTGGCATCCTGGTGTTGTCCATCGCCAGCTGGTTGGACCGGCAGTTGGATGCAGATGGCAGCGGCTACCAGAAGTTCTGATGCACCGCCGGTGCCAGGTGGTGTCCCTAAGTCTTAGCTAAATGGGTTAGCTAAGTTGGTTGAGTTCAGTAGCTTATCTGTTGGGTTTAGCGTTAGTATATTAAATATTCCATATATATCAATGATGAGTATATAATCATGATTTATCTTTAGTTATACCGTTATACCCTCCAAGCACCCTAAAACATTGGATGCAAGTCCCGCAATCATACTTATATGACCTAATTGTTTAAGGCACTTGGGTGTTAGATCGGTTAATAAACCATCTCATGACTACTGGGGCACCACCTTACCATCTCATGACTACTGGGGCACCACCTTGCGCCGCGAATACCGCGGCACACTGAGATGCCACGATCATAGAGTGCTTACGATGGGCTGACTAGCCGCAGCACTCAAAAGAATGCGCAATTTTCGGCTTGGCGTTCAAGTACGCACGTTTCAAACAGTAGATTTGTTTTTTTGAGTTCGAATCTGTTTCAAGACATGGGGTCATGATCCCCAGCGAATGATATGTTTTTCACTGGACAGCGAACTCAACCACCAATGATGCTCCGCATGCCAGATGCGCAATTTGGGCCATTTTCGCGGAACTGACCTTTCTGCCACCGGCGAGGGAAAGCACAGCCGGGAAAAAGGAGCCTGGGATGATCTATAATGAATGGGAGAACTTGGTTTTTTGCTGTTGTTTTCAGTATAGAATTGGAATTGATCTAATAAATGATCAAGGATTTGTTGTTCACATTTTATTCTAATTTACGCGTTCCATCTGTTCCATCCGTCGCCTCTTCGCGAAGATCGAATGATTCACCTCGACCCCACTCTCCGGTGTCAGTGGCTGGCTGGAGAATTCTCAAAAAAGTCTATGGTAGATATACAAATTACATACATACACATTTGCAAACATCAATGAGCAGTGGCCCAGGTATCGCACTGCGAGCCGCTTGTGCCTGGGCTTAGGTCATGTACCTACTGTGGTCAAAACGTGGCTATGAAGAATCCCAAATGGATGACACGTTATTTAACATGTTGGATTTTGCCGGAATTATTGCCGGAGAGAAGCAAACAGAAAAACAATACTCATTTTTCTTTAGGATGGCATCATTATTGAACATACATGGCAAAAAAAAAGGAAAGCAACCAGCTTCATCCATGTTCAATCAACATTTTTTTTGGAAGTGGTGTTAACATTTGTTAACCATTGTCCTCCAAATTTATCATAATGATCAAACTGGAGATTGGTGATGATTGGTGATTGGTACATCCTTCAAATCTTCAAATTGATACCATAATATACCCATAGGATCCATGGTGCTGGTATATATGCTAACATATTTGGGGTATATTGATGGGATCCATGTTACCATATATAGCAGCACCATGGATCCGTCATGGGATAATGATAAGTTGTCCATATTTTGGTATACCCTTCAGTAATCAAACATGGCTAGCCAGTCGGTTTCATCCTGCCACGACCAGTCGAGGTTCCCTGGATCGCAGCTGCCATGGCTCTTCATAGGCGCTGTCCTGGCTGGGAACGCTTGTGACCCTGAAGATATGATAGGATAGTGGATCTTGCAATGATTTGATGGTAAACTTACTGGTGCTAAACTTAGGGAATGAGGGAATGATCCATAATCACTAGTAATAATCATCCCATTCCCCCATTCCCATCCATTCCCTACTAAGCACCAGTAAATATGTTTGAGTTAATTATTTGGGGATGTTCGGATTGTGGATGAACCTGATAGGAATGTAAAATTGTGGCTTTTTCAATGGCCTTGTAGTGGGGATATTTGCTGATATTTGGGGGGTATTGGGATATACTATTTTTGATACCCTCTGGTAAACTAACATAACTATGGAAAATCAAAATTTTCAATGGGACAATCAGCTATAAATGGCCATTTTCAATAGCTATGTTAGTCATTACCCGAGGGTATCTGTGCTTTCCCTGCAGCTTTTCCGAGCCCTTGCGGAGCCAGGCTCCGCCCGCTGCCAGGCATGGAATATGTGCGAACCAACTCCCTTCAATTGGCGCAGCAATGCCTTGCACTTTGGCAAAGAAGTGCCGATCTCTTTGTGATACCCTCCGGCAGTCGAATGTGGAAAAGGTGAGAAATACTCCATAATTGGAGAGTTTATATAATCCCAAAATCATGTACAACTGGCTGATGTTCATTGATTTTCCATTACCACGTTTACCGGAGGGTATCCATGCCATTCATTCATCATGCCGTAAAGAGACCTGATACTGTATCCGGTGTTGAACGGAGGGGGCCAAGGGGGCTATGGGTATCCATATTCCATGTCAAATGGAAAGCAGCCAGGAGCTAATAAGATAATTTTCCCTAAAAAAAAAATGATACTGAACTTGGATTGCCGGATAGTTTGTGGATCATGAAATTCCAAATCTATATAATAATCACACACACATATATAATATACACATACTATGGGCAGATAGAGATGGATAGACTATATGTGAATGTAACTCCACCACCATGCCCCTTGACCCATCCACCCCACCCCCAAGGATTGCGCGCGAACGCTGATGCCCACGGACCCGCGGGTGTACAATGAGATCTTTGGGATGCATGAGTGGGTCCAATTGGTGCACTCCATGATTGAAAAGGTTTAATTATAACATGGTAAATCATGGTTAATGATGGTTAATGATGGTTAATAATACTGCTGAATCGTGGTTAGTTAATGATGGTTAATACTGTTGAATCATGGTTAATGATGCTGACCCTCTGGTAAACGTTTACATAACTATGGAAATCACCATTTTATAGTTGGGTAAATCAACGATTTCTATGGCCATTTTCAATTGCAAACTGTTTGTTTACCGGAGGGTATAACATGTTATAGCAGATCATAGGTACACATTCACATGCACATACCAACATGCTATCGCTGCTATAGCTTGAAACTGTCCACACGTCAGTGAGCATGGAATGATGTCCTGAGGCTGGGTGTAGTTGCCTATCAGAAGCGCAACTACGAAGAGGTGTTGGTGGCTGGTTGTGGTCGGCGGTGGGGCAAAGTGGGATCCTTCAAGGGCAAACAGAATGGCCTCGGTGCCAACTGGTGTTCAAATGTCAAGTGTTCAACATAGCGCCTGAATTTGTTGCTTCGATTTTCAGGAATCCCCTGATCCTTGCGCCGTGATTGGATGGCGATCACCTGGCCATGCGTTCTCTGTGGCGCCAGGCAGTACATTTGCTTCGTCAGGCCATTAGCCTTTCCAATCACCCTCAGGTGGCTGGAGATCGGCTGCGGTCGCCAGGTTGCTAAACAATAAGTGATGGACTGATAGCTATATCTCCATCATGTTTGATGCATTGAGATGCATTAAGTGGATAAGGACCATTTGCTACATTGTGATGGTTTCATCCTATGACATTTGGCAACAACCATTTGTCAGTGTTTTCTCATCTCTTACTCCTACTGCACATGTCACTACCCCCTAGTGTTTGTTTTTGACAAGTATGTCACAGGAGAACAACCATTCAAACATGTTATTAAAAATGTTTGCAAAACCCAACTTTGGCCGGTAGATTGCAACCACTTAAACATCTATATTTTACACTCCCTCAAGTGTAGATGTTGAGAAATGCCCACGAAATACCCCACAATGGTGATATACCCCCCAGTTCTGTTCCTTGCGTTGCAACACTCATTGAGTGTATAGAACTGTGTAGATATATGTGCCATAAACATCCATAAAACCCAAATGTTGTAGATACACCAACTTCGCCAACTAGGGCACCACATGGCATCACATAGCCCCACCTATCCCCACTCCAACGTCGATTCACTGAAACCAGGAAGCCATGCATTGCAACCTGGGACACGCTTTGTTGAAGCCGAGAGCTCAGCCAAAGAACGTCAGCACGTGATGATCACTGGGTTGGATGTGGTGAGTGGCGAATTTTACCCGCAAAGATGAGGGGGTTCGGTCAAACATGCGTTGAAAACACTTTTTTGGAGGTGCAAATTTGGAGTTTTCGCTGCAATGAAGCACACCTAAAGCAACAAACAATGAGGGGTTTACGCATTGGTGGTCTAACCTGGAAATTTGAAATGCCTTTGTCAACGTCCTTGTGACTAACAATGACTAACCCATGTATGATCATGTATGGTTTATTTTATTGTGAGGAAATTATGTGGCTTCCTCCACTGCCAGGTCAGGTTAAACGGTTAAACATACCAAAAATACTTTGCTCATTTTTGCCAATTGGTAATGCCAAGGTGAAATGATCAATGCCAGTAAAAATTGTGTGTCCTGGCCTTCCAGTCATCATAAAAATGACCTGCAGGTGTGGCCGGCCAGCAGCCGCTTTGGAGGCAGGGCCCCGGGGGATATCGGTGGTTGGAGGTGCTTCATTTCTGTTGGAGGGGTTGTTGTGGAGAAGTTATGTATCATATGTAACAATTGTGATATTATGACATGTGTGCTGATAGGTATCTACAATGAATGACCAAGGTAGCATTTGCATATATCATATATATATATGCATACAAAATAACATAGGACCATGATAGACTGTATAGACTGTATAGTCAGCCATGCCTGGGAAGTTTAGCAGCAACAATGCTGGTTTTTATTGGTTCGGGATTTTGTCGAACCAGCATTCACCTTGTGACATTGTGGAAAGGTTCGGCCTTGCAGCTATATACAGCTCAAAGCACATCAAGAAGCTTGTATAGTGACGTCAACCATGCCAAGATATGCAAATCCAGACCCCATGAATTCACAAAAACAAGATAGGTGTGGCAGTGTCCTCATTTTCTTGGGGTCATATGTCATATGTCATATGTGTTGATTTTTGTCCGCAACCACTGCGTCATCATGTGGCCTCTGTTGCTGTTGCTGCCCTTGGTGACGGGGCGCTATGCGAAACCTCCGTGTGACGCTGAAGAGTACCTGGCCACCCTCGAGGGCCGCAGCCTCTGCGTTAGCGACTGCGATGCTGATGCCAGCTGTCCCCAGGAGAAGCCACAGGGTGCCTTTGCCAAGCCCAAGTGCATGTTGGTCCGGGCACCTTTGGGAGACACCAGCCATCCGGAAATGCGGCGAAGATATTGCGCCTTGGAGTGTCAGGGGGATTCCTATTGCCCTTCAGGGAGCAAATGTAGCCTTTTGGACGTGAGTTCTGAGACGGATCGCTGGGGTGAGGTGAATTTGGTGGCTAGGAACTATCCACACTTGATCTCCAAAGATGAGTTGAAGGGCGTGTGCACCTATCGCCTCAAAACTGGCAAGGGCTCAGCTCCGGGCCTGGAGCCCTTGGAGCTGAGATTTTCCAAGTCTGTGACCTTGGACATATTGCAGGAACGGGGCATCCGACCTCCTCCTGGCTGGTCGCATACGGATTTATAAAGTGGAGCGAACTGTTGGGGATGTTGCTTGAGAAATTGGAGTGATCCCAGCATCTTCCAAGCTAGTCCTTACAGCTAATGGGTGTGCTGCTGTGCAACAGCAACAATCTGGGAATATCCGGGGCTTCCAGTCGCAGTCAAAAATCATCTGAAAATCCGTTAGGGCACCCCTTTCCTCAAAGCCAGGCCTTTCATCAAGCAGAGAGGTTGGAGCCGAGTGGTAGCAAAGCCTTGGCTGGGGTGGCGTTTGCCCTGCAGTTGCAGGTGGAAAGTGCTGGGCTGGGGGAGATATAGCAGCGGCCCAAATTTGCAGAGTTAAGACATGTCTCTTGATGTAGGAAGGGCAAGTGGAAATTCCATGAAATTCGTGGATGTTCGGTTTTTTTTTCCCTCCAAGAGAGTATTTTGGATGTGGGACCAAGCGAGTTGACAAGGAAGGCTCCACTTCCCCAGCCACCGGACACCAGGGCAAGCCTGATGAGGTGCAAGTGGGGAAACTGTTGAAGTTTGAGATGCATGTAGTTTTCATAAGTTTGGACCTGTTTTTTTTTGAATTGTTATTTTGATGTTGTTTTGATAGTGAATTTAAACTGAGAGTTACTGGCTCATAGATGCATCAATCAGGCATTTAACATGACCTTTGCAAGAACCCCAAGATTTTGAAGGATATAGATGTATCTGACTTAACTGAAAGCATAATTGCAGAGATGTACTTGATGTAACTTAAATTTGTCAATCTTTTAAATGTTGAAACTGAGCCTGTGGAATTGACCCAGGTACAGTCTTGTTGGGTTTAGTTCATAATGTTCATTAAGGGTATTTGTAAATTAAACCCACTGGTGGATCATCCTTTTTCAAATGAAGATTGATACATCCAGCATTTTCGGAGAAGCCCATTTGATTGAAGAAAAAAAGACTTTCAGACGTGCTGCAGGCATGGGCTCCTTTTGTGGTTGGAATCTGAGGGGACCTCAACATAGATCCTCGAGCATCACGTCACCCATTCGTTACCCTAGCCTTGCTTCCAAGAGGGGAAATGGAGGATTGATGATGATTGTGTCTGGAGGACTTGCAAACAGGTCTCAATCACATTCAATCACCACATCCTGCACTCTTTAAACCACCATGATTTCCTCCTTCAGCAACTACCAGACACCGCCAATTCCAACATCAACCACCAAGCCCAGCCTCACAACTTAGACATAGACAATATCCCAACCCCAACATCCATGTCACCATATGTCATCCATTTCCTGCCCGGAAGATCTCACGTTTCGCGCCCTGTTTCGCCGCCAACGCCATGGTTCCACCTCCCTGTTTCGCCGCGGTTGGCGGCGCGCGCGTCGTTCCGCACCGCTGCAGCTTCGCTGCCCCCGTGGCCTCCGGCACGCCTTCGCTGCCCCCGTGGCCGGCGCCGGGCCGGACGGCACCGGCGGTGGCGGCGGCACCGATGACTGAAGCATTGGGAGTTTGAGGTTTTGTTTGTAGCCCATAGGATCCATGGTGCTGCTATATATGGTAACATGGATCCCATCAATATACCCCCAATGTTATATACCATACATGGTTCCTATGGGTAGGGAAGAGGGAAATGGTTTTTGTAAATATACATAATATACATGTTTGATCATTTTTGCGATTTCTATGGAATATAGGGGCATTGTTTATTTGGGATTTCTTATTAGTGCACGAATTTTTGGGTGATTTTTGTTATTGGTGTAGACTGTCATGCCGGTTTTCTTTTTCCCCTGTAGTGTCATGGACACGGGAATGATGTGTTAAACCCAGTGGCAAACCCATAGACACGGGAATATTGTTTCTACATATTTGTTTCCCTCCCATGGTAGAATTGAATGTCTGATGGTGAAATTTCAAGTAAACTGGCTGATGGCTTTTAGGGTCGGACTGGCGCAACTGGTTGGATGTGTGGCTTTGGAGAGGCCCACTCGTTGGTTGCACCTGGCTATATAAGGAGAGTATGGTTAGAAGTTATACCCTCTGGTTATTTAACATAGCCATGGAAAATGGCCCATTTATAGATGGTTTATCTATTAAAAAATGTGATTTTCCATGGCTATGTTAAATGACCTGGTGGCAAATGAGAAGTACAGTGATGTGCTAGTGAACCAACTCCAACCCCCAACTCATGATATGGTTCCCAAAGTTATAAAGGTACCAAGCTCAGCCCATCTGAGTTGGAGTCTTATCATTCCTCCAACTCGTCGTTTTACATCAGGCTTGGGATGAACTATCCCAGCGAGATTTGGAACTGAATTTGCATCTCCATACTGGATCTCATACTGGATCATAATGGATACTTGTTCCTTCTCTAGAAAAAATATTCCAAAGTTGGATCCAAATTCTTGGATACTTTTCCAGTTTTCATGGATCAGAACGGTTGATCTTGTACCGTTGACCCAAGTTCCGAGGCATTCCTCTATGGCGCCACTCGGCGCCGCTGGCGGCGAGTCCGAGCTGTACAGACCAGAGAGCCTGTGGCTCAGGACATGCAGATGCCAAAATCACATGGAGAGATTGGTGCGGATTTTGTCATAGAAGATATCCGCCGTTTGTCGCTACGGTTGATACAACCAACAATATGCAAAACAATATAATCTATTATATATATAGGGATTTAATGGTATATACTGGGGGTAGTATATGGTATATGTAACCACCAATATCCTGCAATTGAGATATAGTGGAGGGATTTAAACAGTATACAATGTAATAGGAGGTAGTGGGATATCTAGACAGTGTTGAATGGAGGGAGGGATTAGGACCTATGTTCTATCATGTGTCATCGAGATATTCCCTTTGAAAATGGGGAGCCAAGGAGCTATGAATTACTAAGTACTGTAAGTGGCCTTGAAAAAAGTCCAAACCTTGATGATTGACCAGTGACCAACTAACAAGTGGAATCTACTCATGAAAACGGGATAGCCTTGGAGGATACCAGCAAAGATGAGGGTTTCAGGGCATGATATGCAATCAATCCATTGCAATTGTACCAAATCAATCCATTGCATCCCGTACTCATATTTGCTTGATAGCCGTGGGTGCTATGGAGAGTTACTAACGGAGATAAACACGCAAGACTTTGGCTTACAACTTTCTGTAGAGTCGCATTGCTTCCCTGGAATTGGAGGAGGAAGTGGCTGAAATGCTGGGGAAAGGCAACTTTACTGGTCCCAGCTGCCCTTTGTCGCGTAGATTGAGCCTTTGCTGGAAATGGAGTGGCTGAAGTGGCCCCTAAGTGCCTCACCCATATGATTTTCGCATGGGTATAGGGGGTTCAATGTGGATAATTCTCATCATTCCATGAGAAAAACGCACAGGAAAGACGTGGTCTTCGTGAAGGAAATGCGAGACACTTGGACTTGATTTCAGTTGGCAGGGAAGGCCCCCTGAGACATCATGACTTCGGCATTCCGGCATATCCCGACTTTCCTCAAATTTCAGAGGGGATCCAGTTGGGAAATCAAGATCAACAACTTGTGAAGCTTCCACAATCGTG